CCCTCAACCACAATGAATATGGAATCTCGAGTTTTATTTACAATTACAAATATAAGTACACGATATTTTTTTTATAAGTATATTTTTTTTACAGCAGAAGTACCCACGGAGCGAAACCGCTTGAAATAATACTGCTGCATATTTATTTTTCGCCGAATGGCTACACTTTTACTCTAAATCTCAATAAATAGTGCATTAATTCCCAATAAATTCGCTTACAATTTACGACAATTTAAAAAGACTATATCGCGGCTTCACCCCGCGGCTTCTCACCGCTCGGTGATCAACACATGATGGATTTAAATTTGCCTAGTACACATATAAAGAAATTTAGCGAGTGCTAGTATTTCACAAGGATATTTGGTATTTGCGTAAACAAAGTTGCCAGCAGTCTCTCCTTTTTATTCTCCATAGAGCACGACAGGGGTATACTGTGACCCCGAGCGGGAACAACTAGCTAGAAAGTATTCATATCGTCAGGTCAGTTTCTATGGAAAAAGTTGTGTTTGTTTGAGAACAAACTAGCTTTTTACACGTGCGTAAGCGTCCGGTAGGGGCGCTTCTTAGCTTCCAAAGAAACCTTGGCGTTGGCGATACGAACACGGATCTGTCAAAAGTTAGTGCTCGGGGTACTGCTGTCATTAGATAGTTAGGCAAATACGAATAGCCATATGAAGAGCCAGAATCTAAGGAATAGCATCTATACAAACATAATGAAGGCTACATAAACGTGACTCACAATGTAGTTCAATTTTTAAGCTAAAGAGTGATGTCATTAGACAGCATGCAAGAATCTCACTTTTAGTTACAGTTTCTAACAGTTTCTAACAGTACAGGTCGCGGCACTAATTCTAGCGCTGAACAAAACGTGTCCAGCCCCCGTAGCATGAACACTATAATTTACATTATATCACGTTTTTTTATCGCGTCTTACTGTCAAACTCCATTGAAATTTGACAATTAAGCGTGATAAAAACGCCTTACATATCATATTTCGGTGTTCTACCTAGCGGGGCAGGATAGCTTCGCATGGGTAAGACTGGAGAGCCAATCGGAGCACGCGTACCCGCGCACCTTAATTATTACTTCTGCGCAATAACGGTCAGCGCTAGTTTCGTGTGGCGACCTATACTAGTGACTTTAAAAGTTAGGTAAGATAAACACAGCTTTTAAAAACACAAAATTCATATAATGAAGGTACAGTCACAATATGATATTGTTAATTTATCATTTTGTAGTAGACAATGTGATCTTCGGAGCAGATTCAAAATTCATCAAGTTCTTTTAACACTCTTTAGTTGTAAATAATCTCTGACCTTTTAAATCTTCATAAACATTGTGGAGCTACTGTTTCTATACAAATAACATCTGAATTGTTAATAAGTTATGAATAATAGCTTTAAGTACCCATAGCACGAACCAATATCGAACTCGTTAAGTTCGCCAGTGCGAAATTTCAATGACAAATTTTGTATGGAAACTTGAACAGATGCGCCACAATGGACGTAAGGAGAACTGAAAATCGGTACGCATTTGACATTGACATTTCGGACTCGCAAACTATTCGAATTCGATATTGATTCGTGCTAGGGGTACAGTACATAGGGGTTATAATTAAAATAGATATGAAAATATAAATCTTGCTTTTTCTTTCTTTTCTACTTGTCACTACGATATTGATATAAAATATTGGTTATGTGTACATAAACTATTCTATATCTGCTCCTCCGATATATATGAAGATATATAAGTTCAGATTCTAAGTATTTCACCACTTCACCTAAAACGATAAATATCTATTAGAGCAGTGCTAGGACACTTAATGGAATAGCTCATAACGTTGTCTCAGTACAGCGAAGCTGTTTCTTTTATTTCATGTTTTGACAGTTATTGATGATTCAACTCAATGAGCTGCGGAGTAACTTTGAAATTACACTTGCATTGAGAGATAAGTTGTTGGAAACTACAACAGTATCTTCATACATACACTTCATCTTTATTTAGACGGGTGGTGTTCGTCTTGTATTAGAATAGTATTTCAGATTTTACAATTTACACTATTGATGAATAAGACTGATATTGTAGCTTATTATACTGGAAACTATGAATTTTATGACAACACTTATATCGTTTACTTCAAGAAATACATAATATGTGTATAGTTTAAAGAATTATCAATAGTCTTTTGGGAGATCTTTCTTTCAAAAACAACGAAGGAGACCATTTATTCGATAGTACCTCTTTTAAGGGCATTGGCAATCCTCCTATGATTTAACCCTACAACATGTTGATAGTTGTAATCTTTATTCAGAGTATCGACACAATTCAAGTGAAAGTAGAAAGTTGGGACCGCGCGAACACTCCGAGACCACCCCACGCGAACACAACGCTTCCCATAATGCTGAACAATACCGGATACACATGTGTGTGATACGTTGGTGATCTCTCGGAGCTAAGCCACTGCGAATAATATATCCAACTTTACCACGTTCACAGAATATTTTTACTATGTACAATCAAAAAAGCTAGTCTGTCAATTTGAGGCGATATTGGCCTGCACTCGATCACAAGCGATTATCAACCTAAATGGCAGACTGGCGATTTCGTCGATATTACACAAACCACGTCGGGATCATAGTTTATACATAGCTAGGGATTATTTAACCATGATAATAATATATTCCACACTCGGGTCGAAATCAAACATCGCAATGGGAATATCGACACGTTTATTGACAATGAAAGATAACGGGTGACGCTCGCGCCGAACGCAAGATTGGCAACGACAAGCGGAAACTAAGCTTAGCCCGAGCCAAAGGGGAAACATCGAGGTCAGCCAGCTAACCTCACTATATACAACGCGCGTGTGAGCCAGCAATACCACACCAATAACTATGAGCTGATTAAGTAGGCGCAGCATTCATTTTAGACTGTCATTACAGCTCAAAACGCTATTGATGCCGACTACGATTACCGTTCCTCAAATCTAACTTACCAGCAACACAAATCAAATATCCAAATAATACGAAAATTGGCGCAAATAAACGACACGGCGTCGCGCTGCGATCGGACGAGACCGCAGCGATACAATAAAGCAGTTTTAAGCTCGTATTACAGAATGACAACTTAATGTGTATTTTTACTCGAGTACACAGTTAGAAAGGGATGTCGCGATGTGCTATAAATATACATCTCCCTTTCTAACTGTACTCAAGTAAAGATTAATACTTAGTTGTCATTCTGTAAGACGAGCCTAAGTCTTCATTGATGATGTTTCCATGTCAGGAACGCACGCGCTATCAGACCATTACTACGAGTACTACGACTCTGTATCGTGCACGTCTCCTTGCGAATGAGTCCATGTGATAGAGAAACAGACAACGTAAGTATACGCAAACGCATATACGCATATGTGCGTGAGATGAGATAGTGTTTTATGATATTGACTCTTCCTACATAGGAAATAAAGTCACATTTGGATCAATTTACCGTTTCGTTGAGACTGAGTCCGGCGGAGCGCGACCCCGCGTCACGATTCACGCATATACGTGTAATTCATAAAGAAAAATATACAAAATATATTGTAAAACCACAAAATTAGTCCATGATCTGCATTGAAGGCGTGATACAGGCGCGTCCGCGCCACGTATAATTTTTTTATTGCGTTATACTTTCTAAAATCCGGTTTCATAAGCACGCTATTAAGTATCGAAAGAATATCTGTCAAATAAGGTTAAATTTCCTTTATTTGTACACCAGTGTTTGACAGATCTCTATTGAGCTAGGAGACGGTAACATCGTATTTATGAATAAACAGGAAATATGCAGGAACAAAAATATGTTGATATTTACATGGAATTTATCCGCTGACTCTTGATGTCATTGCTTGCAACAGAGCTAGCCCTTAAAGGAAAAGGCGTTTTGTTCTATAGTTTCCGAAAACTAAGATCGTTCTAGTAGCAGTATTGCAGCTTCCGCTAGAAGCGCTGCTATAAAACGTATGGAGCTAAAATCAAAATCTGTGATGAATGATTGTAAAACTGATTTTGTTACCGTCAGTCAATCTATTATCTATTATCTCCAGTAGTTGATATAGAACAACAGATTTAGTTTGACATGTATTATAATTAACACTATTGTTTGTTGTTGAAGGCATTTGCGATTATTATTGTCGACGACAGGCGCGGACGCTCGCCTCAATGACGTCACATTGGTGACGTCATAGCCTTCATAGTCTTCCTCGGTCCCGTTTATACACAACCAGCCAGTCCTCTCGCAAGCGATCCTCCACTCCGATACACACCGAGGGACCGGGAGATGAGGGTCTCTAACTTTTACCAAGAAACACTCGCGAGCGATTCTGTTACATTTCACCAAAGATTTTCGACGGAAAACGTAGTATTTCTTTTATCATAACACACTTCCAAAAGAGGAACATGAGTTTATCAAAGGATATGATTGAAATTTTCTCAAGAAAAACATTACAATATCTATTAAATTACTTTTTTTTTTATTTCAATCGTATCTATAATAATAAATGGAAGAGGCGTCTCTTTATAGAATAGAGTGAAATTAACCTATTTCTTTATTATGTTTACAGTTTATTTTAATTACACGGTTTTACAGAAAGTTCGCGCACATCCTTCAGATGTCAGTGAAGCGTCCTAGAATGAGTGCCGAAGCTCGTCGGAGCGCTGCGATAGCGTAGAGACGCGGCCCCGGGCGGCCCCTCGGACGAAGCGTAAACTCGGTTAAACGATAAAAAAAATTACAATAAATTCGAATCACGGAAAGCAAAGTGGAGAACGTTAGTAGGGTCGCCGCGCGTTCGGGAGTCGAGGGGCGGCGGGGGGTCGGCTAAATAATAATATTAATTAACTATCTAACTACTTAAACGAAATATAAGAGAAGCGAAGCGTGCTGTCTCCGGCGACCGCTTCGGTTGCGGTTGCGTCCTTCCCCGCCCGGGTGGCGGCTCGACGGATCTATACGAGAGATAACTAACGTGACGTCACTCTACTCACTCGGCCAGTGTACAACGAGCGGGACGGGTGTGGCGGGGACTCCCCGCGGAGCGTGGAGGGGGGCAGGGGGCAGGGGGGAGGGGCGGGGGAGGCAGGGGAGGGGAGGGGAGCGGCGCCGTGCACCCACCTGAAACAACAACTCAGTGTTAGTCAAATATGAACTTTGGCCACATACCTATAGGGGCTGTTCAAGTATTACGTAAGCACTATAGGGGGGCAGGGGGGTCTTTGCTTTGCTTATTTTTGATGACATGGGGGGTTGGGGGTTGAGATGGTGATTACGTCAGCATCATCGATTATTATTAGTAATACTTGAACGGCCCCATATCACAATATGAACGGCCCCTAACTTAAGATTAAAACAAAAAGGGTAGATACGGCACTAGCCCCACAAAAGTGATCTGCATGAATTGTGGTCCACGACCCTAACCGCTTTAGTCACAACTTGACATGCAAACGACGTACATGTGAACGCCTAAAAAGGAATATTGCTAATATTTTGTGTTTATATGATAAAACAAAGCCTAAGTGTGTGTTTTAAAAAGTGCTCAAATTGATCAAGAACTAAAAATAAAACCCACGGCATCACTTTTCGTAAGTACTATAAAATATGTTTTCATAAAAATTGCTGTTGTTTTGAATCTTATTCGGTAGTGACGTCGAGTACTGGTCGCGTGATTGGTCGGTAGTGCAGTGACGCGGATCTCGCCGTCCCGTTCGCGCTGCCGTTGAAACTTAACGTGCTGTTTCGTTCGGGTCGGTAATGCAGTGACGCGGATCTCGCCGTCCCGTTCGCACTGCCGTTGAAACTTAACGTACTGTTTCGTTCGGGTCGGTAATGCAGTGACGCGGATCTCGCCGTCCCGTTCGCACTGCCGTTGAAACTTAACGTACTGTTTCGTTCGGGTCGGTAATGCAGTGACGCGGATCTCGCCGTCCCGTTCGCGCTGCCGTGGGATCAGTTTTTGTTTGATGCAAGTATGAGCGTACCGTATCTACCCTTGTGTTTTAACCTAAGGCCCGTAATCGAGAATAAAACATGTTAGTGTGATGCCAGTACTTCACTAGATTATTCGTGTTTGCTATTCTCTCTCTAAAACTCAAAAAGTTCTGCACCGATTGAGTTGAAATTTTAACATGATATAAAATCCGCATCAAGGATTGTTTTTATCTATTTTTTGCATCAGTCACATATCTGCGACCGCGAGAAAACAGTTTTTTTTAACGATCAGCTGTGTACCAGTGAACGCGCCATCTGCCAGAAGCGAGGAAAACACTCGCTGACAACCGCAATAGTAATGACGCAGTCAAATGTAAAAATGTATGAAATGTATTCTTTGTTTTATTTCTCATTTCTCAACCATTCAATCACAATGTGCCACTGCGAAGCGTGGCAGGGTACAGCTAGTTAAGTATAAATAAATAAATAAAATAAAATATTAAAATATTTCAGTGATGCACCCTCGTCGCTCTCTCTCCTGCCGTAAGGAACTTCGTCGCGCCTGCGCACGTCTCATTTAACGGTTTTATTCCACGCACTTTTTTCCACGGATTTTTTCTTACGGTTTTACTATCACATTTTTTTCAGTTCGGTCGCGCAGCAAAATCCCTATCCCCTCCAAGCCTGCCGTAATGAACTTCGTTCTAATAAATAAAACTAGCAAACCAGTGAATCAAATGTTCACCAAAACCTGATTTCTCGAAAACCGGAAGTGCTACGTTACTCAAATCCGGTTTGTAGTCTTATCAGACTATTCTTAACTTATAACTTAAATATTCTCTTTATCTATCTCTTACGGTTTGGCCGCTGAAACAGCACCACAGACAGACGGACTCGTCTAATAGATAAGAGATAGTTACCGCGCGGCTAGCGGCGGTAGGTGGCGCGGTAGGCGGGGCGGTGGGAGGACAGCGGGCGGCGGCGCGGCGGCTCGCGGCCGCGGGTCTTCTTCTCTTCGACGTTGAGCTTAACGCCTTCCGCGCTGTCCGCCGGGAAGTATAGCGGCTGCAACAATAACGTACAAACGGTTAAAATATAGATAATAGGGATGATGACTAATTTTTTTTTCTTCGTTAATCAGGTAGATGATCAAAAAGTATTGGACACGTATTTTTTCTTTTTTCACAATAATATAAACATTGCAGAGATATATTGATTTGAAAAGTCGCATGACGTCACGTTTGAGTACACTTATAAGGGAAAATTCACTCAAAAGTGACGTCACGAGCCCCTTCTCCCAAACTTTGACGCGCTACAACTTTGTCATTTTTTGATTGATTGCCCAAAGAAAAAATACGTGTCCATTATTTTTTGATCATCTAACTGACGGACTAAATAGAATTTCATTTACTGTACCCCGTCATCATCCCTATTCTTTTAAATTTGTTATATCGAATAATTATTTATATTCGTTTTCTACTGTCTATAGTTTCAAAGCCACAATAGTTCATAAACTTCATTATTAACATGTGGTTTCAGTTTGTGTTTCTGTTTGTTTATTTAATTAAAATTCGGTCCGTTCGTACTGTCTCTTAAGCATGATGTGGCTACCTTCAATAGAATTTTGCATTTTGTATGTATCACTATCTATACTTATAATAAATCTGTAGAGATGTCAATTCTGTACATGAAATATATTTTTAAAATAACTATCAGGGGGTGATTAGTGATCGATACTGATGCCAAAAATGCAATCAGTAAATTTTTTGTCTGTCTGTCTGTCTGTGTGTATGTTCCTTATAGAAACAAAAACTACTCAACGGATTTTAACGAAACTTGGTACAATTATTCTTCATACTCCTGGGCAGGTTATAGTATACTTTTCATCACGCTACAATCAATAGGAGTAGAGTAGTGAAGGGAAATGTTGGGAAAACGGGAGAAGTTACTTCATTTTTTAAGCTTCCGTCGAGTGTGCAGCCATAATGGTTAAAGTTACATAGAAATCATGTATGACGGAAATATTCTACATAAAATTGTCTAAAAAATATCCCGCAACAGCATATGTCTATCTTTTATGGTTGACTCACAATAACACGTGTAATTATATAAATAAAGTCATTGTTTATTGCACAAGCCTGAGAACAAAAACTATAGTTTACACTACAGCTCTACACCGAAGCGAAGCGAGGGCGGGCCACTAGTAATGTTTAAAAATAAGATTTAATGTAACTTTCCCTGGTGGTCCAAATAAATAAATAGAAAAAAATCAACTTCGTCCGACCGACCTTAAAATTGAAAGTACAGAAGGTTATCTACATACAAAGTACACTTTAGCGTTCTTTTACGTACGTACGTATTTTTATGTATGTTTATAAAATTGGTGTGACTGGATGAAAATTTATTAACGTAATCTATTTTAATAATGATAGTGTTGATTTCTTTATTTGCTTAAAACATGGTATAACAAATGTAATATAAAAAAATCTCGTGTCGCGGTGTTTGTAGTTAAACTCCTCCGAAACGGCTTTCCCGATTCTCATGAAATTTTGTGTGCATATTGGGTAGGTCTGAGAATCGGCTACTATCTATTTTTCATATCCTTAAGTGATAATGGTTGACCACCTGTAACGTACTGTTCTGAAACCTACAATGCGCCTTCGCGCCAAAATTCAAACTATTTTTGGTATTGTAACTTAGTGTTATCATATGGGTTAGGAGGAATGTTATCCCAGGGACATGATAGAACACTACGTTACACATCCCTAAAAATTTTTTTGGACAATTTTTTTTTTATAATGTGGTATTAAAAAATACATACAACCCTAAATTTTCTCTCCTTCCACCTGCTCCTATTTTTATGGCGGTACGAAGTTCGCCGGGTCAGCTAGTTAAACTATATAATTAATATGGCTTTCCTAGAAGTAGATCTACGACTGATGCGGATGTTGCACTTAATAGGCATAATATATTGGAGACTTGGAAGAGGAAGTGAGGAGGAATGTTTTCGGAGATCCTATGACTTATCTAAAGCTTTTGATCGCGTTGAGGATCGAACGCTGATTATTGAGTAGCTATGGAGTCAAAGGCGCAGCCCAAAAAATATATTTATTTCTGTTCACCGTTCGGGAAACTGCGCAGCATATTCTCGGCTCATGTAACGCAGTGGCTCAAGACGAAAGTATTTAATACGTGTGTTATGCCAGTGTTAACTTATGGAACCGAGACGTGGGCGCTCACAATGGACCTCATAAAGGACTCAAAGTAACCCAAAGGGCAATGGAGAGGGCACTTCTCTGCGCGATAGAATTAGAAATGACGAGATCCGAAGAAGAACTAAGGTCACCGGCATAGCCCAAATCACGTCAGACTCGAAAGGGGGGGGGGGGGGGGGGGAAAGGGGAGCGGTCCATAAAAATCACGAAATATCACAACAGTAAATATATAGTTTGGGGCGGGGCGGTCCTCTAGTGATGAACGCGTACAAGAAAACGTAGGATTGGTAGGCCCCCACTACAAGATTCAACTATCAATATGAAAAAGGTCAGGGAAAGCCGCTGGATGCGGGCAGCATAGGACCGATCGGTTTGCAAAAGGTTATGGGTTTATATAGGGTTTCATCCGGGACCTTGATAATTGGTCGTAATAACTGACCAGTCATAATAAACGGTGTCGTTATATTCGGTTTTGACTTTACTCTATGACTTCGCCAAAGCTTTTGATGGCGTTGAGCATCAAACGCTGGGAATTAAGTTAAGTGACTATGGAACTAAAGTCGCAGTTAAAAAAATGCTGTTGTCGCATCTGTTTCAAAGTTAAGAATGGGCGTTCCATACCGTCTCATTAAAATTAGTCTTGGTTAAAACCTGATGTTGTCTCAGACTTTTTACAATAGTCAATTTAGATGTGCATAAATATATCATAAGAAATGTTGATAAATTATATAATTATTATTATCAGACTATTATCATTTTTAATAAAAAATATATAAATAGCACGCGCTTTCGCGCCTTCCTGTTACACACTTCCGTCCCATTTCACTAAATCACTTCCACAGATTGCAGGAAAGCGAGAGGAAAGATGTTACACATAAATATGCGATAAAATGCGATGAGCGAGGGCTCGGAGTATTGGTCTGTTGAGTCAGAGACCAGTGCCTGTGTTGGTGATCGATACTGCAGATTGGAGGTTTGTCCCTTCGTTTATTGCATTATACCATTTGGCTCAAAGGTTGTACTGAATTTCTTTTCTAAATTATGGTGTTATTCCACTTCTATTAAGTTCATTATTATATAAGTTAAGTCATATGTTATGGAACTGTTAGGTCAGTTTGTTACGATCAAATTGTTCATATGATATTATGTATGACTGTTTGTTCCTTATTAAATAAATAAAAAAAAAAGTCCAATTGCTGGCATTTATTTAAATATGAATATTAGCAGCGATTTTACTATTTTATATTATTTCTATTAAATCATTAAGTAGAAATGATTTTTCCTGGGATTGACCAACACTAAAATGAAGTCACACGCTAGTATAGTTCCGGGCAGTAACATAACATTGTATCGTTAGACGTTTTAATGTCAGTCGTGGGACGTGCGACGCCATAATAGTCCAGAGAAACTTTTTTGCGGCAACTTGAAAATTGAATTTTTAATTTAGTTTTTTTTACTAAATCACACAACCGAATTAAAAATATACACTATAACGAGATAACGTGTGATGGGAGGCCTATGAATCATGAAAGAATTATCTCTTTATTGTACACCATGAAAATTTAAATTACAATTAATAGGGATGATGACTAATTTTTTGTATTGATTTGAAAATTCGCATGACGTCACGTTTTACAATTAAACAAGTACAATTTTCACTCAAAACTGACGTCACGAGCCCCTACTCCCAAACTTTGACGCGCTATAACTTTGTCATTTTTTGGTTGATTGCCCAAAGAAAAAATACGTGTCCATTATTTTTTGATCATCTAACTGACGGACTAAATAGAATTTCGTTACACATCAATAATAATTGACGACCTCCGTGGTCGAGTGGTTTGTACGCCGGGTTTCATGGTGTCGCCGACTCGAGAGGTCCCAGGTTCGAATCTCGGTGGGGGCAGATGTTTGTGTGATGAATACGAGCATTTGTACTCCAGTCATGGATGTTTAATATGTATTTCTATATAAATATACTTATATATATACAGTATATGTATTCTATCCGTTACCCTAGCATCCCATAACACAAGCCTTACAGTGCTTACTTTGGGGCTAGGCTAATTGGTGTGAGTGTTGGACATATCTATTTATTATTATTGAAGTTATACTTCTTTAGGCGCGTTATGAAAAAATGATGAGAGTGAAATTTTAAGATGCGCGCGCATCACTGTAACACAAAAAATTACCACACATCAAGAAAATCTACCAACAAAATAGAAATAAAATCTATTTAGTGGGTGCTAACGACTGCATTGTGAAGGTCTATCAAAAGTATTTATTAATCTGGAACAACGGAACCAAAGCGCGATTCAGGAGACTACAGCGCCATCTCTTGACCATTGGTGTAGTAGAACCAAAAACCACATCTTTATTATTTGAATGACTTACGGCAGCATGCAGACAGTCATGCGCGGCTTGCTCGCTCTCGTAAGTGATGAATCCGTAGTTGGGGTGCCTCGGGGCTCCGGGCGCCGCGGGCTTGCTGTGCACGCGCAGCTCCGCGACGGGCCCGAAGCGGGCGAACAATGCGCGCAGCTCCTCCTCCGTGGCGGAGTGGGGCAGGTTGCCGAGGAACAGTTGCTGCGAGTCCGAGTATCGTCGGCTGCCGCCTGCGCCGCCTGAACCGCCGTCGCCTGCTTATAAACGCACAAACGAATCCTTTAAACGGAGCGGTTTATACTTGCCAAGTTTATCACGGACATCGACACTTCAAAGGTTTTCTTATTTTATTTTTTATTTATTTAATTCAGGTAACGAACAGTCTTATACGAACAATTTTACAATTTATGTTTACGAATAGACCTAAAGTACCATTAATTGATATACAATTATTATATTCAAGCGGCATAGAAGTGACGGGTAACTATAAACATATGATGTGCATCGCCGCCGCACATGTTAACTATTTAAACAATAATTCACTTACTTTCCTTTTGAAGCTGTAAAGTGATTCACTGAAAATATCTGCTTCGTTCAAGTTCTTATTGTAAAAATTACATGTCCGTCTAAAAAAGGTTTCTCTAGCATAGTTGGTATGGCAACTCGAAACATAAAAGGTATCTTTTGAACGTGAGGAGAAAGGAGGAACTTTGAGTACAATACTCTGCACAAGTTGAGCTGAGTCTATGTGATTGTTTATTATTTTATACAGAAACATGGCATCCAAATACTGGCGTCTACAGACCAATGACTGCACTTCATGTCTTTTTGCACTCTCTTCATAATCATTATGATAAAATCTGACACGATAATCTAATGATTTTATGAATTTGCGTTGTACACGCTCTATTCTATCCTTGTGCACAGCATACTGAGGACTCCAGACCACGCTACCAAACTCCAATATACTCCGAACGTATGCGTTATAAAGGATCTTAAGAGTACTGCCTCTGGCGAAAGGCTTTCCTAGTCGTAGGATTAGCCCCAACTGCTTAAACGCCTTGGCTACCATACTGTCAATATGCAAATTAAAGTGTAACTTGGAATCCAGAGTTACTCCTAAATCGCGAATAGAATTCGTGCGGATTATACTTTGATCAGAGATTCTGTAATTATACTGGATAGCATTATTTTTACGAGTAAAGGTTATTTATTACATGACACTTATCTAAGTTCAAGAGCAAGTAATTGTTTTTACAAAAACGTTCAAAATTGTTCAAATCTTTCTGTAAACTTTCACAATTATCAGAATTTCGCACTATTTTATAAATTTTTGTATCGTCAGCGTACATGAGAAAGTGAGAGCTAGTAAAGCAACGGCTGATATCGTTGACATAAAGACAAAATAAAAATGGTCCCAGGTGGGACCCTTGCGGAATTCCTGAGGGAATATTTAAGAATCTCGATCGGTAACCCTTGAGTGCAACAGCTTGACTACGATTTCTGACATATGACTCAATCCATCTTAGCAGATCGCCATGTATACCGACCCCGAAAAGCTTTTTTATTAATAAAGAATGATTAATTTTGTCGAACGCCTTCGAGAAGTCGGTATACACGGCACCCACCAAGATGATCCTCATCATCCATTTCGGGCGGGCGCGACTCGTGCGGCGCGGGCGCTGCGTTGCCGGCCGCCGCAGTGTGGGGGCCGGGGGCGGGGGCGGGGGCGGTACTCACCGGGCGGTTGATGTGACCGCGGCGGGCGCGGGCGCGACTCGTGCGGCGCGGGCGCTGCGTTGCCGGCCGCCGCAGTGTGGGGGCCGGGGGCGGGGGCGGGGGCGGTACTCACCGGGCGGTTGATGTGACCGCGGCGGGCGCGGGCGCGACTCGTGCGGCGCGGGCGCTGCGTTGCCGGCCGCCGCAGTGTGGGGGCCGGGGGCGGGGGCGGGGGCGGTACTCACCGGGCGGTTGATGTGACCGCGGCGGGCGCGGGCGCGACTCGTGCGGCGCGGGCGCTGCGTTGCCGGCCGCCGCAGTGTGGGGGCCGGGGGCGGGGGCGGGGGCGGTACTCACCGGGCGGTTGATGTGACCGCGGCGGGCGCGGGCGCGACTCGTGCGGCGCGGGCGCTGCGTTGCCGGCCGCCGCAGTGTGGGGGCCGGGGGCGGGGGCGGGGGCGGTACTCACCGGGCGGTTGATGTGACCGCGGCGGGCGCGGGCGCGACTCGTGCGGCGCGGGCGCTGCGTTGCCGGCCGCCGCAGTGTGGGGGCCGGGGGCGGGGGCGGGGGCGGGGGCGGGGGCGGTACTCACCGGGCGGTTGATGTGACCGCGGCGGGCGCGGGCGCGACTCGTGCGGCGCGGGCGCTGCGTTGCCGGCCGCCGCAGTGTGGGGGCCGGGGGCGGGGGCGGGGGCGGGGGCGGGGGCGGTACTCACCGGGCGGTTGATGTGACCGCGGCGGGCGCGGGCGCGACTCGTGCGGCGCGGGCGCTGCGTTGCCGGCCGCCGCAGTGTGGGGGCCGGGGGCGGGGGCGGGGGCGGTACTCACCGGGCGGTTGATGTGACCGCGGCGGGCGCGGGCGCGACTCGTGCGGCGCGGGCGCTGCGTTGCCGGCCGCCGCAGTGTGGGGGCCGGGGGCGGGGGCGGGGGCGGTACTCACCGGGCGGTTGATGTGACCGCGGCGGGCGCGGGCGCGACTCGTGCGGCGCGGGCGCTGCGTTGCCGGCCGCCGCAGTGTGGGGGCCGGGGGCGGGGGCGGGGGCGGTACTCACCGGGCGGTTGATGTGACCGCGGCGGGCGCGGGCGCGACTCGTGCGGCGCGGGCGCTGCGTTGCCGGCCGCCGCAGTGTGGGGGCCGGGGGCGGGGGCGGGGGCGGTACTCACCGGGCGGTTGATGTGACCGCGGCGGGCGCGGGCGCGACTCGTGCGGCGCGGGCGCTGCGTTGCCGGCCGCCGCAGTGTGGGGGCCGGGGGCGGGGGCGGGGGCGGTACTCACCGGGCGGTTGATGTGACCGCGGCGGGCGCGGGCGCGACTCGTGCGGCGCGGGCGCTGCGTTGCCGGCCGCCGCAGTGTGGGGGCCGGGGGCGGGGGCGGGGGCGGGGGCGGGGGCGGTACTCACCGGGCGGTTGATGTGACCGCGGCGGGCGCGGGCGCGACTCGTGCGGCGCGGGCGCTGCGTTGCCGGCCGCCGCAGTGTGGGGGCCGGGGGCGGGGGCGGGGGCGGTACTCACCGGGCGGTTGATGTGACCGCGGCGGGCGCGGGCGCGACTCGTGCGGCGCGGGCGCTGCGTTGCCGGCCGCCGCAGTGTGGGGGCCGGGGGCGGGGGCGGGGGCGGTACTCACCGGGCGGTTGATGTGACCGCGGCGGGCGCGGGCGCGACTCGTGCGGCGCGGGCGCTGCGTTGCCGGCCGCCGCAGTGTGGGGGCCGGGGGCGGGGGCGGGGGCGGTACTCACCGGGCGGTTGATGTGACCGCGGCGGGCGCGGGCGCGACTCGTGCGGCGCGGGCGCTGCGTTGCCGGCCGCCGCAGTGTGGGGGCCGGGGGCGGGGGCGGGGGCGGGGGCGGGGGCGGTACTCACCGGGCGGTTGATGTGACCGCGGCGGGCGCGGGCGCGACTCGTGCGGCGCGGGCGCTGCGTTGCCGGCCGCCGCAGTGTGGGGGCCGGGGGCGGGGGCGGGGGCGGGGGCGGGGGCGGTACTCACCGGGCGGTTGATGTGACCGCGGCGGGCGCGGGCGCGACTCGTGCGGCGCGGGCGCTGCGTTGCCGGCCGCCGCAGTGTGGGGGCCGGGGGCGGGGGCGGGGGCGGTACTCACCGGGCGGTTGATGTGACCGCGGCGGGCGCGGGCGCGACTCGTGCGGCGCGGGCGCTGCGTTGCCGGCCGCCGCAGTGTGGGGGCCGGGGGCGGGGGCGGGGGCGGTACTCACCGGGCGGTTGATGTGACCGCGGCGGGCGCGGGCGCGACTCGTGCGGCGCGGGCGCTGCGTTGCCGGCCGCCGCAGTGTGGGGGCCGGGGGCGGGGGCGGGGGCGGTACTCACCGGGCGGTTGATGTGACCGCGGCGGGCGCGGGCGCGACTCGTGCGGCGCGGGCGCTGCGTTGCCGGCCGCCGCAGTGTGGGGGCCGGGGGCGGGGGCGGGGGCGGTACTCACCGGGCGGTTGATGTGACCGCGGCGGGCGCGGGCGCGACTCGTGCGGCGCGGGCGCTGCGTTGCCGGCCGCCGCAGTGTGGGGGCCGGGGGCGGGGGCGGGGGCGGTACTCACCGGGCGGTTGATGTGACCGCGGCGGGCGCGGGCGCGACTCGTGCGGCGCGGGCGCTGCGTTGCCGGCCGCCGCAGTGTGGGGGCCGGGGGCGGGGGCGGGGGCGGTACTCACCGGGCGGTTGATGTGACCGCGGCGGGCGCGGGCGCGACTCGTGCGGCGCGGGCGCTGCGTTGCCGGCCGCCGCAGTGTGGGGGCCGGGGGCGGGGGCGGGGGCGGTACTCACCGGGCGGTTGATGTGACCGCGGCGGGCGCGGGCGCGACTCGTGCGGCGCGGGCGCTGCGTTGCCGGCCGCCGCAGTGTGGGGGCCGGGGGCGGGGGCGGGGGCGGGGGCGGGGGCGGTACTCACCGGGCGGTTGATGTGACCGCGGCGGGCGCGGGCGCGACTCGTGCGGCGCGGGCGCTGCGTTGCCGGCCGCCGCAGTGTGGGGGCCGGGGGCGGGGGCGGGGGCGGTACTCACCGGGCGGTTGATGTGACCGCGGCGGGCGCGGGCGCGACTCGTGCGGCGCGGGCGCTGCGTTGCCGGCCGCCGCAGTGTGGGGGCCGGGGGCGGGGGCGGGGGCGGTACTCACCGGGCGGTTGATGTGACCGCGGCGGGCGCGGGCGCGACTCGTGCGGCGCGGGCGCTGCGTTGCCGGCCGCCGCAGTGTGGGGGCCGGGGGCGGGGGCGGGGGCGGTACTCACCGGGCGGTTGATGTGACCGCGGCGGGCGCGGGCGCGACTCGTGCGGCGCGGGCGCTGCGTTGCCGGCCGCCGCAGTGTGGGGGCCGGGGGCGGGGGCGGGGGCGGTACTCACCGGGCGGTTGATGTGACCGCGGCGGGCGCGGGCGCGACTCGTGCGGCGCGGGCGCTGCGTTGCCGGCCGCCGCAGTGTTGGGGGCGGGAGCGGGGGGCGGGGGGCGGTACTCACCGGGCGGTGATGTGACCGCGGCGGGCGCGGGGCGCGACTCGTGCGGCGCGGGCGCTGCGTTGCCGGCCGCCGCAGTGTTGGGGGCGGGGGCGGGGGCGGGGGCGGTACTCACCGGGCGGTTTGATGTGACCGCGGCGGGCGCGGGCGCGACTCGTGCGGCGCGGGCGCTGCGTTGCCGGCCGCCGCAGTGTTGGGGGCGGGAGCGGGGGCGGGGGCGGTACTCACCGGGCGGTTGATGTGACCGCGGCGGGCGCGGGCGCGACTCGTGCGGCGCGGGCGCTGCGTTGCCGGCCGCCGCAGTGTTGGGGGCGGGGGCGGGGGCGGGGGCGGTACTCACCGGGCGGTTGATGTGACCGCGGCGGGCGCGGGCGCGACTCGTGCGGCGCGGGCGCTGCGTTGCCGGCCGCCGCAGTGTTGGGGGCGGGAGCGGGGGCGGCTTGGGCGGGCGCGGCGGCCACGGGTAGGGCGGGCGCGGGCGCGGAGGGCGGGGAGGCGCGGGTCACGTGGGCGCCACCGCCCGACTTGAGCAGGTTGGCGTAAGTCTTCGGCTCCGGCGGCAGTGATGGTGTCGCTGTGTGGAATCAACGAAATAACTTTACTATCGAGTTACTAGAAGAACGAACCTGGGAAACCAGGTTAGACTTTTCAGTCTCATATGGGTAATATTTCACACTTCGACAGTATATAGATTAGATATACCCGGACCTTAAAAAGTTTAGTTAGAAGAATAACAAATCCCGAAAGTTTAGAACATTTTTTAACTACGTTGTCGATGTGTTCCTGGAAATCTAACATCCTATCGACTACAATTGATAAATCTCTGATGCTCGTGATTTCGCTCAATGAAAAACCATAACGATTTTAAGAGCTAAGGATTCCATAAAATATTGTGGTTAATTTTTTATTCTACGACAGATGTTGACGAAGTTATAACCAAATTACTAAAGGAATTTTCGGCTGACCGCGTGGTGGCTAACGGGCGCGAGCGTGCGTAGAGACGCTACTGAAGTTCGACCGGAGTGAACCACGACCGAGCTCTGTGACGTCACACGTTTCGGCCGTCGGTGAATATTGGCTACCATAAAATTAATTATAAAATCGCAATGAATGAACAAATTTCGACGCTTTAAAAAATATTGTTAATTAAAAGCATATTAAATCATTATACTGTTGATTTTGAGTTGATTTGCTGACCTAGTAATAATCCTCATTGAACATTGTTGACATAACATGTGGGAGAAGTCGGATGTTTTTTTCTAGAAAAATTGATTAGAACAAACTTGGAAGCATTAAGTTTCGTTTTATTATTTTGGCACCACTGGTATATTTTGTCAATGTCTTGTTGTAAGATGCGCGTGTGTGTGTGATACAAACTTTCTGTATAATTTAAGATCATCAGCATATAAATGTAAGTTTGAATCTATATTATTGCATAGGTCGGTAACAAAGAGCACAAAGAAGAGTGGATCTATGTGAGAACCCTGTGGTACACCAGATGGCACTTCCTTTGGCTCAGAAACGAAACAAAACGGATTCTAATAATTTGGGACCGATATCGGTGATAAGATTCACACCATCTCAACAATTAATCATATATACCAGCATGTTCCATGTTTATGATCAACCACATCAAAAGCCAGCTAGAAGTCAGTAAAAATCGCATGAACTTCTAAAGCTTCTAAAACTTCTGTAATGTTACAGACATAATCCGTAAGGTTCATTGTAGTTGTTTACTGTGGCAAAAATCCATTATATATTAAATTAACATATTGCAGTGTAAAGAGTACGACTACCATCTTATAGCAATTATGACATAGACAGGAGGGCACTGCTGATTAACAAATGACAATGGTGACATACCTGGAGGCGGCGTGGGCTCTCGCACCGGCTCCGGCTCGGGCTCTCGCTCTACCGCCGGCTCTGGCTCCGGCTCGCGTTCCCTTTCTCTCTCCCTCTCCCTGTCGCCACTCGTCATGCTGCTCGCTACAACATTTTATTATTAGATATTAAGGACATTGTTTACTTACATACAAAATAAAACTGATTCTTTTGCAACAAATAATTTACACTATATATTCAACGAATTAGAACAGTGATCCCACGCAAACTGCGATCAACACGCTGATCATGGGATTAGTTGGGATTATCTTCTTTAATGAATGGAAAGCCAAATTCAATTTGCAGATATTTGATTTGTCAAAGTATTTTCTTTTGTCTGTGTGTGTGTGTCGCGTTAGTATTGAAGTTTGGAACTATGTTTGTAGCGGCATTTGTTGAAAGGTGTTGCTTTTATATCATTTCTAATTCGTTGTATATATTAGTTATGTTTAACTTATACGTGGTGCGGGTAGGAACAACACTAAACTTACCACATACCACATAAATAGATCGCGTGCCAAAAAAGTATGAAAAGGGTGACCAAAGGTGATTATTTAACGATATTTTTTATTTCTTCGCGTTAATAGCAATTTAAAAAAAATGTCTTATGCCAAATTAAGTTGTAAAAAAGATTACGAATTAAAACGAGTGGCCCGGGTGCATGCTTTTCCGCCATGGTTTTTATAAATGTTGAAGCACTTAAATCTAGATTTGCCTAATGTGTTTTCAAAATATGATACCACATTAGGTGGCGGAAGAGCATGGATCACGCCCACCTATTAAATTTTCTCGTTTTCATAGCTTACATATGACATAATAGGGTATTTGACAAGTTTTGGAAAACGATCTCACGTTACTTACTTTTGTTTATGGAGTCTATAAAAGTAGATATACATCATTCTCTTGTGTATTATAGTAAAAATAACTAAAACAAAAACTCAATGTTCAAAATGCCGTAAAAACGTTTCTCTGGGCAATGTGGTGTGTCACTGGTGTGTGACGTCACACGACTGCCGTTAAAACGTCAAACGATACAATGTCACGTCACTTTGACCCAAAGTTTACTAGTGTGTGACGTCATTTTAAGCTCCGCCAATACCAGGCATTTTCAATCACGTGACAATATATATGAAAACTAATATCTTTTTCGTGGGTTTTTAGTAAAATTATGAATATTTTTTTTGTTATAATAGTTAAAACCTCCTGCTAACAATTAGTACTTTATTTCTAATACTGTCAAATACCCTATTACACAATTTTTCAAGTGAAACTTCTTTTCGGACGGGAAGTAAGAAATATGAACTAAAATTGATTTTTTTTTTATAGATAGGTCCGACAAATGACTCAAATGATAGACCATTTTTGAAATAAAAAAAATAAATTTGCATTTTTTTTCGAATGTATACCTATACCATAGTAGAGCACCTAAGCGTGTGTAATGTACCTTGTAGCGCGGCGACGAGATGCCGCGTCGCCTCATCGTGCTGCGGGTGTCCGTTGACATGCGGCGGGGCCGCGGCCACAGGCGGGGCGGCGGCGGGGGCGGGCGCGGGCGCGGGCGTAGACGCGGCGGGGGCGGGGCTGGGAGTGGGCGCGCTCACAGGAGCGGGCGGCGCGGACAGGGCGGGCGGGGGCAGGGCGGGCGGCGCGGGGAAGGCGGTGGGCGGCGCGGGGAAGGTGGCGGGCGGCGGGGGGAAGTAGCCCGCCCCCGTCCCTCCCGTGCTGGGCTCCTCCTCCTCGCCTTCGGACCGCCCCGAGCCGGAGCCCTCCTCGTCGGAGAACACTATGTCCTGTCGACGAATACGTACGTCTCAATAATTTACTTATTTATTTTAAACTTTATTGACCAATGCTAATAGCATTCTCTCCCAGTCAACCTTTGGGAAAAAAGAAAAACGCGAACGGCGGTATAAAACTAAATATACACATAAATATTGAAATAATATTAAAAATATAGTAATGGTGAAGAAAACTGACGATTTATCCCACCAGAGGTGCAGGCGTCGAATGGCCCATAAAAACAAATCAAGAAAGCTGTCAGGCACAACACAACCGATGAATTACGATATATATGGACTGCATTCCAAACCTACGCTCGAGATGCAAGAAATGTCAAATTTGATATATTTAATACATCTAAATTGAAACGTCAGGGTTAAAAGTTACGCTCACAGCGCAGATTTGGAACGCAAGCTTGAAGTGACAAGTAGTATATTATAAAGAAAATGGTTAAAGTGCCATCAGTAATGAGCTTTTCGTTTTCTTCCCCATTGCACAGGTCGGCTTTCAACAAGGTGAACTGACGATCTTGTAAATGACGCGGGAAGTCGCTGACCGATAGGTTTAAAATTACTTGAGGGAGGCATATGTGGCGTCTCTCGTCTGTTATTATTAATTTTGTTTGTATGAGGACGACGAATGATTCCATCCCACCTGATGTTAAGTGACGGTGAAGTCCAGATGTGAAGATTAAAGAGCTGGTACAGCAGTTCTACTTGCCACACCAGTCATCCTCACCTTGCCGGCCTGTAAGTTGCTTCTTTACGCCTCTTTTAAAGGGTCCCAGGTTGTAAGGAGGGAACACGTGAGAGGCAGAGTATTCCATTAACGGATAGCGCGACAAAGAAACGAGTCACCAAATTTCTTTTTACGCTTTGGAATAGGGTATTTGACAAGTTTTAGAAAACGATCTCACGTTATTGACTAATGTTTATGAAGTCCGTAAAAAGTGGATATTCATCATTCTGTTGTGTATTTCAGTAAAAATAACCAAATCAAAAACTCCATTTTCAAGTTGCCACGAAAACGTTTCTCTGCACAAAATGGCGTCTTACTAGTGTGTGACGTCACACGACTGTTATTAAAACGTCAAACGATACAATGTAATGTCACTTTAACCGGAAGTTTACTTGCGTGTGACGTCATTTTATGCTCCGCCAATCCCAAGCGTTTTGGGTCACGTGACAATAGATAAGAAAACTATTATCTTTTTCGTTAGTTTTTACTAAAATTATGAAGATTTTTTTGAAGTTATACTTCTTTAGGCGCGTTATGAAAAAATGATGAGAGTGAAATTTTAAGATGCGCGCGCATCACTGTAACACAAAAATTAACAGCATATGTTACTTTTGTGTTTACCGCACATTAAGAAAATCTACCAACAAAATAGAAATAGAATCTCTATTTAGCGGGTGCTAACGACTGCATTGTGAAGGCCTATCAAAAGTATTTATTAATCTGGAACAACGGAACCAAAGCGCGATTCAGGAGACTACAGCGCCTTCTCTTGACCATTGGTGTAGTAGAACCAAAAACCACATCTTTATTTTTTGTAATAAAGTAACAGTTATAGGTATTCATATTTATAATATTTATCCACATGTTTCTAGTTTGTATATTCGGAATACGTGTTTGAGTTTCATACAAGTGCAAATCACATATGTTCTAATAAATTATATTCAGTAGCGATTTTAATTGAATATTTTGATTATTTATTTATTTTTTCAAATTAAAACTGAACTTTATTGACTGTGTCCTTTTCCAGACTTTTTATTAATATTCAGTCTAAACACAGATGCTAAGAATTGGCACTTTATTTTTAATATTGTCAAATACCCTATTGTTCGCGCTTTAACTACGCGCGGGAAATATGCAAACCGCCGAACACTACCGAATGATCACGACGGCGGCCGACGGGCGTTGTCGGCAACAATCGTTTTTTATTATAACGGCTCTTGAGAGAAGACAAGACACAGGAAAACTTTACTCGCTTCGTTTGATTGCATATACATTATATTAATATTAGCAAATCTGTAATTATAAATTTAATTAAAGATTAAATGCTTGTAAAGGAATCAAGATTGGGATTATTATTTCCTGGAGTTAACACCTATTGTGACCACAGTTAGACGGTGATGATGATACTAGTTATAATAATAATAATATCATTTACTGTCAGACAACACAGATCCATATGTTAGTATACAATATAACTTATAACTAAGGGTTAGTAGCCTACAAGTAAGTATTCACAAAAGTTTAGATTTTTAATACGTCATGTACCTTAGAGGCACTCCGCGCGAACGATACCAGGAAGAATAATTAACTTCTATTTCAGTTATCATTCGCACGGATTGCCTCCAAAATGGTGCATGCGGATCACCTGCCACGACTCTCAGAATGGTGTTGTTATTGTTGTTATTTTGATGATGTACTTGTATTTGTTTCTTAGGTTTTCACGCACATCACTCATTAAATAAAACTAGTTTTTACGGGTTAATGCACGAAACTTTATTTATTTATTGACGTTTCGTAGCCTTTACAGGCTTCGTCGTCAGAATAAAACTTTTATTTAATTTGTCGAGCTACCTTCGAAAGACTTTTATTGAGCGTTTGGTTATTTCATTGTTCGATTTTTAAGTTTTATTGTCTATGTATGAATTTATTATTTAATTTACTTAATAAAGTATTTTTTTTTTTAAATTATTTTTTGTAATTTTGAGTTTATTCATTTGACCCTAACTACCGTAAACTACCACCGGTTCCAAAATTGGGAGACCTTTCTGAGAAGAACCGGCGAAACAAACTCAAGAGAGGCGTTCTATCTCCTTCTTATGTTAAATTATGCAAACAAAAAGAAGTAATAGTATCTGTTGGTCTTGCAGTGTGTGCTCGGGGTTGGGATTTTATTTGATGTAGTTGTAGTTATGATGATGATGATGTGTATACCTGATAGCGGAAGATGTCGTTGTGCACGTAGTACTTCTTGGGCGACTGCGCGGCCAGCACGAAGGTCTGCGTGAAGCGTCGCATGGGCGCGCCTCCGTTGGACAGCTCGCCGGTCACCTGCACCACCACGCCGTTGCCGAGCGTCGCCTGCGCGTCAACCTGACACCATACCACAAACACGTTTTTGAAGTTATACTTCTTTAGGCGCGTTATAAAAAAATTATGAGGGTGAAATTTTAAGATGCGCGCGCATCTGTAACACAAAAAATTAACACCATGAAGTTGGTCGCTTTAGCGACCAACTTCATGTGCCGCGCTGCCATTACCGCGTCGCCCGCCGCACCGTACGCATGCGCGGCCACTCGCGGTCCTAGCGCGGGAAACACGTACAACAAACATCGGGAAAAGTTACGAGTTTTGAATTTAGAACAGAGACTGTTTTCATATCTATATATATAAAAATGAAACCCGTTTTCCGTTGTCACGACATAACATGAAAACGGCTTGACCGATTTGGCTGTTTTTTTTTGTAGTTTTCTAATACTCTGTACAAGGTTCTTACGGAAAAAAATATAAAGAAAATCCCAAGGGGATAAAATAAGGAATGAAAGTTTGTATGAAACTTTATCAATTTTAAACCGATCGGGCTGAGACTTTGCATGCAGGTATAAGAAGAATCATAGATGAATGTCATTGTGTATAATACAAGCCTGAAAACAAAAACTGTAATCTACACTTCAGCTCTACACCGAAGCGAAGCGAGGGCGGGCCGCTAGTTTATAATATTTATCCACATGTTTCTAGTTTGTATATTCGGAATACGTGTTTGAGTTTCATACAAGTGCAAATTACATATGTTCTAATAAATTATATTCAGTAGCGATTTTAATTGAATATTTTGATTATTTATTTATTTTTTCAAAATAAAACTGAACTTTATTGACTGTGTCCTTTTCCAGACTTTTTATTAATTTATTGTAATTAATTATTTGCATGCAATTAAAAACTAATTTTAAACGATGCCAAAGAAGGATAACTTCTCACGCGCCTACATAAGTACACGCACCCACTTTTTTTATCTAAAAAAGTTTTACTAGAAAAAAATCCACGCGGGCCAGGCAGCGGACGGGACTGGAACCCACATCTCAGATCAAAACTACTCTTATGAATAAGGGCTATTATAAAGTTGATGATTATCTGAATGATCGTAGTGCACGGACATAGTGTTTCTTATAATTTGTTATTTAATGGGTATTAGTCATTTTTCATAACAGTAATATATATACTAAATATAATGTTAATTATAAAATTTATTGTAACTACATATATATTTATATTCTAAATGATGTAATGGAAAGTGACTTCAGACGTATCTGTGAAGTCATTTTTCAACTTGACGACTCTGTATAACAATACAGGGAGACATAAAACAGCCCTTGCTGAGTTTCTTGCCGGTTCTTCTCAGTACAAGGTCTCCCGCCGTAGTTTTGCGAACCGATGGCGTAGCTTCTTGACCTTCACAAGTGCTTGTAACAGCCTAGACTGAATAAATGACTTTTCATTTCATTTTTATTTCATTTAATTTCATCCCTCGCAATCCGGGCGAATGCACTGACGTCGATATTTTCCTAGCCTTAAGCTGCAAGGCAGAGCCATCTCTTCGCATTGTAGGTAACCCACAATGTCAAATGAATACATTTTCAAGTATTAAACATTTGAAAGAAAAAATAGCAATTATAGTTATGTTTTTTATTTATTTACAATAAGCATTTAACTGCTAGATGTTTAAATCTAAAGAAAAGTTTTACTAGAAAAAAGTCCACGCGGACCAGGCATCGGACGGGAAACATAACGTTTTTTAATTTCAAAAGTCACATTACTGATATTTCATCCGTCCAACTTGAAAAACTCATCAAAATTGCATAAACAGGTTAATACCCAACAGTGCCAGGGGCAGCATGGTCATTAAAAGCCTAATGCTTTTAATAACCATGCTGCCCCTGGGACTGTTGGGTCATTTTATGGTACTAGGTCATCCGAAAACCTAGTACCATAAAATACCATCACACCACAAGTGATACGACCGATCACACATTTCAACCGTACAACTTGAAACACTGGTCTAAATTGAATAAATAGCTTCATACGCAACAGTAGCAACGGCAACATGGCCGATGAAAGCATTAGCATCCGAAAATGAATTAAACTCTTGATCTTATTTCGCATTTTATTAACTAGCGGCCCGCCCTCGCTTCGCTTCGGTGTAGAGTTGAAGTGTAGACTACAGTTTTTGTTCTCAGGCTTGTATTATACACAATGATATTCATCTATGATTCTTCTTATACCTTCATGCAAAGTCTCAGCCCGATAGGTTTAAAATTGACAAAGTTTCATACAAACTTTCATTCCCTATTTTCCCTTGGGGGTAGAATTGATCAAAATCTTTTTTTAGCGGATGCCTACGTCATAACATCTACCTGCATGCCAAATTTCAGCCCGATCCGTCCAGTGGTTTGGGCTGTGCGTTGATAGATCACTATGTCAGTCAGTCACCTTTGAGTTTTATATATAAAGATAGAGATGTTATTCAAGTATATGTATATTGATGCATTTCTTTAATTTTAGAAGGCATGTTACTGTTATTTATTATACCATAATAATTTTGTTGGGGTGTCGCCTGTGAAAACCCAAGTGAGTATATTCGCGGGTTTATCGAAGTACCCTGAGTCACATTAACTTACACAGATCATCATAGTGGAATAATAATATATCTAATAGTATAGGAGAAAAAGATATAAGCAAATATTTTAGCTTGCTTTACTACGAGTACAAAGTATCTTCTTGGCCATTTAAAGTTTATCATCAAGTTTCATTTCAATATGTAATTGTCATACAAAATTAAGCAGACAGCTCATCATCATTTGCATTGTCAAAATGATTAATGGCATATCAACTTAAAAATAATGATGATGTGCAAACCAGAAAATAGTTTGTAAATATATCGACATTACATAATTTCAATAACTTGGGGAAAATTAATGGCGATGTAATTGCAGTTTAGTTTACTTTAATGATGGGTCATTAGAATACAAATGACAACTTGGACATTTCACAATAACAACCTGATTGTTTTCCTGCTTTCGTTACAGTGATTCATTCCTATCAGTTTTAGTAGCATTGTTATCTTATCTACTGTATTAGCTTATCATAATAGACTGCAACTCTTACTGATGTCATGTATCTTGTAAACAAATTATACTAAAATATAATTAAACATTGAATAACATCAATAATATTATTCATGCTGCTTCCAGATCAACATACAAGTTATATTATATTAGTATTGTTATATATAATTATGTAGTTATTTAAGTATATTTATAGTTACATTGTAATTATTATATTAAGTAACATGTAGTTTTATCAATTTAATTTTGTTTTTCTTTCTCTTTTACTATATGTAATGCTTTAATTTACTTTACCGCATTACATCTCTGCTTAGCCCGATGGTTGACTGGTAGAGAATGCCATGTGGCATTAAGTCCGCCATTTGTTACAAAACAACAAAGAGTTAATAAGTAAATACAATGCAAGATTGATTTTGAATTCATGAAGCCAGATACTCCCATTCCTGCCGCGAGGATCAAGCGCAATTTAGGGTGTAGGTGGGGATGACTGTTAATTGTGATATATGTAAGCAAGCAGAGGCAATTCAAATGTAGAAAATTGCCCCTTCTAGCCTACATACATTACAATATTGTCATCCCCGCTCTTACGCCCTAGATTGCCCCTGCGCTAGGTATGTGAGTAGGGTCTCACTGAAATTAATATATCAAAATTAAAAATCATTTATTCAGCCTAGGCCAAGCACTTGTCAAAATCGAGAAGCTACGCCATTGGTTCGCAAAATTATATCGAATTGCTAACTCCCATGCTATAGTTTAGCATGGGTAAGTAAATAAAAACCATAAAATGCGTGAGCAGGATAGCTTTCTAACAGCAAATTAAGAAAATGGTCAATAAACCAATACTGAACGTGGCGTCATTCACGTCCATCTATGAGTGTGATATTAAATATAATATATTTGTATTAGGATGTCGTACGATTGATTCTCTGCCAACCTTACGACTGGATCATTATATAGATATAAATAAAAATAATCTTTCCCAATGAAGCGATGTCACGATATTTAATATACACGTGTATGTTTGTAACACAACCAAATGTCGTAATTTCTTTTACGTGCTGTTGAGTTTCTTTCGCCCGTTATCGGTGATTTGAGCAAAATACTTTTAATGACAATTAGACTAAAGTATATTTTGTCAGACAATGGTGTCGATTGAGGCATGATTCTCAAAACTAAACCTCAAATTAAATTTCACAACAGCGCATCCATGTCATTATCTTAACCTACAGAATGAAAAGGAGAGAATAATATTAAATTCAGTTTAAAGAATTATGCCTATTGTGTAGATTTTATTTTGTGAAAAGATTTGCAAATAAGCATATTAGTCCAGTCAGTATTGTCGCGAAATCCGTTTTTCCTCAAACAGCTGGAACTATGCTAAAAAGTTTCTTAAGATAGTAAAGAACACTTTACATAGAGAAAAAAATGTTTCCAACCCCGGGCAAGGGTGAAAACCACCCTTAATAATCTATTTTTCCAATTATCTCAAAAAGTATACGAGATACGGAAAAAAACTTCAAATGAAAATTGTAGATCTTTTTGAAATCTACAAAACATTATTCCACCCTCTTGCCCCTATTTTCAATAGGGGAGCCAATAATCGAAGTCAAAGATTCAATACTTAAAAAGTTAAAGTTAGTTAAAAAAGTTATCTTTGACTTCGATTATTGGCTCCCCTATTGAAAATAGGGGCAAGAGGGTGGAATAATGTTTTGTAGATTTCAAAAAGATCTACAATTTTCATTTGAAGTTTTTTTCCGTATCTCGTATACTTTTTGAGATAATTGGAAAAATAGATTATTAAGGGTGGTTTTCACCCTTGCCCGGGGTTGGAAACATTTTTTTCTCTATGTAAAGTGTTCTTTACTATCTTAAGAAACTTTTTAGCATAGTTCCAGCTGTTTGAGGAAAAACGGATTTCGCGACAATACTGACTGGACTATATGGCCCGCATGATGGTAAACTTCATAAATCCCCACATGCTTCGATTCATTTGCGAACGCGTTAAAAATATTACTCCTATAACCTCAACCTTAAAAACGCAAAATTAGGCATTATTTCAAGCTAGGAAAAAATTGTAACACAAGTCGGTAGGTTATACATATCAGAATTTTAATTTCTACTGATCAATTTAAACCTTTTACTAGTACGATAGAACCGCGTGGTAATTTTAATACTGGTCTTTTGTTTACAGGTTACTGTAACAGTTATGATTTTATTTATTTTTTAAGCATTTAACTGCTAGTTGTTTAAATCTAAAGAAAAGTTTACTAGAAAAAAATCCACGCGGACCAGGCAGCGGACGGGACTCGAACCCGCACCCTTCGCTATCCGGGCGAATGCACTGACCATTATGCTACCACGGCCCTATTAGCTGCCTTGCAGCTTAAGGCTAGGAAAATTTCGACGCGGCTAATAGGGCCGTGGTAGCATAATAGTCAGTGCATTCGCCCGGATAGCGAAGGGTGCGGGTTCGAGTCCCGTCCGCTGCCTGGGCCGCGTGGATTTATTTCTAGTAAACTTTTCTTTACTGTAACAGTTTTTCCCAGGCACACTGAATCTGGTGTTATTTTGTTCCTAACAAACATTCATAATAATATCAATGCACTTACAAGCCTGATTGTATATAACAACAACCCGATCGTTTTCCTGACAGAGCATTCCAAATAAACCACGCAAAGAAAACGGCTCATGTTACGCGCAATGTGTGCGTGACTCTAATGCAGAGTTCCCCAAACTTTTTGTGTCGTAGACCCCTTGCCATGTTTTTCCGTGTTGGGTAGATCCCCTACTTACCTGATATTGATTTTTTTTCGCTGACGTAGACCCCTTGCAGGTTGTCATAGACCCCTAGGGGTCGATATAGACCACTTTGGGAATCACTGCTCTAATGTTACATTGTACTAAACCTGTCAATGTGTGCTTGTGCAGCGACGAGCGAGCGTATCAATTATATGTAATATGTAGACATTTTTTGTGGCCCTTCTATGCAGTTAATACGGTATCTAAGCTTGTATAGTACATGTTACCGGCATTCTATAGAATCCCTAAAACTTAAAGGTAATCTATGAAATATTATTCATTTTATAGTTTGCCTAGGTATTCTATACAATGGCACAGTTGGCAATGTGTGTAAAAGAAGATAGCGAGTCGACTTTTCCTTTTTTTAGGTATTTATTTATTATCAGGCTGCTGGCGCTTCCGCGGCCGCTGCCGCTGCACGCTCGCTTCGCTCGCTCGGCTCGCGCTAAGTTTAGGCCACAACACTAACTTAACCTAACCTACTCTGGGTTGACGCTCATTGGTCTAAAATCACTTTATATATAACTGTGTAGGCTAGGTTAGGTTTGGTTAAGATGAATACAGGCCAAAAATTTTTATTTTACACTATTGCCGGTGGACCAGCAATAGTGTAAATAGACCAGTTTAGTTCTATACAATCCCTAAGAATCGAATAAATTACTTAGGTAAAGTATGAAATGGAAAATATTATTTATAATATATCATACATTGCCTAGTCGCCCCCGGCATTCTACAGGATGTTCAAAAATACAAATAAAGCTTGTAGGGCGTTGAAGTACATCATATAAGGAGTCTTCTCTAATTTTCTTAAAATATTTGCATGAAGTTTTAACTTTTTATAAAAACAGTTATTGTTAATGATCGTCGAACTAGTGAAGTATCTTAAAATGATCGATACTTTTATTAATCATTAAAAATAACTGTGTTCATAAAAGTTAAAACTCCATGCAAATATTTTAAGAAAATTAGAGAAGACCCCTTATATGATGTACTTCAACGCCCTTCAAGCTTTGTTTGTATTTTTGTAACACCCTGTATACATTGCCTAGGTATTGTATATAATACAGTTTGCGGGTAACATATATAATCAAAGCTTACTAATTTGTTCTTTGAAGACAAATTCAGCGCACTCGTGAACGAAATTACCTGGCTGATCTTGGCATGGCAGTCGCGGAAGTTGAGCTGCTGGATGCGGTTGTGTATCTGCTTCTGGCCGACCACCGGCAGCGTCTCGCGGTTGGGCGCGTCCAACCCACCGTGTACGAATGACGAGTAGTTGTTGTAGAACCTGAACAGAAAACTCTTGCTATATTCCGCCCAGTTCCACCGTCACTTAACTGGATCATCGTCAACATTATCGTCACTACTGCAGGACACATGCCTTCCTTATGGATGAAATACGAAGAACATGCCATGACCCACCGCGCAGTGCGGTCAGATGGGTGCTGACGACTGCAAATGCAGCCGGGACCAACGGCTTTAAGTGCCTTCCGAAGCACCGAGGAGCTCGAGATAGATTTTTTTCACCCACTTATCCCTTGGACCTATTGACTTTTAAATCTTGCATTAAAATTATTTAATAGATGTACACTAGGCTGTTACATAAATTTTTTACAATAAACCTCAAAAAAAAAACATGCAAAGTTTCGTGTCTAAGTTGGTATGGGAGATCATCCAAAAGTGCATAAGATTGATTAAAATTTTGCACACCTACTCAAAACTACCCTCATAAAGCAAGTTGAAATTTTAAATAGTGCATCAACGCACGCCTACACTTTTGGTCGTAAAGACATGACATTTAGTAAATAGGTTGTTTAAATGACGTAGGCATCAAGCGAGAAACGATTTTTTAAAAATTCCACCGTGAATTGGGTGTTATAGGGGTTCAAAGTTTGTATGGGAAAACGAGTTTGGCTAGCTTGAAAGCTTTGAAACTTGGCTTAGATAAACTAAGCTGAAAGTTAAAAAAAAACGTGTTTCATATTTCTTTGAGAAATAAGGATAGCAAGTTATCTATAAGATATATTCAACAACTTTGTTCTAATAGGTTATTTATTAACAGCTGCGCCCCACGGTTTTATCCGCGAAGTTCCCGTTCCCTTGGGAATTCTGGGATAAAAAGATATTTTAACGAAATTTCGATCGAAAAATCGCACGTTCCTTTCTCTGTTTCTTCTTCATTTCGAAAATTCGATCAACCGGAAATAGTTTGAAAATTAAATTCTCCAAGCCTACTCTAATTCACAAAACTTTCGAAAGAAAAATTGATCTTGACCGATAAATTGTTCGAAATTTTGACCACAAATTGACGTAATGAACTACTAGAGTATTTTTAATCGAGGTTGCTTAGCGTGATAGTGTGGAGAACATTTTTTACATGTAAAATTAAAAAATACATTATATTTTTATAATTTATTGTATTTCCAATACTTCAAAGTATTAACAACAAAGGAGATTGGTCAAATTGGCCTAAATGCAAATAAAATTTTGACATATACAGTAATTCTTGGCGTAATTTATACTTTATTTTACAGTCATTAGATTTTAACGGCCACCTTTAAATAATATATTAATTTTAAAAAAGGACTTCTATTTTTACCGGTTTGGAAAACATACGAATCATTTTTATTGGCTATGGGTGTAGTAACATTCACAAAGACTGATCGAGGTTGTTTATATAACATCAAAACAAATCTATGTTGTAAAGACTGATAAAATATATTTTTTTTTTATTACACGGGTGGTATTAATATCCACAACTTTATTATCATTTTTACTACATGCAAATGTGCTAAGACAATTAATATAGATGGTAGGCGACATCATAAAGTCTATTGCCGTACATTTTTTGCCAAACACCTAAATAAACACATTATAAGGTGTGATACACTAAAAATCTAAAATATGGTTATAATAAAAACATAACAAAAATAATGAAGCTGCTGAAGATATGGCTGTATAACCTACAGCTCTTAGCTTTCTTTGATTAACGAGAGTTTAAAAATTCTCTCTAATCTGTGGCTCATTCACAATCATCACACAGTTTCTGTTCGTGTTTTTAAAAACATGCACATATCTGTTATTTTACATGCTCTATATACCTGAATCTAATACATAATATCGGTACTTGGCTTGATTGCCCTATTTTCCTATATAAGTTATTTTGTTTTTTTTATTCTAATACCTATGTGCCTATTTGCAAACATAACCTCAAAATCATTCAGTGTATACGGTTTATAGAAGTTCTCAGGAGTGGCCGTCGATAATATTCGTTTCTACGGTAATTTATATATAATTTCGAATGTAGGAAACAATTTTTCATGGTTATTGGTTTTTAGGCCAAACATGTATGGAAGCTGAGCAATCTCCTTTGGTTGACATATTGTATCAACTCTATAAATTAGTCGGCTAACACTGTCAAAGAAGGTTCTTTCAATGTCATATTTTCTTTTGTCGTAGCGTTTCCAAGTAAAAAACGTAATCTAAAAAGTGGAGATAAAAAGAACTCACAAACATGACTAATACCACTCCTTCACGAAAATTGTTTATGATTCCGAATTTTATACGAGTGTTCAAAAATAAAATAGTCACTGGCGAAATTTCGTTTCAGAGAAAGAGAGTAGGGCTCCTGTTTTCAGCAGATTTGCTCTGATTTGTTAATTAAATACTCTTAAAGCTTAAACTTCATACTTTGACTGGGCACAATGTTGGTGCAGTCTTTAGTTTACCGGGTATATATCTATACTTCTTCTTCTAAACTATCTATACTCTAAAGAGTATAGAGATAGTAAACTATTACGAATATACAAAGAGAGAAAACGATACACTGACTGACTCATCTTGACCCATTTTAAAAATTCTTTCACTAATAGAAAAGTTTATTGTAAAGGATTACAATAAAACAACATTTTTCCCAACAATTCTACGGCAACGAGACTACGGGTGTCAAACCCTGTTTCTTAAACCACTTAACTGATTTTCAAAACTCAATCTTCAATGTTTAAAATTGTAGAAGAATAAGCACAACTTTTGTTCTGCTAATTCCACGGACACGGGACCTCCAGGGGTAAAATTTTAAACCACTTGACCGATTTCGAAACCATTTTTACCAGATCGTACCTTATTTTTATATGCAGGCAAAAAGTACTATTTACAGACGACGGCGCCTTTAAGAGGCACACCGCCGAACGGACCTCACACCTGGCTCCCGCAAGCCTTACGAGCCCCAGCAGTGGCTGCCCACTGAGGACCCCGTAACTCTTACGGGCGCTTTACGGTATAATATCCGCTAAAAAACCCTGCGAATACTCTGAGCTTAGCGCGAAGCCGCGGTATCCCCGTTTAGGGATTCTTCCGCGTCTCCGCACCCAGCAGCCTTCCGACTTAGCCGGTGCTCCACGGCAGCGGTCTCCCGGGGTATCGCGGGGACCCCGCAGACGTGCGCAGGATGGTCCGCGCTTGGGGGTCGAGTACGAGGCCTAGTGCCCACTGTACCGCCTCCCGCTACCAGACCGTACCTACATAAAATATACCTATTATTTCCGGATGCCAAATCGTGCTTACTTAATACAATACTACCGTGCGTAGTCGGGACGTGTCATTATTTCTTCTACAAACTTCTTCTGTTGTGTAAAGAGGGAAATGGACATATTGGTCGATTGGCTGGTTGACTCATAACGCAAAGTCAAAACCGCTGAACCTAGATTATGTTTCTATAGTATTTAAAACACCCGTGCGAAGCTGGAATTGGCCGCTAGTAAATAAATAAATATGAAAACATTTTTTATGTGAATGAAAACTCAAATGTCTGCTCTTCAGTTAATAAAGTTTCTAATCTGATGATAGCACTTCTTCCGCATACAATTTAAAATTTGCTTACAATTGAAAATTATAACCCTAATTTACCTCATACCCAAAGGCTGTGTATGAGGTAAATTACGCCATATAATATATTTCAATGTAATCGCAAAAACTTAATAAATGGACAGTGTATAAAAACTACAGTATGATGGATAAACGTTGTATGAGGGATTTTTGTTGTAATGAAAACGCAAGCAGAAGAAACCCCAGCCAGACCGATGGTTCTACATAAATTTTTGGTTGTATTGACGAAGGCCTCAACAAAGTACTGTCGTGTTTTTTGACCGCGTGTGATTTTAAATAATAAAATGCTTTTAAAGGTTGGCAGTATAAAACAATAATAACATTCTTGCCATTTTTCTAAGTAGGTTCATAAGCCCCTAAATCTCCATTCAAAATTCAAGGATAAGAAACAAAGCCCCCATTCATGTATTCACAAACCTCGCATGTTTATTATCAGGTGGTATTTAAGCCCCACATAACAATAGCAAAATATTATCTTCATTTAGTTGTAACTAAATCGAAGACAGATAAGAAATCAGGTAGATCCATTGTTTATTGAAGGCGAAATAATTTACAAAAGATGTTTAATAAACCTTTAGGTACACAAAGAATGACCATTTTATTTTCATATTTGTTTAATTTTGTTTTATTTAGTTCAGGTAAAGTTTACCTGAGAGGGGCAATCGTCTAACGGGATCGCTATCGCTTACGATTTCATTTTGTAATTTCTCTCCGACCAAAGTTTTCAAATGCCTCGCGCTCTTTTAATTCTTTTAAAAAATTCAAAAATTCAAAATTCAATATCGTTTATTCAGTCTAGGCTGTTACAAGCACTTGTGAATGTCGAAAAGCTACGCCATCGGTTCGCAAATCTACGGCGGGAGACCTTGTACTGAGAAGAACCGGCGAGAAACTCAGCAAGGGCTGTTTTTTTCTCCTTGTATTGTATACAGAGTCGTCAAATTGAAAAATGACTTCAATATGAGGTAACTCATAAAATCACTTTCCATTACAAATGCTAATATAATAAAAATTATGACTATATAAAAAACTGGTTTAACAAAGTTTAGGAATGCTGTGTCCTGCTGTTTAGGCAAAAAAAAATTTTTTGCATTGGTAATCAAAATATTAAAGCAAAGTTAACGTGAGCTACTTGAAAACTTATAGTGGTCATATAACAAAATAAAATCGTAAGCAACAGCGTTAGCCGTATTAATCCCGTTAGGCGATTGGCCCCCTGGTCTAAAGTAGGTACCTAAGGACATAGTGACCATGGAATTTTTCAATAGAGGTATTTAGTTGTTAACCATTGAGTTACTAAATGACAGCATAATTAGGTTATAAATTAATTATTTTATTAATTTAGTTTACTTAATGATAACATACATTCCAAAGCTAATTGCAATGCTGTTTTAATGTAATAGTGATTAAGATACTTTCAAGACTTTGTATAGATGTAAATATCAAGGTAACATATTATTAGTATATCCATTTTTAAAACTATCAGAATGCAGCCAGTCAAGTCCCTCTTCTAAATTTGAATACACAATTATTTTAAAAATATGTTAAGTGCGAGTCGGATTCGCGCGCCGAAACAACCGTAGAAAGTTACTAAGTTGTGGGAAACGAGTATCGAACGCTTTCCTGTTTTAATATTTTCTTCATAGTCTTAGATTAAATCTAAAAGGGTAGATACGGTACGCTCATCTTATACAGGGTGTGACAAAAGTCCGAAATAAAACTTTAGGGTTTGGTTGTGTTCCTTGTATAGAATTACCTACGAAAGTTTGACGCCTTTCAAACCACTTTTATTTTCTAATTAAATTAATAAAAATATCGTTTTACACCTAACTATGACAACCCTATAAATGCGTACGATTACTACTACCTAAACAGACCCCCCTCTCTCCCCCAGGCGCCCCTGCGCCCCGCTCCAAAATCCAAGATACCTACAAATTTTATTTCGGAATTCTGTAACACCCTGTATATAAAATTCTCGTGTCACAATGTTAGTTACCATACTCCTCCGAAACGGCCTGACCGATTGTTGTGAAATTTCATATGCATATTCCGTGGGTCTGAGAATCGGCTACTATCTATTTTTTATTAAATCCTTAAGTGATAATGGTTGTCCACCTGTAACGTAGTTTTCTTAAACCTACAATGCGCCTTCGCGCCAAAATCAATCTTTTGGGTATTGTAATGTAGTGTTCTCATATGGGTTAGAAGGAATGTTATCCCAGGAAATAGATAGAACACTACGCCCTAAAATATTGTTTGGACAATATATTTTTTTATCATGTGGTATTAAAAAATAAATACAACCCTAAATATTCTCTTCTACCACCTGCCCCTATTTTTCTGGCGGTACGAAGTACGCTGGGTCAGCTAGTATTAGCATAAAATAAAATATTCTCCGATTCAACTACATAAAGCAACTCTCACGCACGCACACTTCTGTAAATAAACATTCAATCGAGCGAGCGAGACAGAACTGTAAGCTTCAACGCAGCGCGAGCGAAACGCCGAGTCCGCTTCGCTTGGCGACTGCGTTTTCTTTTCTCTCTCTACAAACGGCCGAGCTGTATTGTTGTCCTTTTTTAATAACAAATGCCGAAAAGGTAAATAACATTCATGACAAACAGCTATGTTAACGGGACGACACTATGATTTGATTTGACTCCCCTGCGAACGTCAAAATTATCAGCTTAAAATGAGCATAAACGGCAGTATGTTTCGGTTGTGTCGATTTAGCAGTTTTTTAGGATTGCCGATTTCTTTGATATTAATTTGAGCTTTATGAAGCTGAAATTAACTCCACGTGTTTCTGAGAAAAAAAAGTCGCGACAGACGGTTCGGTTGACATAAAAGTTTAAAAATTATAAAAAATTAACTTATTAACGTTAAAATATCACATTTTTTTGTTTTGGGGTTATCAGTGGAGGGTACTGTTCATATTTTATTCTTTCATATGATCTTCATTTAAAAATGACGTAATGGTTAAGTAAAACCCCAATGCCAGTCATACCAGCAATAAAAATAAAATTAGCTTTTAAAATTACTTGGTTATTTAAGGTCTGCAATGACTGGATTACCAAGTCTTGTTGAAAGAAAAGTTAATAAATGTTGTAAATAGTTGACACTTTGTCAGCTTATATCCCATTTGGACCCACCATAGAAGATTCTGCAGCCTAAAAGATTGGGGAAGCCTCATCCAGGGTTGTACTAGATAATTATCAAGATAAAGATAATTAGGTATATTGATAATATCATTTGTAATAACGTGTACACATCATTGATTGAAAGCACACAACCAGAAACAGACGATTAGGAAAACATAAGTACAGTTTCAAACTCAAATGAGGAGGATGATATCCCATTCCCGTTATTGGCCAAATATTAGAGATAAAATCCAATAAATATACTAAACTTTCATTTATAGGCATATACAGTGCAACCTTAATATAACAAATCGGAAGGGAACAAGTAAATATTCGTTATATCGAGTAATTCTTTAAACTGAGATTTGTTATATTGAGGTTAGGTTGGTCTAAAATTTGTTATAAAGAGGTAAAAAAATAGTTTCCTGGCGTGACATGAATCACGTACTATGAGATTAAAGGCCATATATTGATGGAAACGTTATATATAGAGGTTTTTGGTAGACAAAATTCGTTAATTAGAGGTACTCACTTTTTTTTGATAGTTAAAAATTTGTTATAAAGAGGTTGGTCGCAAAAAATGTTCGCAATGTAAAGGTATATTTTATATAGACTCTTATGGAAAATTCAAGGAGATTACGAAGAATTTGTTAAATCAAGGAACTCGTTATGTTGAGGTACGTTATATTAAGGTTGCACTGTATTATTTACCCATGGCTGGATACTTATCAAATAATTATTCGAGAAAATAATTATCTTAGCATATTATCAAGGCCCTGGCCTCACCTATGCAGATGGGCGGGCGCCTTGTTGAGCAGCGTGTAGTACTGGCGCACGAACTCGCGGCCAACGCTCTGCGGGGACGGGGACGCCTCCATTACCATTGCTGTTGTTCACGTGCGCCAATACAGCCCTCTGCTATATGTCGACCTGAAAACAAACACAATTAAATAACTATAGAACTAACCTTTTTAAAATTTGGCACACTGGATAGGTAGTTAGGTTTGTAGGTACTACAAATACCTACAGATACTTTTGTAGAGAGGGTGGGGGTGGGGGTTTGCAAATCTTAATTTTATTATTAGTGACCTCCTCCAAAATTTCAGTCTGATTATTTTTTGCTCGTCCTGCAAATATTGGACAGTTGAACAGGTTGAGTAAAGTATGATTTCATTTCATTTCAAAATAAATCAAAATGAATTCACGAAGTGTATTGGATTTTTTTTCCATAATGTCAATTTCTTTTTTTTTCAGGACATGGTTTTATTATGATATATTTTTTATGATGTTTTTGTTTTAAAATCTTAATGCTTCTCAATTTGTCATTAATAAATGTAAACATGCAAAACCACTCTGACCAACGAGCTGCTAGTTCAGAATAAAGTCCATAGTGTAAACATTTACTATTCATTTAATCAGCTCTCTAGTTATATTTTTATTTTTTAAGCATTTAACTGTTTCATGTTTAAATAAATCTAAAGAAAATTTTACTATAAAAAACCAGGCAGCAGACCAGGATTTTTTCTAGTAAAAATTTCTTTAGATTTAAGCTTTCTAGTCATCAGCAATCTTTCAATGGAATAATAATATAATTGAAAAAAAAATTGCTCACATTCATATAGAGCGATAGGTAGTAAATAAAAGAAATGAAAACACAAAAATGCCTACTTGCATTTTATCAACATGGGCTGATCCCCTACAGAGTGAACCTATAGTAATGTAAACGACTTAAGAAGCACAGCTTGAATAGTCTTATTTGGCTGCTGGTACAGAAATTATAAACTGCCGCACCAACCATCCTCACCTTGCGGCCTGCAAAAATGCTTCTTCACACCTCTCTTAAAGAATGGATTTTTTCCCTGCGCAAGTGCTTCTATGCTAATATCAACTATGCCCAATTTCATTTGTAATTGTAATAAACAAAATGACACAATATCAGATAATAGTTCTGGTATATCTCTTTATATAATGATCCTATTTTATTATCACTATACTTTATAACAAACTGTTTGTGCATATGACCATAACAAAATGAAAAACTAATTCCAACAAAAGAGTTTTATTTGTAACTAGCTGACCCAGTGAACTTCGTACCGCCCTAAAAAAATAGGGGTTGTCCAGCGGACAAAATTGTGAATTAAACCATTCTCAGATCCCCTTGAACACACTCAAAAAATTTCATCAAAATCGATCCAGTTGTTTAAGAGAAGTTCAGTGACATACACACTCACAGAAGAATTATATATATAAAGATATATCACATGTTAATTAAATTGACAATCAGATTTACGCCTTAAGTAGATCTTTTTAAATCTATTTCATATCCACAAAGCTCAGCATACAACAAGACTTCTCTGACTTATTTTGTTTTTCAAGAAATCATATCTTTTACAAATTGATCAGCAAAGCAAATTAGCAATAGTAAAAAAATTACTACAAATATTGTAATAGGAACAATCAATTTGTTTTGAAAGTTCTTACACAAGACCAATTTGTAATTTACTCAATGTAAGCCTTACCATCAAATATTTAGCTTACAATTAAAAAAACATTTTTTACCGTAAAAGATTACAATATGATTTTTGTCAGTCATAAATCATGTGTTACTCATGTATACAAGTAATGTTTTTATTAACTAAAAAATAAAACTATACTTTATACTTTTTATCTTATTTTATCAGTATTTTCTATAAGAAAGAGTGTCATTGTCGATTAATGAAAGTGTATAATTTAGTTTTTCAATTCGGAAAACCTCAACAAATTACTGCACATAACTCACTTAATCAGTGAGTAACGTCACAATTCAAAACGAATAGCACAGTAAACCTCTCTTTGCTTGACATAATAGTGGAAGCAAAATTTGATGGTGACTTTTTGCTCCAGTCATACACCATACTCTTACTCTTCACAAGCTATACACTAACAACAGTACATTTGAAAATAACTGTCTGAACCCTATTGCTGTGTAATTTGTTCTTATATCATAGTACTTGCTGTTATTAATATCTTTTGACACTTCTGATACAGTATTGTTCTCAATATTTATTATGACAACGTATTACAACAGCAAAGTTTGAACAAATCATACTTACTTTTTATTATACTTTGCTGCTAAGTTAAGTTACTATTTAAGATTTGGGAAATTAAATCCTACATAGTTATTAGGTGTAAAAGTATTAAAACTTGATATTGGTCTTAAAAATATTATATGATATTAAGTTGATCAATTTGAATTAATCATTTTTAAAGTAGTAAAAGTAAAATTTAATACATATTTTATGTATTATTTTCTACCCTCTTTTTAATATCTCTATCTATTTTTGTTTTCATAATCATTTAAACTCATTAATTACTCTATTTGCTTTAAATATTACTATAAAAAGAAACTTATATTCTTTTATTAATTTCAGCTTATTGAATTTTTATACACAAATAACAATGATGACCCGCAAAGCTGCAGTTCAAAGTACAGAGCTTAAATTGAAACAAGCCCTGGAAGAACTCAAGGTAACAAAGGAAACTTGTCGCCAGCTACTTCGTGAACGTGATGAGGGTGAAGAGGAAATTGAGAAAAATATTCAAAGGAACACCCAGCTCAAGAGCGAACTATCCCAACTTCACTCGGAACACATGGAAGTGATTCTTCAACGAGACCATCTTAACGACACTGTCAACAGCTTTGACCAGCAGTTCAACACATATGAGAGGGCTCTTCAACGTATCACAGACCTAGAAAAAGAACTTATTGATGCAAATAACCAACTAGCACATTATAAAGAAATTCAACAACTCCAGGAAACAGCACATACACAGAGCCTTTTTGAGGAATTAATGGCATCTCCCGGAGCGCCCTTGACACAATATCAACAGCCTATTGTTTATGAGAACACTGCTGTACAAAACTGTGTAACTGGCAAGAAAAAACTAAAAAAGTATATTCGCATTAGTAAATTTATAAAAAGAACAGGAAAGTTAATTAAAAGAAATAATTGTTTTCATAAAAATATAGCATTAAGGAAGGAAAGAATGGACCTTATTGATTCTATAGATATATATAGTTCAAAGTTGACTGAGAGTAGGCAGGTGTACGACAGTGATACAAAGAAATTACATTTAGAGATTCAATATTTACATGAGTCACTAGAAACATTATCTAACAAATATTCAAATGCACAAAAACAAATAAGTGAGCATATAAAATCAGCTTCAGAATTAGTTGAACTATGCAACTACAATGCAGAACGTTATGAGTCTTTAATAAAAAATCAATTAAGTAGTTCTTTAAATCAATCTTCCTTGCAATCAACATCATCTGAAATTATAGAGGTTGTTAATAATAATAATAATTCTCAAACAGTTAAAAATTTTGGTGGTTCATCTGTCTGTTCTGGGTCAACTTGCAAAACATATAACAACTCCCCTGTGAGGTCAATCTGCACTACATATAGTACCTCTCCTTTCAAACCAGTGCTATCTGAGAACACAACTAGAAGTAAAACAATTATGTTCTCGGACAAGTTAGGATGCGGCTTTGGATTAATGTTAAGGAATTATTGTAATGAAAGAATTACTAATATATGTATGCCAGGTAAATCAATAAATGACATTATAAGTGAACTGAATCAGTATGATGCGGACAGTTTGACAAACATAGTTATTATGTGTGGTGACAGCTATAAATAAGAGCAAGAGATATGTATAGAAATATAGAGGTGCTACTTAACTATCAGTCTAGGTGCAAGTGTAAAATAATAATAAGCGCTTTCCCATATGCAGAAAATTTAACTAGGGAACAAAACAAGCGCATCTTTAATTTGAATTTAATAATTTATAATTTATTAAATAGTCATAGTGACAATTTTTTATATTTTGATATAAATAAATATATTAGTAAATTTAAGTTGACCACAGATACTATGTATCTTGCAAAAAAATATAAGACTCAGATAGCTACTTTGTTAGCTTTTAATATACAAAACTCAGTTATACATGGTATAACAAAGTCTATGCAACTGGATTGTTTTAGTGTCAGCACTAATAAAATTATTAATTTAGAAAATAGGGTGACCAACTCAAATTTAAACTGAGGGGTACGACAACAGCCAAATCCAACAAAATTAATATTATTTATCAGAATATTCAAGGGTTGGCTGGCAAAGATTTAGAATTAGAACTATTTGCAAAGAGCCAGGATATTCATGTTATCTGTTTATCTGAACACTGGCTTAAGTCTTCTGAGGTGTCTTTTAGCATAAACAATTTTCAAATGATAAGTGCATATGTTCGTACTGCAGCTATACACGGTGGCACATTAATTTTTGTAAATAAAAATATAAAAACTAGGGATAGGAAGGACATAGTTGGCCTCTCAGTAGAACGTATTATTGAGCTATCCTGTGTTGAATTCAGTGAATTTATTATAGTATGTGTATACAGACCCCCTCTAGGCAACATTAGTGTTTTTGAATCAGTGATGGAGAATGTTCTAAAAAAGTTAAAGTCTAAAAATAAGTTTTTGATTGTAGTTGGTGACTTCAATATTAACATTCTTGAAAATAATTCAATGTCAATTCGCCTAACATCACTATTCAAATGTTTTAATTTGGTACATCAATTTTTTGAGCCTACTAGAGTAACATCGCATTCAGCTACTTGTTTGGATAATATATTTACTGATTATAATCCAGTTAGTAAATCAATTATTAATTGTATCACATCAGATCATTACGGCTTAAAAATAACATATAATACAAATGACACTACTAAGCCCAAATTCATTGAATTAAGACCAGTAACAAATAAACGTTTAGAAAATTTTCAAAACAATATTGATGATAAAATGTTTCTAATGCCATGGACACATGAGGATCCTAATATTCTTTACGGCAATATGTTCACTTTGGTTAAGAAAGAATTCGATAAGGCTTTTCCGCTTAAAACTTTGAAATTAACTCAAAAGTTGAACTTCTGTGACTGGGCTACGTCTGGTATTTATAAGAGCAGAAATAAACTTTATGATTTGTACTACTTAAGGAAGTACAATCACTCTCAGGGTTTCATTGATTATGTTAAAAGGTACTCAAAAACATTCAAAAGTGTATGTGCAACAGCCAAATCCAATTACATAAAAAATAAAATCATAAAATCTAATAATAAAATTAAAACGACATGGAATGTTATTAATAGAGAAACTGGTAAAGAAAGAACCCTCGATGATGGGATCGCACTTAAAGTAGATAATATTCAAATTAAAACAAAAGAACAGATTGCCAATACTTTTAATGAATATTTTGTTAATATACCATTAATCACTACTTCTAATTTGAATTCGACGCCAGCGGGTGCTAAGAGTTTGCTAGAGACGTGTGTGCCTCGGTGTAATAACCTGTTTACGTTTAAACATGTTGATTTTATGGATATTATAAAATGCTTTAACTCACTTAAAAAGAAAAATACGTGTGATTTGTTTGGAATGTCTATTAAAATTACTAAAAGTATAATAACAGTTATCGCTCCTTATCTTGCAGATATATTCAATAAGTGTATTGATCAAGGTGATTTTCCAGACCTTATGAAATATAGTAAAGTTATCCCTCTCTTCAAAAACGGCATAAGAGATGATCCCGGTAATTACAGACCTATATCAATATTACCGGTATTAAGTAAAATTTTCGAAAAAATTATTTTAGATCAATTATTATCGCATGTCAGTTTGAACAAACTGTTACATAATAATCAATTTGGCTTTACTAGGGGTAGATCAACAACGGATGCGGGTGTTGCACTTATAAGACATATAATGGAAGCCTGGGAGAAGTCGCAGAATGTTCTTGGGGTATTCTGTGACTTATCCAAGGCGTTTGACTGCGTTGAGCACCAGACGCTGATGTTAAAATTAAATCACTATGGAATCAAAGGCGCAGCCCAAAACTTGCTACTATCGTATCTCAGTTCCAGAGTTCAAACTGTAGAGGTAAATGGTGTTAAGTCATCTGGATCTTATGTGAAAGTGGGCGTTCCCCAGGGATCGATTTTAGGTCCGTTTCTATTTTTATTGTACATAAACGATTTGCCATTTTTTGTGGAAAAATTGTGTGAGATCGTATTGTTTGCTGATGATACTTCTTTATTATTTAAGGTTGACCGATACAAGAATAACTTTGACGATGTAAATAATGCTCTCTCACAAGTATTGCACTGGTTTAATGTAAATAACTTAAAATTAAATGCAAACAAAACCAAATGCATTAAATTCACTTTACCTAATGTTAGAAGCGAAACCATTAGAATTAAACTAAACAATGAAAACCTAGATTTAGTTGAGTCAACGATATTCTTAGGTATAACCATAGACTCGAAATTGCAATGGTATCCTCATATTTCTCTGCTAGCTGGTAAACTTAGTTCAGCAGCCTATGCCATACGTAAAATAAGACAACTTACTGATGTAGCTACTGCTAGAACTGTATACTTTAGTTACTTTCATAGTATTGTATCCTATGGTATTATTCTCTGGGGATCAGCAGCCGATATTGAAACTATATTTATCTTGCAAAAAAGAGCTATAAGGGCTATTTATCAACTTAGTTCTAGAACATCTCTTAGAGAAAAATTTAAAGAAATCGGGATTTTGACTGTTGCTTCTCAATTCATTTATAATTGCATACTTTTTGTTCGAAGCAATATTAACTATTATCTAAAACACAGTGACATACATTCTTTTAATACAAGGAATAAAAATAAACTCAAGATACCAAATTACAGGTTACAGAAGGTTCATAAATCATTTATGGGTCAAGGTATACATTTCTATAATAAGATTCCTATTGATATCCTTGATTTGCCTCCTCATAAATTTAAAATACACATTAAGAATTGTTTACTTAAGAAAGGATATTATACTGTCAATCAATATTTGAATGATAAAACGGCCTGGTTGTAATTTTACTTGTAGATAATTTTTCAAAAGTTATATTAAAACTAAGGCTCCCAGTTATAGAAAGAGTTTTGAAGAGAACCTTGCACTTACTCCCTTTCATATACTTGTTCATTTTATTTTGAAAATTGTTTCTTGCTATTTTGGGACTTATCTTTGCAGTTATTGTTAGTAAATTCATTGATTGTTACATATTTGACATTATGTGATGGAAGTTGACCTCAACACATGTTTGCAAGTTTGATGTCAACTTTCAATTGGACGACACTGTATGAAATAAAACAGGGAGAAAAAAGCAGCCCTTGCTGAGTTTCTTGCCGGTTCTTCTCAGTACAAGGTCTCCCGCCGTAGTTTTGCGAACCGATGGCGTAGCTTTTCGACATTCACAAGTGCTTGTAACAGCCTAGACTGAATAAACGATATTGAATTTGAATTTTGAATTTGAATTTGAATGATATGAATTTGCTTCAAATCAAACAAGTAGCGATACTATCCATATAAAGGGGATTAACCTTTAAAAAGAAATACGTCTGCCGACAACCAAAATATTGTAACAGTGTTTTTGGACGTAATTTAAGGAAAAACTTACCTCAGTAAAATTTAGGCATCAAAGTGGAGTAATCTGCTACTAACTATCACGAAAATCGCTTAATTTCACAATAAATAAGGACTGAAAACAGAAAAAGAGCCTACCTCACCGTTCGGATGTCACTTTTTTTTTAATTTGTGATTGTGAAAGAAAATGTTGCCACTGTCAGTGTCAGGCAATGCAATCTTTGGATGTCAGATTCATCTATGGTCTGACTCTAGTAGAGCAGCAGCATAGATTTTTATCTCTCATATTTTCAAATTATTGTATGACTTATGCAGTAAGTTTAAAATTATGTCATAGCTAATGGAAAGTTATCAAATTTTTATACAACGGTGTCTCCTTTTCAATCTGTATAGAGCACACTAGGATACACTGGTGTCGATTCTGGCATTATTCTCTAAACCTAAACATAAATTTGACAACAGTGGTGTCGATTCTGGCAAGATTCTCTAAACTTTAAACTAAATTTAACTTCAGTTTGTCCTTTTTGAGAATGACAAGGATACTCTGTTGTCAAATTTAAGTTTAGTTTTAGAGAATCATGCCAGAATCGATACCATTGTATACTTGCCATGAATGAAAAGGAAAGACTGATGTTAAATTTAGTTTGCGAGTAAAAGCATCGAAACCTTATGGTGCCTCAACAGGCTTGGCGAACAGACGGCAACCAGCCAACACCAACAGCCAAACACAATCGCGAGGGAGCTGTTTGTGTTGGGTGATTGTGACTGACGTTCGGCACTTTGTTTGGTGTGTTTGGCGTGTAAAACAATCACTAAGTGGTTGGAGGCACTATTTCATGTACGCCAAACGTGAGAAGGCCCGTTTGTGTTGGGCGATTGTGATCGATATTTGGCACTCTGTTTGATGTTTTCGGCGTTTGCAACTAACGTGTGGAGGCACCACTAGTTTTAAACGACTAGGGTAGACTATTTAATCATTGGCCCCTTAGACGGAATTCTTCATTTGGTTACCAGTAGTAAATCAATTAATCATTTTCGATTAAATGTAGTTCCACAATGATGTTAAATAGGGCTTGATAGACAAAAAAATAACACTTTAAATAGCTCAATATTAATATGCATTAAAATATTTTTAAACCAATTCAGAAAAACTTTAAAATGTATCAGTGATTGTCTCTCTGGATGAAGTTGTTGTGATATTATATCATGCATACTCTGTGCCTGTGTGTAACCTCTCTGGTCATGTAATCTATGCAAACAGAATAAAAAAACTATGGCTGCTTGTATTTTGTACTTGGCATTTTTTCTGATTAAATTCTTTGAATAAATCCATCTTTTACTTTGAAAATAACACAGAAGTAATGAACAAACCAGATGTTGACACTAGAGAAGAAATATTGAGAACAGATATCATCAATGATAGATATTTTCCTACAAATTAGGGTAGACTGCCAGTCATTGGACTAGTTATTAAAATCAAATCATCATCATCTAATATCAAAATCCATCTACAAATATCAGAGCTGTGAGGTTAAACAATATATTAGTGTCGATTTTGGCATGATTATATGAACCTTAACTTAAATTTAACAGAAGTTTATTTTTGGCATTATCTATACAGAATGTAAAGGAGAGCTCGATGTTAAATTAAGTTTTAAGTTTAGAGCATCATGACAGAATTGATACCAATATATATATCGTAATATTGAGGACCCCTATCGTAATTTTTAAAGTTGGGTGTTTTTTTGTCACAAAATGTTACCATTACTCATTTATTTACAATGCTATAGTATTTAAATCAATATGTACTTATATCATTCATAGACAATGTAATTCAAAAATCCGGCCAATTTAAAGATTCGGCCAAAATCCGGACTATAGTCTAAAAGCCCGGATATGTCCGGAGTAAACCAGACGGATGGTAACCCTCGTTACATCAGAGCCCGTCACAATACAACCACAAACCACAACACGCCAGACAAATTTAAACCCGGTTTAAGACTAGATTAGACTACACACATAGTAATAAGTTTTATAACAATATCCATGACTAACTACGAATTTACTAAATCCCGAATGCTTTCTAATAGCAAATACGAATAACCCTATGAGTGAAGTTTACAATAACACTTATTTTGTATTATTACAACAAAATCAATACTATGTGATTTAAATTTATAAATACTTGTGCTTCTTCTTCTTTTTCTTTTTTTTTGAAGAATTGAATCATAAATAAATAATTTTTCTTTACGCCGCGCCGTTTGATTCAGACAGACTCTTCATATCATATACAGCTATTCGTGTTTGCTATTTATAAACTTAACAATAATTCTCTCCTTTTCTCAATGACTGCTGTCAAAATTGTAAGACATGTACCCGCGTTTACAAAATGATTCATTTTTGTACAAACTTTGGCATTTAGATAATCGAAGTGCATTTTGCTTCAATATTTTCTATGATCCAGATCCAGAACACTGTTTCCGAACGTAAAATTGTAGGAAAACGCGGTAAAATATTTATGTGTTGGTAGTAATTACACTATTGATTACTATGCTCACTATCTGTCTTCCTTACACCCATTATGTTTCGTCTGCTATCCTTGTTATCAATGTTTGGATGCCATTGACCTCATCGTAATACTGCATTGTGATTGGCCGTTTACGTGGTGGGGGTTGACGCCATTATAAAAACGAAGCGTCGTGAGTCAGAGTAGCCAACATAGCAAAGTAATTCGCGCCGACTCATCACGCATTTCCTTTCATTCTTCTTCATTTGGCATTCAGAGTTGAAGGTCGTGTGTAGACCGTATTGTAGTTTATAATTATTAAAAACTAGTTAAAGTAGTTTTTAAGTCATGTCTAATAACGATAATTTTGCACAAGACGTTACGGATAATCAGCTTAACGGAAATATGGAGAATGGTGGCGGAGACGGTCAACAAGATAACGGTGGTGACTCCTCGGGACGCGATGACGACAGGTAAAGATCATTATTTGCCTAGTATTTATTTTCAGTTGGATTAAAGTAAATCATACAAAAGTGGCGTATTATCGCTTTACATTACTTGGACAAAACTACTTCGCAGTTCTAATTTTTGCCCGCCACAATGGCGGCGGTCCGGCGTTATCATTATCGGCAAGTCGAATCTATCTCAATCCTGGTAATCTTTTCTAAATTTTACTTGTACCTATTTATAGTGTGTATAATGCGTTAAAATTGTAATCACGAATGTCATATTTTAGCTTCTCATAAATTTCAGGTCATTTGCTAAATTTGTCTAGTAACGCCGGCCGCATGAGAAGTAAAATGGCGTCTATTCGCGCGTCTCTTTTGCACCCGGCACCGGTGTAGTCCCGTTATCGATTTTTTTTAGTTTCCTAATTCCGACTGGGTCCTATGATGTCATTGAAATCGCGGTGACTAGCGGTACCTTGTATTGTCGGCATTTGCAAGATTTTAAATCGGTGATATTAGCGGCGTGCGTCACTCGGGTCGTCGCCCCGGGCGGTCAGTTTGGGTCGCTACTAACGCTGTGTCTCTCTGCAGGTGTGAGCCTGCGCCGCCGCCGCAGCTGCCGCCGGAGGACGTCATGGTATATATCCGCTGGGCTCACACTAAAGTAAACAACGACCAAACTGACTAGATTGCCTAGGCCACATAACTTTGGGCCCCGTTCTCATTTGCCAATTTCAAATCTTGCGATTTTACTGTAATTTCTTGTTTCATTTTTGGTTGTTCTATCTGTAATTTTAAATTTCCAGTTTACCTTTGTAACTTACAGGTTCACAATTTGTTTTGCTGCAGTGCTTGGAGTTTGTTTTGAACAAAAAAAGTAGCTGTAAAGTACTGTAAACAAGTACTGCATAGTTATAATGTTAAAGTGTAATTTTTAAGTCAGTTTCTGAATCGAGACACCTAGCTTGCAATTTATTTCTCCTTTTCTCTAAATACGTTGCTTATATTTCACAGAAAACTCTTTGTGGGAGGCTTAAGCTGGGAAACAACAGACAGTGAGTTGTCATTTTCCTTATTCTATTCAAAGTATATAAATATAATGGATAAATTTCTAAATATAGTTTTGTTATGATGACTTATTTCAGTTCTGCTTCTGAATTAATTTGAAGACAACTTTACCCACAATTCTGATTAACATACCAATATATACAAGGTATGGAACGTTGTTTCATTTTAGTAATGATAATATTTATTGTTGCAGAGGAGTTACGTGAACATTTCAGTGCATATGGAGAGATCGAAAGCATTAATGTCAAGACTGACCCCAACACAGGCAGATCCAGAGGATTCGCATTTATTGTATTCAAAGCACCAGACTCAATCGACAAAGTTATGGCTGCCGGTGAACACACAATCAACAACAAAAAAGTAGACCCCAAAAAAGCTAAGGCGAGGCATGGGAAAATATTTGTTGGCGGTTTGAGCACTGAAATATCAGATGATGAAATCAAAAATTTCTTCAGTAATTTTGGCACAGTAAGTTTTCCTTATATCCTGTGAATGAATCTAGCACTGAATCCATTTCTTTCACATTTTGTTAATGATGAAAAATCCGGATTTGGTGAGATAAATTGTTTCTCGATTGTTAGTGAAGAGGAAACCGGGCCACTGAGACTCACCGGTCATCTCTAGGATGATTCATTTGAGTGCAACATTTTCTGACGCACATTTTATTTTTTCAGATCCTCGAAGTCGAGATGCCCTTTGACAAGACAAAAAATCAAAGGAAAGGTTTCTGTTTCATCACATTCGAGTCGGAGCAAGTGGTGAACGAGCTCCTAAAGACACCGAAACAGACCATCGCCGGTAAAGAGGTTCGTATCGGCGCAATGTATCACCGTTGTTGATTCGGTAGACGTGTTGACGTTTTGGCTAACAATCGATCGGTGTTTAGGTGGACGTGAAGCGAGCGACGCCGAAACCCGACGGCCCCGGGGGCATGGGCGGGCGCGGGGGTCGCGGAGGGCGGGGCGGTCGAGGCGGGCGCGGAGGGCGCGGCGGGTACGGCGGCCAGGGCGCCTGGGGCGGTCAGGGCTACGGCGGCTACGGCTACGGCCAGGGCGGCTACGGCGGCGGCTATGAAGGCTACGGATACGGCTACGATGGCTACGGGGGCTACGGCGGATATGGCGGATACGATTACTCCGGCTACCCCAATTACGGTAAACGCGGCAAGCAGTACTAGTGCGGCCACCCGGCGCCGCTCACCGACACATTACCTCGACTGATGTTACCTGATCCCTAGGATGTAAATGTAGAGTAAGGCGGGCCCGGCCCCGCGCTAGGTTACTGTGACGGCTCGAGCGGGGCGTCTCTCCGTCCTCGTGTTGCCCGTTCACCGACGTGTATAATGTATAATCTTACATTTGATTCGAAGAGATCGACATCACGCGAAGCTTAGATATTTAACTTAGTGTGTAGAAAATATTTATTTTTCTAAATATTTAATATTCTATCGAGATAATGTGTAGTGAATGATGTGGAGGCGACGATGTATATCTGAATATAACCTAATCAGTAATCGTTTCATTGAATAGTATTATGATTCATTTGGATTGAGTTAATCATAGTTCCATTATATTCTGTTTTATTTTTCGTAACTCTATTTGCCTCTTAACGCTCGGTGTCATTATAGTTGTTCAGAGTGCTCAGCTGTTTCTTGCTAGTTCGGTTGAGCACATTCAGCAGATTTCTCTTTATCATTATTTCACTGGGTACTATATTCTGTACATATGTTACCTGCCTTATGTTTAAGTATGTTTTATTTGTAATACCACTTTTGACATATGTAGCAATGTCGCCTGAGTTTTGTTTGGTATTTTTGTTTTACCTTTTGATACTCCGCCACATGCTACATCTGGGAAATGGGGTAAATATGGAGAGACATTGTGAAAATGATAAAGATACTATGATGAAAGCTTTTGAATAAAGCACTGTTACAAAAATTCTCAATGTGTTTCCATATGTACCCTGGTCCTTTTCCTCCTTAGATATACCTCACCATCTCGCCCCATGTCTACGCACAATGGTTGTTTTGGTTAAAAAATTATATTACTAACACATGCATGGGTACCTCATTTCTTATTTGGAAGTAATCTTTTATTGGGTTTGTATTTATGGGAAAAGTTTCATTTAGCTTGCATAGCAAACATTAAAATTGCCTAAAAGTAATCAATTAATCTATTGGTAAACAAAAGTCAATCTGTGGTGCCCAAATTTATAACCAGTAAATATATTTCCATTTTTCGTTAGTCACCAATTTGCAGTATAGGGGTGAACCCTATTATTATTCTATTATTTATTTATAAAGAAATCTACTAGGAATTTTTAAAATCATTTCAAGTTCTATTTTGATAGAGGATGGAAATACTGCTTATTTAGTTACTATAGACTTGTAGATTTTAACAAGCTATTGGTGTCGTTTCTAACGTCATTACTCTAAACCTAAACTTGACATCGGTGTTTCTTTGTCATACTGTATAGTACACAGAATGAAAAGGAGAGACCGTTGTTAAATTTAGTTTTAAGTTTAGAGAATCATGTCGGATTCGACACCATTATTTGTACACTCTGGAGACGGTTTGATATGAGAAAGGTCCAATGCACACTTAGCGTAGCAACGCTTCACTTATCTTGCCGTTCAAGATCGACGGATTCGTCAGTCGCATCGTCACTGCTAGGATTGCATTGGCTCTGTTCTGGCCGATCGACATAGTGCCGTACTCGGTAGTGTGATAAATCGGACGCATCGAGAAGTAGCGAAGCGACAATAGGCGGGGCGGGAAGCCGGCACACGAGACTAATGTGTATGTGTATTGTGTTGCGGGCAGACTACGGCGGGTACGGAGGGTACGAGGGCGGGTACGGCGCGCGCGCGGCTCCACGCGGGAAAGGTACAGCCCTCACCCTAACTTGTACTAAACCGAACCCACTCCGCTTGTTGTTCTACTAAACGGGCGCCGAGTGCCGGCGTCCGAGCGAGCGGAGTCTTCTAAAACAATTTTTACCGCTCGAACGTTGTATTTAGAATTCTTCCGTTTCGCGTGCTCCTGCACAGGGCGATCGTTTACTAGAAAAACAAGTGATGCGCAAACGTCGCAAGTCTTTCATACGACAATAGGCTCACGAGTTTGGCAACAGCACATTGAATCGATATAGAAGACGTTTGAAGCGCTCTGGTAAATGTGACATTTGTGTAGTGATGTAGAACGTCTGTTTGCCCCGCTTCGTAGTTTCGACACATCTGGCACAGTTTTCTATCAAAATTTTCTTTTCGTATTGGCGAGCGAGGCCGGACCGTGTGTGATCGTAACTGATGACGGCTCTCGTGTTGGTTAAGATCGCATACTGTATTGTGAACAGTATGGACGCATGTTTAGTATTTTGCAAATAACAGCTAATAAAATCATAACAGTTTTCCTGAGCTTTAGACATTCATTTGTAGCGATAGCGATCCCACCGTATCAGTAGCGATCATGAAATGTGGTATTGTTTTATTTTCTAATTAATGCGTCACGTTTTCAAGTCTAGTACTAAAATTAACTCCGCATGAAAGTATCGAAACTGAATTAATCGCATAAACTAAATCGACAGACCTCGTTATCACGGAGAACACAATTCGGTGGCGATGGACCACATTCGTTCATCTCTCAAAGGAACGACTGATTAGGTGCAAAATTCGTAGGTTCAATGCAGGCTATATGCAAACCGAACACTTGTCAAGTCGGGCAACAAAGAAATAGTAGGTTTGATTGGAATCTGCGATAGCGTGGTCTGACGTACGAGTCGGTCTCGGCACGCGTCATGTGTTTGTGGCACGCGGCACGCGGCACGCTCGTGGATGGTATATGGTATGCGCTCCCGTGAGGCGACGCATGGCGTATGGCGCATGGCGCATGGCGCGCTGTGAGCTGACGGTTGTGGTGTTGCAGCGGGCTACCAGGGCGGCAAGCAGCGCGGCGGAGGCGGCGGCCGCGCCAACCAGAGGCACCAGCCCTACTAGACCGTACCTGCCGATAGTCATCTCAGTCCAATAGTAAGGTAATGCGCAACACTTATCACTTGTTAACCGGATTCTATTACCTGACCGATAGATGCATCTGATTTTTCCACGTTATCCGGACGAGCTCCGATGTTTTGAATTGTTATGATTTACAGTTTCGTAAAATTTATGAACACTATAAATATTTAGATTATGTAACGTTGACAGTACGGTAATTAGTGTAGCTAGAAACGAACTATCCTGCAGTAAATTGTTGGAAAAAAACGATTTATAGACGCTTCGGTGTGTGCCTAACCTGCTGATCATAGTGTTTGGCTTGTTTCAGATTAAGTCATCGGTCATGAGTGTGTCCCCTGCGCCTCTCGTCTCGCCGCGCTGGGGGCGCGTCATTTCATTCCACATAATTAATTTAAGGAATCTGTTTAAGAAATTTTTTAAGGATAAAAATACTGTCGTATGTGACCCGGTCGCCTACCTGAAAGATCGCGTTGCGTACAAATTTATTATTAATATAGTATGGATTATAGATTCACTTGAGTATTATTGCTGAATAGAATCAATTTTGACCTTTGGAACTGAATTTCGAGAGTTAATTATTATACAGAGCTTATAAAATTAACCGATAAGTGGCCCTGTAGGCCGGCGAGTCGTCGAGTTTAACGCCGCTTCCGTTCAGATGAATGTGCTGGATCTCATTGCAGAAATGTTGTAGTTTTGTATTTTTAATGTTGGTATGAGCAAGAATCGGAATCATGTATTTTATACAAACTAGTTTCTTCCATTGAATAGGGATGAAATTAACAATTTAGAATAAGTGATTGGACATGAACAAAACTCCTGGAGATATACGATACTGTATGTCGCAATAAAACAAAGAATGTGTAAATAAAAATATTGACTTTTAGTCTGTGTTTATCAATCTGATCAATCCTAGGATCTTCCTATAATACTTGCACCATTAGAGTTTTGACTGACTTTAGAACCACCCACATATTTTATTCCTTTTGATATCAAAAGGCGGGACATCAAATCTATTAAATAATTAACAACACTTGTGATCTTAGACTGAACACCTACGCTCCTTTCTATACCTTTTAAAACTCATGTTAATAAAGAAATATGTATCATATGATATTTGTACGGTACGTTGGTTAGGTATTACAAACGAGTAGACTATTATCATGTCACGAGTTTGTAAATAGGTACCAAATCCGCATGAATGTCGTGCAATGTTTTTCAACACATTTGCAAGAAAACTAAGGTACCTTATTTCGGTGATGATGAAGCCACTTTTGTGATAAGAAAATGGCGCCTCGTGTGGGTGATAAAAAAAGAATTACATCTTTCGCCTCTTCTTTGTATTATTAAAGCGAAATAAAGCTATTGATTAAAAGCACTTCCAAGGGGGTTTTAATAAAATAAAATGTTAAGGATAGGCAGGGCAGATATATGGGAGTGTGCGGTATAACTTTTTACCGCATGTTCCGTTGTATGGCTCGTAATTTTGAACTACACATTTTGAGCAAAATTGTTGAAAAGTTTATAACATAACAAAAGCGCCCAGGAGAAAAAGGATGTATATAGGTAAGTTTAAGCAGTTTCATTTTGGCTCTTACAATTTATTAGGGCGTTTGTTAATTTTATTTTGAAAGCGTTTTTCTCTAAAGTGCATTTCTGTACCCATAACTAATATCCCTCGTCTGATAAGACATTCCTTTATTGTAGGTACTGTAACCCTAGCACGAACCATTATCGAATTCGAATAGTTTGCAAACAGAAATGCAATCTAAAGAAAATATATCTATAAAAAAAACCACGCGGACCAAGCAGAAGACGGGACTCGAACCCGCACCCTTCGCAATCCGGGCGAATGCACTGTCCAACTATTCTCATGGACCGCGTCGAAATTCTTCTAGCCATTCTTAAGCTGCAAGGCATCGCCATCTCTTCGCATTATAGGTAACCCACAATGTCAAATGAATACTTTTACAAGTATTAAACATTTGAAAGAAGAAATAGCAATTATAGTTATAATTTTTATTATTTTAAAGCATGTAACTGCTTGATATTTAAATCTAAAGAAAATATAACTAGAAAAAATTGCACGCGGACCAGGCAACAGACGGGACTCAAACCCTTCGCAATCCGGGCGAATGCATTGTCCAATTAGGCGCTTTGCAGACGGCGGGGCGGAGCGGGCCGGTCAATTTCGCCGCGAACGATAGCACAAAGTGAATCCTATACTCAGTGTTACCAACTCGGATTTTGAAAAAGGCGTAGACCCGATGAGAAAATTACGTAGAATTGGTAAATTTTGCATATGAAAAGTACGTAGATCTACGTACTTTTTTCTGAGTGAAATGAAGAAGTTAGGTGAAACCGAATAAAACGAGTATTTTGTATTAAAATTTGTTTAAGAACGGGAGATAGAACAAAGAGTTCTTGGAGAAGTCGCTGCATTGGAAACATTTACCATGCTGTGGTAGACATTAACCATCAGATACAGACACTGGTGGGTGTCGATTCTGGATGGTTATCTAAATTTAAAACTAAATTTAACATCAATCTCTCCTTTTCATTCTGTATAGAGAATGACAAGGATAAACTGTTGTTAAATGGGCTAGTTGATACTTTTTGGAATTGTGTTTTAAATTGTTAATAATTGTTCTATCAGACCGAAAAAAATGTATTTTTTTTTACCTAGAAGACATACAAAACGCTATTTAGTCTATAAACTTATCTATGCTATGACGTCCAAACATTTGTAAACAAACACTCGCAAGCACGTAGGAAATAAACTTTCTAAGTTAATATTATAAAACCATGATTTCGAATAGATCACATGAAAAATATAGTAGTTATCATGATACACTTGGTAAAAGACTCTAGAAAAGTTGTGGTTTAAATTGCCAATAGAAATAAACTACTTACACATGAACATATGTTTAAAACTTGCTAAATCCTGTAACTTTAGCGACTGACAGTCATTTCTTTTTGCAAAATCAATGCGATATGAGTAGGTACTCATTGATAATATTTAAAGTTTAAAAATACAATTTATAAGGTTATGAATGTACCTACTAAGTCAAAGAGTTTTGTCGTTTCTGCTTTCACAAATCCTGCGTCCAGCATTAATTTAGTCAACAAAACCAATAACGGGATCCTTTTCTACAAGATACAAGAGTGTTAAGATACAGCTTTATAAGAAATAAACATTTGTATAGTTTGTATTATAGTAAATTAAGTTATTTTACAAATTTGAAAAAAAATAAGAAAATACGTAGATTCTCGGACTGAAGTTAGTAGGTTTCCAGAAAAGGCCTAAAATACGTAGATCTACGTAAAAAGACGTAGAGTTGGCAACACTGCCTATACTACAAACGCACACAGAGGGCAAAAAGACCGTGCCTTGGGTGCCCGGCGGGCACTGGCGGCGCGGCATGTCCGCGGCTGCCCGCCGTGGATCATATAAACCAGTTTATATGCAGTAACGCAGGCGGCGCGGTTTTTTTGCCCTCTGTGTGCGTTTGTAGTATAGGATTCACTTTGTGCTATCGTTTACGGCGAAATTGACCGGCCCGCTCCGCCCCGCCGTCTGCAAAGCGCCTTATGCTAACGTGGCCCTCACGGACCGCGTCGAAATTCTTCTAGCCATTCTTAAGCTGCAAGGCAGCGCCATCTTACAGCTTAAGCTTAAGCAGTTACATGCTTTAAAATAATAAAAAATATGACTGAAATGTCAATGTAAAATTTTGTATGGAAACTTGAACAGCAGCGGCACAAAGTACTTAACGAGAACTAAAAATCAGTAGGGTTAAGGAGGCAACAGTGACTCATGTGTTTTTCGAAAAGCTAAATTAAATATAAATCCTTACTGGATTGATATGAAACTTATACATATTATTCATTAAATATTATAGTTTAACACTGCATCAACACAATTCCATAAAATAGGTTTAAAATAAAATAAATAATAGAAAACAAAAAAAAGATTTTTGAGCCACTGTGCACATCCAGGTGTCCACAGTGACCCAACCCTGGGGTCCACAGTGGCTCAAAAGGTACACAGTGACTCATTAAAAGGAGTTATAAAAATAGTCAATATAATTCAAGTTTTATATATTTATTAAAGAAAAAAACAAGTTATTCTAAGAGTCTACAAACTCTTTGTCTTACAAACAATGCTAACAATGTGACTTTTCTTATAAAATTAAGTAAGTATTAATATGTCAAATAATGTAAATTGGAAATTTAATAAACATTAATTTACAATAATCTTTGCCATTATCAGCCTTTTTATATTCTAGATAAAGGAACCATTATGTTATAAGTAAGTTTTATTCAGTATTGACTAAATAATTTTACGGACAGTCTTTACATTAATCTAATTATAACTTTTAATAATCACACAATAATCACAGAATGTTAAAATAAGTCTAATAATTAGTATTAAATCAAAATCAAAGGAAAAAAGTTTTAAGATAAAAACATCATAGTGTTCTGAAAGAATTTAACACATGGGTAGACAAGAAAATTCAATAGGGAAATTATAGTATGGCCTAGAAGAGGTCCCAACCACAGATGGCACTGGCAATTTAAATTTTAAATCAGACTCGTTTACAAGCGACAGATCAGGATTATCTGGCATTACAAATGTTTCAGTCCCAGACTTACGTTTTAAGAATGATATGTAGTAATCAAGCTTACGATTTCTTTCCTCTATTACCTTTCCAATATACAATAATCTTTGCCTTTTTGATGTTAATTGCACTATGACATACTCTCCTTCTTGAGGTGAATGAGGTAAATAAAGGGTTCTCTAAGTCTGTCTCTGTTAAAATTACTTTGGCATCTTCTTCATCATCGTCATCTTCTTGCTGTTCTGCCCAGTTAATGTCATCTTCAGAGTCTGCCAATTGGACTTCATCATTCTGATTCACATCTTCTTCGTCGCTATCAAGTACTGCTCGGCAAGTTTTCTTTTTTTTGGTTTCATTTCTCCGTTTAGCAGCAGTTTTTTCTTGTTCAATCCTGGCCTTTTCGGGAGTATCGGTAGCTATGATGCTGCGTCCAGCTCTACGTTTTCTGTTAGATTTTCTAGGACCAGCTTTTATAGAATCTCTGAATTCAAATGGACATAAAACTACTTTTTTTTGTAGTCACAGAGGGGGAGGTCATAATAGCTGATGATGGTTGGGCGAATATAGACGGCGGCGTGTTTGTGATGGTAAGCATGGATGGCGTTGTTACAAAACCTGATGTTTCTTGGGTGGGTGCAGATATTATTGGCATGTTTATTAAAGCTGGAACCTCTTTGGTGCTTGTAGTAGCAGACGTGGGTGGCGTAATTACGAAGGCTGCAGCTGATTGGGCGCTTGTAACGGTACACGTGGTAGGTGTGCTTCCGAAGTGTGGAATAGCTCGGATGTTTGTACTTATAGGCGTAGATGATGCGCTTGTGAGGGATGCTGCTGCTTCTGTGATTGTAATGATAGGCGTGTTTTCATCAAGTAAGCTAACAGAATCGGGTGTTGAAGCCTCCTCATATCGATTATCTTCTGGGCAAGGACGATCAGTCACCGAACTTGGCAGAAAATCTTCATCTGTGAATATGTGTCGATCGAACGGAAAAAATCCACATTTTGCAAAAGAGCTCGTAATATTTTTTGGAGTCATCGCTTTTTGAAGGGCAGATCCAATTTTCTCCCCCAAGTCGTAAATGGTCACTGGTTTGCCCGGATTCCTCAAAAGCCAGGAGTCAATCGCAGCGTTGTAAAATGTTTTAAAGGGACTGTAGATTCCCACATCAAGAGGCTGCAACTTTCCCGATGTGTGAGAATGAAGTGTTAGAACGTGTACCCCTGCATTTTTTGCTAAATCTAGTGCGGCTATACTGAGATGGGATTCATGGTTGTCCATTATTAAAATAGACGGATTTTCTTTTGAGGAATTGGTGTGTTTAACAAAATGTTTTATTACCTCTGGAAAAATAGTCGAATTCATCCAGCCAGTCGGCGTTGCCAAACCAAGCGTGCCAGGTGGTGTATTTTTGATCATATGATCTTTAAAGTTTTTCCTCGGGAAGACCATAACAGGGGGTAAAAAATTTCCACTTGCGCTTATAATACAGCATGTTGTTATCAATGTGCCCCTCTCACCACTTGTAACTTTACCTATAGTCTTTCGTCCCATTGGCGCGAGAACTTTTTGTGGTTTTTGTACGGTAGTGGTTAATGTTTCGTCCAAATTAAAAATCCTGGTGCCGTCGGAAAAATGAGGACTTGAGCAAAATGAGGACTTGATATTTTCAAGGTTGTCAAAATACTTGTCGACATTGTTCCTGTTAAAAGCGGTAGCTCTAGCAAGACTACAGGCTTCAGATTTTTTCAGCGTTATATTGTGTCTGCGTCTGAAAGCAATTAACCAATCTTTGCCGGCCATTTCTTTTGCCTTCCAAGATAAAGGCATTTTTAAATTGTTAATTTTTCCACACTGGTATGCCAGTCTCCGGCTTTCTTTGGCTGTTAATCCGTAAAATAGAAGAGCACAATGCGATATATAGCTTTTTAGTGTAATCTCTTGTTCGGCTGTGAAAATCGTATTGACTGAATAATTGGGCTCTAGTTGGGATGATGTCAAATCTTCCAGCGAAGGAGCATCTTTAAATTTATGATGGTATCGTTTTAAAGTGGCAAAAGAGACTCCAACATTTTTCGAAGCCTTACGTATAGATTCTCCGTTTCGAATTAATAGCAATCCCTCTCTTATCCTCGAGGCAGGGACATTGCCTATTTTTCTCTCCTTTTGGGGTCGCGGCATTCTAAAAACAAAAAAAAAATGCCTTTAAATGTAACAACTATAAGTATTTAAATTACTGGTACTAGTACATATGTACACAGTGACTCACGAGCCACTGTGTACTTTTTAAAATTGAGTCACTGTGCACTACTACGCCATTTTGAAAACTTTGTTTTGTAACAATATAACTAAAATCCAATTCTCATAATAAAACTGTATGAATGAAGATTATACAATATTTATCAACCAGCAAATATAATAGTTTAGCGTTGTTGGGTGAAGATAGGTAGGTAATAATTCGCTTAGTACTTATCTGCGGTGCAGTCAGGAGGCGGTGTAAACAATATGTCCAGCACTCAACAGTAAACAGTTTATTTGCACAAGCACAGAATAGAAGGAGTACAGAGCACAGTCAGTGGTACACAAGCACAGAGGAAGAAAGGAAAAGCACAGTCAAAGCAAACGTAAACAATAACAATAATACGGTGATTCTTACACAAAACGCCAAGAATATGTACGGCGTAGACCCAGATCCAGGTTGAAGTGTGCGTAGCCGTAGGTGGAGATGGTAGTCCCGTTGGCTGCGGTGAGATGGTAGCTCGTTGGTTCACGTCGCTCTCGAAGTTGACAGCGGGGGAAAACACAGAGGTCGCTGCCTGTATCGACCAGAAACTGCGTCTTCGTGGTGCGGTCAGTGATGAAGAGGCGACCAGGAGAGGTGAGGCAATCGTCAGTCGCCATTACCGACAGCCTGTGGCGTTTCCCGACTTGTAGTCGCATGGTTTCTGGCATTTCTTAGCTTTCGAGCCGAACTTTGCGTGGTACCAACAAATAGGGTAGCGCCGGTAACTGGAAGCCGATCTCGATGATGAACGCGATGATATATGTCGCTGCTGTGGTCTGGATCGGTTGACATTGCGCGAAGACCTTGTCTGCTGCTCCAGTTTCATGGCGAGGTGCTCGACCATTTTCCGAAGCTCGCTGATTTCTCCAGAGATGCTGTGACCAGGTGGTATGCCGGAGGACGAAGTGGCTGCAACTTGTCCAGGTGCAGTTATTTCCTGGATGCGATCCGCTAAATCTGCTAGCTGCTCCAGAGAATGCGTAGGTTGAGACGCTATTACAGTCTGGATGTTTTGTGGAAGGCGGCTGGTCCAGATCGATTGGATGAACTCCTTCGGAACGTTAGGGCCCGCTAGGTCTTGCAGGTGTCGCAAAAACTGTGATGCCTTGCGGTCTCCAATCTCCTCGTGAGTCAGCAACTGCCTGACCTTCTTCTCTTGGGAGGCAGTAAGGCGCTTGATCAGCTCGCTCTTGATCTTTTCGTAGCGGTTTCGAGACGGTGGGCTCACGATGATGTCTTTAACAGCCTTCGCGTGGGTTATATCTAGGTTTATTTACATTATTAAATTTGATTGCGTCATCTGTAATGCCATAAGTTCCGAATTGGCCCTCCAAAAGCGCGAACCATAGTTCGGGATCATCCGGCGAAAATGACGGAACCTTCAGGGTATGCGGTTTAAAATCGGATGACTCTTGACGTGTGCCCGTGGAAACGCGCTTTTTCTTTTGGTGGCGGGTAGTGACATTTTCCTTATGCGACTCAACGGTTTTGGCGGAATCACTGCTATCGCTCATTATGATATTCAACAGGAGTCACCAGTTTCATAACCAATTGCCATTATTTTACGTAAAAAAAACAGAGAAACTTACCTTAAAATCTAATCTAATCTCTGTGACACAACACAACGACACTGTACCGGCCGGCCGACTAGTTCAAACACGTTTGGGGGTTACGTGCTACAGTGTGCAAAAGAGACAAACCTACTTTATGCTTTGTCTAACCTGGAAACATTAATGAGTCACTGTTGTCGACTGAGTCACTGTTACCTCCTTGACCCTACACATTTCGGACTCTAAACGATACGAATTCGATATTGGTTCTTGCTAGGGGTACTGATCTCTTAATGAACAAGTATAAAATAGTCTTCCCAAAATGAATGATTTTCTAAATGCCTTTGTTTTAGATTGCCGGAAATAAAACTCAAATTTACGTAGTTTGTAAAAATATAAAACATTTAGTACCTACCTACATAAAGGCTGGATATAGTGCAATAATAGCCGGTCTTTCGCTAAAATATTTTTCTTCCACACGGTTCTCTGACGGATGGAGGGGAAAGAAAGATGCTGGAAAGACGGCGGTGTAAATAACCAAATATGACAATACAAAAAATATGTATAAAATTAAAGTACCTAGCTGATATCAAAATACTGACGATTTTGACGCGAATAAAAGTTATGGCCGTTCTTTGAAATTTTGTTTTCGCTGCCTTGACGTTCGGCATTACATCGAGGGCCCAGATATGGTGGAAGTACTTAACTAGGTGCAAGGTTGCCCCCCCTATGTTAATATGCCGCGCTCGAGTATATTCAAAAATCCCCGCTTGGGCTCGCCTACCATTAACATAGCGCGGGGTCAATACATTAAACAGTTATAGAGAAGAATAATGGCTCGATTACATTTGGCCTTTAGACCGAATACGATTGCCCACAGAATAAGATGTTGAAGTGCCATGGCTTGTGGGCGGGGCAAGCGCGCCAGTTATGTGTGAGCAAAAGGCTCACTTAGTCACTTGGTTCTGATTGCGTCGTTGCTCTCGCGGGTTAGCGCTGATTGGTTCGATTGTTTGATATTGCGTCTTTTGATTGGTTATTATATATGAGCTGGAAGTGTAGTGGGGGCGAGCCGGTCGGCGACATCGGTTCCCATACAAACTATGGTCTATGATCACCATTCTAACCTAGTGTGCTCTGTGCGATTGCCAATAGAATTCGTGTAAATGAATGGAGTCGAGTATGCCCGTATTCGGGTAGTTTTCGTTTTGCTTACCCGACACCGTCTTTTAGTCCGTATTCCAGTGTAAATATTATTTCGGGTATGTAATGCCAGTAATGTCTTTCGTGCACCCGTATACGGGCTAGCGACCAAGTATAATCGAGCCATTATAATGAGTACCATTCCGCCGAAGGCGAATAGGTTGCCACAGCCTTACTTATCTATCCTAGATAAGTAATATCCCGGAATAGCCAAATCCCAGATTAGCAGGACAGATTTGAAATCTACTCTACCTATCGGCATTGAATTTGGTAGAGGATGAAGTCATGAAGGAAGAACTTTACCGTATTCATAGGAAGCTTTCGATGAGCGGTTCTTACTTTTATTCTTAAAAATGAAGGATATTCTTTTTATCACTAATATAAGCTGAATATCTACCCCCTTAATAATAAACAAAGAATAAGCTTGGATAGTTATTCTTTGTTTTGTCTCTGTTAATTGAATTAGAAATGGCACTTAAGTGACATGAACAAAACAGCGTAAACTAGCCTCTTAATTAATAAACAAGGAATAAGAGATTGATACAAATAAGTACAAAAAGTTGTAAAAATTTGAGGAAAGCGTTCGGTTTTATAAAACATTCGTTTTTGATTTAATATCACGAATGTACCTTTTCTGTCAGACTAAGGATTTTTGACATTCTAAAACAAATATATTTAGAAAATCATCCATTTTGGGGAAAAGGTGATTTTGATATTTGTTTATTATAAGATCAGTAAAATATAGGAATCGGTCCTAACATGAACGATAAATGTGATATGTATCTACTAGTAAGTATCTCCTTACTGTCCATTGCCCGTAGTGATAGTCCGGTTGACTGGACAACACGCAAACCAACGATATTAAATACCCTAGATACAAAATCGTGCCTGAAACCTGTCCAAAAGGTACATTGAATGATCCACGGAGCTCCGTAAGATGATCGCGTAGTCAAAATCAATATAAGGCCTTATTTAAATATTGAAAGTAACCTTTAATACATACTGCATAAGGTCTTAAATAAAACGCATGCGTCAAGGACATCTGACAGTTCGAAATGCAAGCTCTTAAAATATTACGACTTATTGCTATATGCGGAAGAATTTAGACCTTAGTTCTTTGACTCTACGCACAATTCTGATCGCGCTGTTAGCAATATAGCATGCACGGACCGCGAAGAAAAGAGACTGCTATATGGCGACGTACTTATAATAACCGATGCATTTGTATATCAAATATTTTATATTAAATCAGTTTATAGTAAGTATTAGATCAAAATTTACTTCAAATGTGTTAAATTAACAAACATTGACTAGATACCTGTCGGAAAAAACGCACTTCATACTCTAAGTATTATTTTCGCATTTTTTCGCGGAGCTCTGTGGCATCTCGACTTTGTAACGGTCCGTGCGTGACTGTGAACCAAGAAGTGCTTGAGTGAAGTTCAAGCACTTCTTGATTGGGACACATTTTGAGCGCTCATGGTGTATCTAGGGTATTTAATAACGTTGACGCAAACAGCTGAACTGATTTAAAAGGTAGAAAGGACAGGATAGATTTTATTGGAATTCAGACACATTCAGTTCGATTCCTTTTTCGTCAGATTAAGGCTGTCTGTCCCCTGGGTGCCCTGGGCCCCTAACTTACGATTCCACTTACTATTTGCACCCCCCCTGGCGTGGACGCCACCCTATGTGGTCCTAGTATACCCCCCCCCCCCCCTGCAATGCATGGTGCATGGTGTTCCGACCCTACAAACTACTTGGGCAATCTCCGTTGAGTAGTAGGTAACAAATTTACATAGAAAAACTACAGCGCCAGTTTATTTGCCTGGTTTTGTTCAAGAAGTTGCCGCTGACTACCCCAACGCAAGGTCGAGGTGCCCGTGTCTTGCGCGCGAGTGCACGTGGCCGGAATGTATGAGTAGTAGCCTCTAGTCTAGTATCGACGACTCTCGCTTGAATCGCGTCATCTGATTAGTACACCAAAAATAAAAGTTGCTACAATAGAAAATTTATTGATATAAGGACATCCACAGAACATTTCGACATGTATCGCGTACTTTCTGGTCACGGGCAGATGGCGCTGTCAGCACGGCTGCGAACTCGCCGTTGCATACAACACGTCCAGAGCGTTGCACAGCGCACGGTAATTCACCTGTGTGATAGATAATAATTTAATATGCCAGTTATGCTATAGAAATGCCAATTTATAAATAAAACGACAACAGTTGTATAAAACTTTGGCCAAAGACCTTGAATTAGGGTCGATCGATTGATGGTAGAATGGATTAGTCGACGTGCCAGACTAGTCGAATGACTATGATTGACGTTGACCGATACCGTCGATCGATAGGTCTGGTATCGCGAAATCGTTTAGTATTTCAATTTCATCTAAATAAATCGTAAACAGGATTCGAAAAATGTTTGGCGTTTCGATTTGATTTTTCGATTCGACAATGAACCCCTGGAAAATCGAACTTATTTGTACGTCGAGCTGGATTGATTGGTCGAAGGAAAAACTTTCGTAACCATTGTTAAAGCACATTTTGCTTAAGAACCTCACATAGAAGACAATAAACGTATAGAAGACGGTGATTATGGAAGTAAGTATACTCTTTGATTGCCAATAAAAATGTTAGGCTTAAGTTGGCTGTTTATGAATGTACCTCGTCGTCGCATCCGCGCCGGTAGCCGAAGCACTTGTAGAGCAGGTCCCGCTCGCGCGACGACATCAGGTGCAGCAGGTTGCGCTGGCACAGCGCGCGCTCCACCGACACGCGCGGGATCGAGCCGCATCGGGAGCGGTCCATGTCCTGACATTACACACGATCATTATTGGTTATGTAGGAAGCACTTGTAGAGCAGGTCCCGCTCGCGCGACGACATCAGGTGCAGCAGGTTGCGCTGGCACAGCGCGCGCTCCACCGACACGCGCGGGATCGAGCCGCATCGGGAGCGGTCCATGTCCTGACATTACACACGATCATTATTGGTTATGTAGGAAGCACTTGTAGAGCAGGTCCCGCTCGCGCGACGACATCAGGTGCAGCAGGTTGCGCTGGCACAGCGCGCGCTCCACCGACACGCGCGGGATCGAGCCGCATCGGGAGCGGTCCATGTCCTGACATTACACACGATCATTATTGGTTATGTAGGAAGCACTTGTAGAGCAGGTCCCGCTCGCGCGACGACATCAGGTGCAGCAGGTTGCGCTGGCACAGCGCGCGCTCCACCGACACGCGCGGGATCGAGCCGCATCGGGAGCGGTCCATGTCCTGACATTACACACGATCATTATTGGTTATGTAGGAAGCACTTGTAGAGCAGGTCCCGCTCGCGCGACGACATCAGGTGCAGCAGGTTGCGCTGGCACAGCGCGCGCTCCACCGACACGCGCGGGATCGAGCCGCATCGGGAGCGGTCCATGTCCTGACATTACACACGATCATTATTGGTTATGTAGGAAGCACTTGTAGAGCAGGTCCCGCTCGCGCGACGACATCAGGTGCAGCAGGTTGCGCTGGCACAGCGCGCGCTCCACCGACACGCGCGGGGTCGAGCCGCATCGGGAGCGGTCCATGTCCTGACAATACACACGATCATTATTGGTTATGTAGGAAGCGGCAAACTTATTGAGTAAAACCATGGTACAACTGCTGTATCAGCTATCTTCGCGTCTGGACTTCACCGTCACTTAACATTAGGTGCGGTGGAGTCATTTGCCGGACCTGTTGATAAAAAAATTAAACGTTTTTGTGTGTATTGTGCAATATTGCTAATGCGCAGCCTTCGTTGTCTGTGGCTTTTGATTATGATGTATGCTGACCTTGGCAAACTTCTTGTGCATCGACAATAGACAGCGAAGCCTGCGCAGTAGCAATTTTATATACAATATACTCTGTCTGCGCGTCGCGCTCTTGCATTGCGCAGTCGGGTAAAAACGTCTTGTGCGCAAGTTTATTCATATGTGGTTTTGCTCAAGAAGTTAACCGCTACATATTCTTGTAATCGTCGGCTCATTAATGAGGGCAGGTTTTACCTACGGGTTGAATAGGAAGACTACCGTGACAGGGTGCTGACTACTGTAGATGCAGTCGGCTAAACGTGCATTTTGAAGCACGGAGGAGATGATAAATATTCAGAAACTTATCTGAACATCGGCCTTTTCTTTTTTTTTTCTTTTTTTTTATGTTATAGGGGGCATACGAGCAGACGGCTCACCTGATGGTAAGTGATCACCGTCGCCCATGGACACTTGCAACACCAGGAGTATCACAAATGCGATGCCGGCCTTTAAGAAAGGAGTACGCTCTTTTTTTGAAGGTTTTTGGGTCGTATTGGTCCGGAAACACTGCTGGCGACAACATATTCCACAGTTTTGTCGTACGTGGTAATAAATATCGACAAAAACGCACGGTTGTGGATAGCCACGCATCAAGATTAATTTTCTAAATCTGCTTAATACCTTGAACACCTCCAGTATGTTGGACAGTTGGTCCGGGTATTTCGCAAGCTTGTTGAGGGCGCCGGAGACAACATTTCGTTCTTGGAAGGAGAGCGCGGGTGCCGCCGGCCGGGCTGCGGGCGGCACGTGCGGTACAGGCGTGAGTAGAGGCGCGCGCTCCAGGTCTCGCTGCGTGCGCACATCGCCCACTGTCGAGCAGAATCGCTCGTACTCCACGAAGCGCCGCCGCCCTGGCGCCATGAACCTGCCAACGTAACCATATCCATAGGTCGCTGGTTCAAATCCGGCTCGAAGGACCAAAAATGTAGGGGTTGCTTCCCACTTGAATGCTTGCTAAGGGTAGGGTTGCCATCTCTAAAATGTGGCAACCAGGGTAAGACGCGTGATAACCCCGGATTTTGGAGCCCAGAACCCGGACAGACCAATAAAAAACAGTTAAAAATGTCACAAATCAACTTTTTTATGTTGATCTAGGCTAAAGAGCTAGCGGTCTACCTTATAATAAGTGGTTACTGCTGCCCATGGACACTAGCAGCACCAAGGGCCACTCATGCGTTGCATTTTTTTATTATTTGAAAGCATGGAACTGCTTGATGTTTAAATCCCAGGTTCGAGTCCCGTCTGTTACCTGGTCCGCGTGGATTTTTTTCTAGTTATATTTTCTTTATATTTAAACATCAAGCAGTTACATGCTTTAAAAAAATGGGTGCGTGTACTTATGTAGGCGCGTGAGAAGTTATCCTTCTTTGGCATCGTTTAAAATTAGTTTTTAATTGCATGCAAATAATTAATTACAATAAATTAATAAAAAGTCTGGAAAAGGACACGGTCAATAAAGTTCAGTTTTAATTTGAAAAAATAAATAAATAATCAAAATATTCAATTAAAATCGCTACTGAATATAATTTATTAGAACATATGTGATTTGCACTTGTATGAAACTCAAACACGTATTCCGAATATACAAACTAGAAACATGTGGATAAATATTATAAATATGAATACCTATAACTGTTACTTTATTACAAAAAATAAAGATGTGGTTTTTGGTTCTACTACACCAATGGTCAAGAGATGGCGCTGTAGTCTCCTGAATCGCGCTTTGGTTCCGTTGTTCCAGATTAATAAATACTTTTGATAGGCCTTCACAATGCAGTCGTTAGCACCCACAAAATAGAGATTCTATTTCTATTTTGTAGGTAGATTTTCTTAATGTGCGGTAACACAAAAGTAACAGCATGAAGTTGGTCGCTTTAGCTGCTGTTAATTTTTTGTGTTACAGTGATGCGCGCGCATCTTAAAATTTCACTCTCATTTTTTCATAACGCGCCTAAAGAAGTATAACTTCAATAATAAAAATTATAATTAAAGATAACTTTAAACTAAAATTATCTATTGAAACTATACAATATTCAAATGTTTGATAAACATACAATTTTAAAATAAAATACAATCTATAATTACTTGTAATTAAATTCTGATAAAAGGGTGTCCACTCACACTTCCATGAGCGTGTCCATCTCGACGGGCGTGAGCGACACCCCGGAGGCGGCCAGCCCGCGGTAGAAGTCTGCGCGCGGGATCACCAGCTCCTGCTGTTTGTCGAACTGACACAGGAAATCCCGTGGTCGAATGCCTTCGCGCACCATCTGTACACAATCACCGTTGTTAACTCTAGCCGGTTGGTAACTGAGTAGCACAACGTTATCAGGGACAGCAGGCCAACAGAATCCTTCAAAGATGGTTTAGAATATTGGTAATGATGAGTGATGTATTACGCTACCAAGTGGTGATGTGGTATACATAAATATGAGTTATTTGATTCAGAGAGTAATGCCCACGTGCTTACGAAGTTCAAACCGCGGCAACCACAGCGGTTAGGTTCCATTTCTAGACCAAATTAAATCATTTGGACTTAACAGATTTGTTAAAAAAACCTACAGGACAGTGGGATGTCTGTATAGTATAAGTCGCGGCACGAAACTCTAACGCTGACTGTTATTGCGCAGGAGTAAAAACTAAGGTGTCTGGGAGGAACGAGGTGCGCGAGTGGGCGTGCGTTGCGCCGATTGTCTCTCCAGTCGTACCCATGCGAAGCTATCCCTGACCCGTTTTGTTCACCGCTAGATTTATGTGCCGCGATCTGTATGTGATACTAGCTAGGTTTAATGCCACACTCGTACCTTGCCCTTGATCTTGGCGAGTATCTGCACGATGTCAGTCTGCGCAGGGTCAGGCGCACGCGGGGCGGCGGCGCGCGGGTGCGGCGCGGGCCCGGCGATGCTGGCGCTCTCTGCCGGCCGCTCTTCCATCTACACACGGTAGATATATTATAATTAAGTAGTTTCATTGAGTAAACAAAAACACACCAAGATTATTTGTTTTATGTGCGTTAATCTGTAGCTATCATATGCTATACCACAAAACATAGATAGAGGTTCTAACCTAGAATCAATTTAGTGTTTTAAAGGCGATATTTTATTATAGGTACTGTTTTGCTGGGTTTTATCGTCTATGGTGCAAAAATATAATCTAAAATTCATTTAAGGACACTGGCCCATTCAAAACTAGTGAATTTATTTGACAATTTTTTTTTGAAGTTATACTTCTTTAGGCGCGTTATGAAAAAATGATGAGAGTGAAATTTCGAGATGCGCGCGCATCACTGTAACACAATAGTAACACCATGAAGTTGGCCGCGGGCGCGTTATGAATGTTAGTGCCTAATAATGGTGGATTATTAACCACTTAGTGGTTAACATCTGTTCGAAAGGTACTTTGAACGATCCACGGAGCTCCATAAGGTGATCGCGTTGTCAAAAACAATGTTGGCACGCTCGTCGCCTCTGATCACTGTTTTCATATTTATAATATTTATCCACATGTTTCTAGTTTCTATATAGACACAACGTGTTTTAGTTACTTACAAGTGCCAATTACATATGGACTAATAACTTAAATTCAGTAGTGATTTTAATTGAATATTTTGAATATTTATTTAATTTTTCAAATTAAAACTAAACTTAATTGACTGTGTTAACTATCCTTTTCCAGTCCTTTTATTATTTTATTGTAATTATTAATTATTTGCATGCAACTAAAAAATATTTTTAATGATGCTAAAGAAGTATAACTTCTCACGCGCGTACATAAGTTACACGCATCCATTTTTTTTTTGGTTGTGTCAGTGTGAGCACCTCGGTCAGCAGGCGCGCGTAGCTGAAGCCGCAGGAGTCGAGGTAGCGCGCCTCCTGTGTACAGTGTCAGTGTGAGCACCTCGGTCAGCAGGCGCGCGTAGCTGAAGCCGCAGGAGTCGAGGTAGCGCGCCTCCTGTGTACAGTGTCAGTGTGAGCACCTCGGTCAGCAGGCGCGCGTAGCTGAAGCCGCAGGAGTCGAGGTAGCGCGCCTCCTGTGTACAGTGTCAGTGTGAGCACCTCGGTCAGCAGGCGCGCGTAGCTGAAGCCGCAGGAGTCGAGGTAGCGCGCCTCCTGTGTACAGTGTCAGTGTGAGCACCTCGGTCAGCAGGCGCGCGTAGCTGAAGCCGCAGGAGTCGAGGTAGCGCGCCTCCTGTGTACAGTGTCAGTGTGAGCACCTCGGTCAGCAGGCGCGCGTAGCTGAAGCCGCAGGAGTCGAGGTAGCGCGCCTCCTGTGTACAGTGTCAGTGTGAGCACCTCGGTCAGCAGGCGCGCGTAGCTGAAGCCGCAGGAGTCGAGGTAGCGCGCCTCCTGTGTACAGTGTCAGTGTGAGCACCTCGGTCAGCAGGCGCGCGTAGCTGAAGCCGCAGGAGTCGAGGTAGCGCGCCTCCTGTGTACAGTGTCAGTGTGAGCACCTCGGTCAGCAGGCGCGCGTAGCTGAAGCCGCAGGAGTCGAGGTAGCGCGCCTCCTGTGTACAGTGTCAGTGTGAGCACCTCGGTCAGCAGGCGCGCGTAGCTGAAGCCGCAGGAGTCGAGGTAGCGCGCCTCCTGTGTACAGTGTCAGTGTGAGCACCTCGGTCAGCAGGCGCGCGTAGCTGAAGCCGCAGGAGTCGAGGTAGCGCGCCTCGAGGGCCCGCACCTGCGCGGCGGTGGGCAGCACCCCCAGCCGCGCCAGCACGCGCCGCACCAGGGACCGCGGCACGTGACCGTTGTTGTGTCTGTAGCGTCATCGGTTAATAGTGAGGTTCAGCAATTTGATGTCTAGCTTCTTTCTAAGTCTGTTAACCTGAGGTGTGCAATGTTTTCAGGAACGATCAGTCTTAAGAGTTCATTCAGGAAAGAGAGATAGTGGATATTTCATGCATGGAAATTCCACATCAGTCGAACTATAGAGTGCCTCATCATGAAATATTCATCAGCTCTCTTTTCTTCCTCTGAATCGTACCCATTACGTCCAAGAGTTACAAAGATCAAATCTTTTCTTTCGATTTACAAGGACTTGAACTACATTTTCGCTAATTTAATCAATACTTTTTCACCACAGAAATGATGAGATTTGGCAAATAAAGAAATGCTGCTTACTCATCATGTTCGGAGAAGGCGGGACGCAGGTCTATTGCGCGCTCGCGACAGGCGGCGCGCACGCGGAGTAGTGCCGCCTGCGCCAGGTCTAATGCCGCCTCTGTAGCTCCTCCCCCCATGGCCGCTGTATCCTCTGCTGACCCCAGAGGTGGTAGTTCTAACATCGCCGCTGCCGCACTGCCGGCTACTGCAGTTGGATGCTTCTCCAGCTCTTTCGTCGTGAAAACTGAACAAAATATTTAGATAACTTTAACATTTCTAACCAAAGGTCTCATACTTGACGACTGGTTTCAACACCATCGACATTTTTCACAAATTTCAATAAAGATATAAAGATGCAGGTAGTACTTGACAGTATGAATTGCCATTGCAGGCATGTACAACATTGACTATATGTAGGTAAATAAAACTAGTTTTAACGGGTTAATGCACGTAACTTTATTTATTTATTGACGTTTCGCAGCCTTTTCAGGTCTGCATCGTCAGAATAATGATTTTTTATTTAATTTTGTCGAGCTACCTTCGAAAGACTTTTTTCATTAAGACGAGAGACGAGAAGACGGTTATTTCATTGGAAGATTTTTAAAATTTTATTGTCTATGTATGAATTTCTTAGTTAAATTAGTTAATAAAGTACTTTATTTAAAAATCTTTTTTGTAATTTTGAGTTTATTTATTTGACCCTAAACTACCACCGGTTCCAAAATTGGGAGACCTTTCTGAGAAGAACCGGCGAAACAAACTCAGAGGCTTTCTATCTCCTCCTTATGTTAAATCATGCAAACAAAAACAACTAATAGTATCTGTTGGTCTTGCAGTGTGTGCTCGGGGTTGGGATTTTATCTCTTGTATAATGCGTTCCCAAGCTGGTGGTATATACTAACCATCTTCCCTATTGAAATTTGGATATTTTTTAATCTCAATAGCCTCGCATATCATTCTAGGAACGAATCGTTGCTCAGTTGCAAGGAGCTGTGGTTTATCAAATCTAATGTAATGGTTTGGTCCCCCTAATGCATGTTCACACACTGCAGACTTATTTTCGCGACTATGTTTCATATCTGTGATATGTTCTTTTACCCGAGTCCCTATACTCCTCTTTGTTTGCCCGATGTAGGAGAGCACACAGCCGCATTCAAGTTTGTAGACACCAGCAACTTGAAAGGGTATATTGCACTTGATAGGTCGTAGAAACTGGTTGATCTTCTTTGGCGGCTTGAAGTAAGTATTGATTGAAGCACGCTTCAGAATCCTCCCAATCTTGTCAGTGACTCCTTTCATGTAAGGTAGTATAGCAGGTAGTAAACTAGTTTTATTTAATGAGTGATGTGCGTGAAAACCTAAGAAACAAATATACATGTAGGTACTTACATTTGTAACAGTATTCAATTATAGTTCAGATTAAACGTTGCCAATATACGTATTTAAGTATCAGTATACGTGTTCTATCCGTTACCCTAGTATCTATTATTTATTTTTATTTATATCATGCATCAAAAACATGTGCCATATTTCGTGGCAGGTGTGGATAAGAGACAAACTCTGTAGTCACAGGTTTCGAGTCATGCATCAAAAACATGTACATTTCGTGGCAAGTATTAAATTGAGACAGCTATGGCACAACATACCAGCTGAACGCATCAGTACTTAATTAAATGTTAATTGGGATTAACTTAATGATTATGGTTACACTAACATATTCGAGACGCAAAAAATCTTAAGTCTGTCTTGGCTGGAAAGGCATTGGCTATTCTATGAAAAGTACCATATAGTTACACATACTCGTACAACCCTACTCAATAATGCTCATTCACAGAACAGAACAGACAGACAGAACACTATGACAATGAACATTTGTTCCCAGTAAATAAGATTGACACAGCGCCTAAGAATAGATTTCCCCGAATGTGATCGGAGGTTGGGATCACATTGCACATACATCTGGACTGCAACGGAGATAGACATAAAATAATTGTTTCTTCAATAAAATCCTTAAAAGTATTGGTCAGACAGAAATAACATTCAATCCTACACGATTCTCGATTGTTTTCTAAAATCATGTTTCAAGTGTACCCTGGTCGCAGTCATCCTCGAAGGTCCTCCAGCAGACACGTTCCTGGTCGTTGGGGTCAAGGTAGTGCCTGATGACGCAGACGGCCTCTTCAGGCGACAGTACTGCAGACAGGCCCATGGCGTCCAGCGCGCGTCTGAACTGCTGCGGGGTGATGCGCCCGCAGTTCAACGGATCATAGTCCTTGGAAAGCAGAAAAAGAAGTAAAAATATTAAAGCGGATTGTAATCTTTTAAAATGGGTAAAATACGTAATGGTTTTAGTTTCATGTTCTCCTTCGTCCCATAAATAAACAAATGAAAATCTAATGCGGCAGCCGGATGGCAAGATCATTATTCACGTAGACGGTAGGGATGTCGAAAATTGAAAAAAATATCGATATATCGATACATCGATATTTTAAAAAATATCAATATCGGCTTCGATATATCGCGAATAAAACATCGATGTATCGGACCAATTTTCCCAAAAATATATTTAGGTCAGCTTAGCACAGTAATAATAACAATACAAATTATAATTAAAGAAAGAATTATCAAAGTACCAGATTGCCGCTACACTACATGACAGTACAGTTCTTACGAAAGATGACACGCGAAATAATAATGGAACGAAAATTATCTCCCTAAAAATATACCCTATTTTCAAATGATGAAAATGATTGCAGGGCCTCTCAGGTGCCATCCTTCGTAAACAAGACTAGACAGTCACTCACTTCCACAGAATATAATGGGATTCAACACAACCAATTCACCAGCGAAACAGATTTACTAATCATAGACAATTCTAAATACAGCACAAATCATAGATATGTGGAATATCATTAATCTGAGATCCAGTTACGATTTTTCCAGATACGAATTTAGTTAGATCTTGATATGGCGCTAATAATTAAATAAAAATATCGTTTTTGATACCAATTTCGATAATGGTTATTTTGTATCGATGTATCGATATATCGAATCAAAATATATCGGCTAAAAATATCGATATATAGAACAAAAGATATCGATATATCGATACATCGATACATTTTCAACAAGCCTAGTAGACGGCTTGAAGCCAATCCCAATCCCATGGAGTTCCGGAACCTAGAGGTCTGTCGGGCATCTAATTTATTACCGACACAGTCTTATGAAAATAATTCTCCATTGAATGCATTTTTCAGGAAACTATACACACATTCTTTAAATTTCTAAATTTTAAAATCCATGTTTCCAGGGATTTTAAAATTTAGAATTTTTGTTTGCCTTTGTGTGTCACAACATAACTACCTACACAACTATGAAATCGTTACCTGCACTGAGGAATTCCGAGAGCGCCGTTGCATGACGAACTCTTGCAATCACCTTCATTAGCTGTCTCGAGGGCTTTGGCGGCGTCAACGCCAGGTGGAAAAATTACTTTTCCCCGAGTAGAGGCAGTACGCGATTATAAAAGCGTTACCCTGAGGAACTCGGAGACCCTGATGCGCCGTTGCATGACGAACTCCTGTACGCGCAGCATCAGTTCCACCAGGTGTCTGGAGGGTCTCGGCGGCATCAGCGCCGGGTGGAAAACTTCCGTCTCCCCCAGCGGGGCTGTCGACAGGCGCGCCTCCACCTCCGGCCGCGAGAGCTTGGGCAGGGTCGTGTCGATAATAGCCTTCGGGTTATTGTACTCCTGAAAGAAGAAGAATTAGTCAGAAAAATGCCTAAATTCCAGACAACCGTAACAGTTTTCTGGGAAATTTTCGCCAGATTTTCCATCAGATTAATACAATTTCCTAATAATGATAGGATAGGTTTTTACTGGTTTGGGATTGCTTTCTGGTTAGTTTATTGAGATACGTACTATCAACCCGCCTGGGCTTGCACTCTATATACTAATGTGCATATTAACTTCTTCTTGAATGATTATATCTATTGGTTAAAAATGCATTAAAATTGCAAGTAATTTTAAAACTCTTAGCGTACAGACAGCAGGAGCAATTTATATTATACTAAGTAGGTATGTAAAGACGAATAAGGTAGTTTCTATCAAAATATGACTGACCACTCCAAGTCCCCTGATGCCTTCTTTCTTGACGGCCTCCAGGGCGCGCAGGAATTCTACGTAGTCCAGGGTGTACGAGTCCTTGATGAATCGGCGCACCAGGAGGTTGAAGTCCTCAGGGGAGACCAGCACTCCCACATAGTTCAGGATGCGAGCGAAATGAGCGAATGTGATGCGTCCGTCATTTTTTGCCACCTATAATGTGGTTTGTGAAGGGAATTAAATGGAATTAGGGAATATAATAGAGTGGTTGGCGCGTTTAATCAGTGATCGTGAAAGTTAAGTATATTTCGCAATTACTTGTCATCGGAGGGAGACCGAAAATTATATCACCCGAGATTCACACGAAGGCTTTGACCGCAGCCTTAATATGCCGTGCTTCGTTACGCACAATACTTTTGACGCGTTGACAGCTGCGTCTGCAGTCGTAAGCACTCTTCACTTTATTAATATATCTATCTTAAAGAGATATTAAATGAGTAACTACATGTAATTACCAACTCGTAGTCCTGGAAGTACGGTTTGAGCGGCACTTCCCTCGCCGCTATGGTGGCCAGCAGACAGCAGAGGCGCTGCGTCTGCCACTGGTCCAGCGAGTGGCAGGCCGGCTCGGGCGGCGGGGGGCAGGCTTCCAGCAAGCAGTCCGACGAGCTCTTGTCGCGACCACCCGCATCTGTAACCACAGATTTTGTACAGGTCGCGGTGTGTAACTCTAACGCTGGACAAAACGCGTCAGGGATAGCTTCGCATGGGTACGACTGGAGAGACAATCGGCGCAACGCACGCCCACCCGCGCACCTCGTTTCCCCCCAACACATCTTATTTTTACTCCTGCGCAATAACGGCCAGCGTTTCGTGCCGCGACTTAAGCCAGAAACATATTAACGTGTCGTGTCGTGTCGTGGCGCGCCAGAAGCACATCGGTTTCATACATTTACTATGGTTAGAGACATATTTACGTATCGTGTCGTGTCGACGCTTTAACCTCTCTATCTCTCTCTAACCCATAATAAATTATGAAACCGATGCGCCACGTCACGCCACGCCACGTTAATAAGTTTCTGGCTTTATGTGTATAGTGCGATTCAAATTTAATGGCGTCCGTGGAGATGGTGCAACTCGCGGCGCAGCAAACGAAATGAAAATACGACACATAATAATAACTAAGTCAAACTTGGACGAATCGTGTATTGTTTTGACAAAGGCACATTATTATCATATAACGAAACGAAAAAAAAGTTCATTAACACGTATCCGCATGAGGGACCCCTTGAGTAGCAGTAGTTTGGTGACAAACATATTTTTTACCCGGCTGCGCTGTGCAAGAGCGCGAAGTGCGACGCGCAGACAGGGTTATGTGTTTAACAGTCTATATATGTATGTTTGTTCCTTTGTGGCACACTTTGTGGATTTTGATGATTCATACATCGATCGATTCGTCTCAATTATGGGAGTGCTACTAAAGATATGATAGTAATCAAAATTCAATATGGGCAAAATTGGGCGCCATATTGTGACGAAGTAAAAAAAATAAGTTGACAAAATATGTCGAGTGGGGTATCACTGTCTAGATAATCAAAAATCATATTTAGGTTCCTAACACCATTTTTCATTTAATATGATTGTTTAGGATCTACAACGCTATAAAGTTGTATATTAACCACTTACGCTTTTAATTTCAATCTTACGTTTGTATGGATCTTTGTTACTCTTTCACCTAAAAAATACTTAACAGTAATATAGCTCATATATGATAATTACATATATATAATAATTTATGTAGTTATTGAGTGAATTGGCCAATATATAACAATAAGTGTCACATAAGACGGAAAAAATTTCCCATCTGCGAGCTATTTTTGCCTGCACTGCAAAAACAATAAGAGTTACATGAATGTAATGTAGAGTGAAAATGTATCTTTTAAATAGTTCTAAAAAAAAGTCCGTGACACCATATATCTATTTTTAATGTGTAAGTCATTACCGCTAAAATAGTGAATCAAAACTAAAATATTATTTGATATCTATTTCCAAAATGCACATTTTGTATTAACAAATCATTTTTTATCAAAACAAATACTTTTATCGCTTTTGATATTTAAAGACGATAAACTTTGCTTTTTACACTGTCATTTCGACAAATATTTAATAAAAAGTTACAACGATGACAAAGTGATAGTGCGGTGTACTATGTAAAAGAAAAAAAAATGGGCTATTCGCAGTATCTGATCCTATACGAAGCACTAACAATAAAACTGTGATACAGTTCCTTCTTATTAAATGATGAAAAATATATTTTCATAATAGGTATTTATGATTATTGAATTTTACTGAAAAACTCAGAATTTTACTGTTTTTCATTTTTTTAACGATATTACTTAATGTTACTAAAAAGGTTTACTTAATATAATGACAAATAACCCATTTTTCGTTAGTAAGTACATACTTATTGGAATCCCTGTATTTATTAATCAGCTCCCGATAATATTGGTTTTGTAATAATTCTGCAAAATTCAAAGTAAATAATGTAGATTTTTATAGGTAAATCATCCCTTTCATCACCCTATGCCTATAAGTATTGCGATGATGTAGCTAAGAACCAAGTTCCCATCTACTTCTATATGGGAATTCATTATATTCGATTTAGCTATTAGGGCACGGAAGCGCAACAAACAAACTCACTTTCGCATCTATAATATTATATTATACTTACTAATGATCCACCCGGGCATTGTACGGGCGAAATTTATTTATCGGGATAAAATATAGCCTATGTCACTCGGACAAAATGTATTTAAATAAAGAAAAATGTTATAATAAATAACGTAGCTACCTTATGATGAATTAATATTTGAAACCGGTTCAGTAGTTTGACAGATTATTTGTTACAAACATACAAATCTTGCCTCTTTATAATATTAGTATAGATAGTTAGGATAAGATAAGTATTTCATTGATGAAAAAGATTTAAAAATAAAGTAAGTAATAGGTTTATTTGATTATATTTGTAAAAGTTACTTAGCATTTGTGCTTAACAGTGATACGATATTCGGTATTTTTTTAAACAAAAAAAAATTTGGAAAATAATTGCCATGATTGCACTACTCTTCATTCGAGCTTTACACTACCAATAAAAAAGGTAAATTTAAAAAATCAAAAAACCCGACTGCTTAATTCATTCTTCAAATAAAAACTGAAAAGAAAAAAACAAGTCCAGTAGTCTATAATTCTGCTAATAAGGAACAAAGCTACTTTAACAGTCGGGACCCGTTAGATATTAAAGAATACAAAATATTTTTTAACAGTGGGTCCCGACTGTTAAAGTAGCTTTGTTCCTTATTAACAGAATTATAGATTACTGCACTTGTTTTTTTCTTTTCAGTTTTTATTTGAAGAATAATTAAGCAGTCGGGTTTTTTGATTTTTTAAATTTACCTTTATTCAAAATAGCATAGAAGTCGTCAATATAATGTTTCTTAATCCCTTTATTTTTAATTTTTGCATTCTGGTTTGTTCATCATCATCATCATCATTATTATTGTTCTGTGATGACTGGAAGATGGTGGATTTACTGGTAATTAAAGACTTCGCTTTTATGCTTTACTTTCTGATTATGGACCTTTATCACAGGTTAGGTAAAAGTTTGCCTTTGTTACGAGCGAGGTCCGTCAGATCGTAAGTTGCCATTATTAGCTATGACGCATGTGAAACAGAAGTATCACACGCACGTTGTCTCTCCTGAACACATCGCCTGACTCCATGGAACCCTGGAACCTTCATCGTTGGCATAAAGATAACAGTATGAAAAGTGTAAGTAGTTCATTTCATTGTGGTCTCCTGGAGGTTGTAAGAAGTACAGTGCATTCAACTCGCACATAGCGCGCGGTCATCAGTTTACTTATTGACCCAGTTTATTTTGTGCAATAACTTTAATCTCTTATTTAATAGACAAGTCCGTCCGTCCGTCCGTGGTGCTGTTTCAGCGGCCAAACCGTAAGAGATAGATATAGAGAATGTTTAAGTTATAAGTTAAGAATAGTCTGATAAGACTACAAACCGGATGTGAGTAACGTAGCACTTTCGGTTTTCGAAAAATCACGTGATTTCTATTTCAAACGAAACCACACAAAATCTCCGAAGTTCTCAATTGATTAAATACATTTTTTTTTTGTGAACATTTGGTTCACTGGTTTGCTAGTTATAATTTATTTAAGTTAGTACACATTTGAACACCATTCAAACCGAGTGTGCTCATACCATTACCATTTAGCATTTTTTAACAGTTTTAATATATTGCGAAATTTGTTCTTCTCTTTTTATTTTACATTAATTTGTGGGACTGACACCCTACAGAGGTTACATTTCTATCCGAGAAATCTTTTCCTCTCATAAAATTGTGATACTTAAATGACAGTCCATGTGGAGTAAATGAGTCGTTAAAGATTTACAAAACCTGTGACTACTTATAAGCGATCTCAACCAGCGATTAGTTCCGAGATTGCAATATTGATTCTTATGTAACAGTGACCCGTTGACCTCGGCATCGCTAAATTAGAACCAGCCTATAAAGCCCTACAAATAATTTATTAATTGTAGGAAAACCAACAGCTATTAAAACACAAAAAAAAAATAAGGAACAGTAAGCCAATAACGTAATCATATACATACCAGTCCCGCTAAACTTGACGACCTCCGTGGTCGAGTGGTTTGTACGTTTGGGTTCGAATCCCGGTGGGTGCAGATGTTTGTGTGATGAATACGAGCATTTGTACTCCAGTCATGGATGTTAAAAATGTATTTCTATATACTTATATAAGTACTGTATATGTATTCTATCCGTTACCCTAGTATCCCATAACACAAGCCTTACAGTGCTTACTTTGGGGCTAGGCTAATTGGTGTGTGTTGGTATAAAAAAAAACGCATTAATATAAATAAGTACATTTTCAACACATCGTAAGAATTTTCAACACTCGTGCATCCTTGCTCCCCTATAGGCCCATGATGGTATATTTGTTTCTTAGGTTTTCACGCACATCACTCATTAAATAAAACTAGTTTTTTACGGCTACGAAACGTCAATAAATAAATAAAGTTTCGTGCATTAACCCGTAAAAAACTAGTTTTATCCCATGATGGTAATTGAGCTGACCTTCTCCATGTATGATCTGGCAGAGCTGATGGTACAGCACGCGTCCGTCCTGCGCCCGGAAGTAGTCCGCCAGCTGGGATATCTCCGCGTCAGACAGCCCGATCACGGAGCGCAGCGGACCCGCGAGGATGGACACAAACTTTGATTCTGAAACAACCATAGATAAATGATGACTATAAATAAATAAATATTTCCAACACTCACACCAATTAGCCTAGCCCCAAAGTAAGCACTGTAAGGCTTGTGTTATGGGATACTAGGGTAACGGATAGAATACATATACAGTACATATTTTTATAGAAATACATATTAAACATCCATGACTGGAGTACAAATGCTCGTATTCATCACAAAAACATCTGCCCCCACCGGGATTCGAACCCGGGACCTCTCGAGTCGGCGACACAATGAAACCCGGCGTATAAACCACTGGGCCACGGAGGTCGTCATGTCTAATTTTGACGACTTCTCAGTTGTCGAGTGGTTTGTACGCCGGGTTTCATGGTGTCGCCGACTCGAGAGGTCCCGGGTTCGAATCCGGGTGGGGGCAGATGTTTGTGTAATGTAATACGAGCATTTGTACTCCAGTCATGGATGTTTACTATGTATTTCTATATAAATATACTTATATATGTACAGTATATGTATTCTATATGTTAGCCTAGCATTCCATTTTTAACACTAGCCTTACAGTGCTTACTTTGGGGCTAGGCTAATTGGTGTGAGTGTTGGAACAATTTATTTATTTAATTTTAAGCCGAAGGAGAGGGAAAACAGCTTTGGATTCTGTTGTATGTACTACATAAGTAGATACGTGCAGAGACCAAGCTTCTATAGAGCTGTAAAAACATATTTTGGAAGGGTAACACATGAGGGTAAATTAAAATTAACAACACGTTTGTAAATATAATTTGCTTAACAAGTTATGCATCTTTTAATAGATTTTTGTCCATCGATGAACAATGTAATGTGCCTACTTTATCTTAGTCTGAGTTTTTTTTGTTAGACACTAAATAACAATATCACAATTATTATATAAAAAGAAAAACAAATGGGTATTACAAGTCTAAGTGATTTTTTTTAAGGTGCATACAGCAATTTCCATACATTTTTTGACACAATATTAGTCTCTAAAGTTATTCTTCAAATATCTACATGAGGCAAGTTAATTGTTACTCATAGAGGTATTTGGTACTCAATCGAAAATATTTTCAGATATCAATGTCATCGGATTTATCGTTACATGTCTCCAATCGACTTAGGAGTGCTACTATCTTGGTTCGGAAAAACGGTTTTGTAAATGGCAAGATTGGATAACGTGATTACATATTTTCATTCTTCAATAATATATGAAAGTATTTTTATTTTAGGAATATAAATTCTAAATATAGTCTTATGTAAAGCACTAATACGCATAATACATATAAAATCAGTATACAGTCTTGTAAGCGTTTTAATAAATCAATATTGACAGTGGTGTCGATTCTGGCACGATTCTCTAAATCTTAACTTAAATTTGACAACAGTGTATCCTTATCATTCTCTATACAGACTGAAAAGGAGAGACTGATGTTAAATTTACTTTTAAGTTTAGAAAATCACGCCAGAATCGATACCACTGTTTGTTTTAAAAATCTTGTTTGTTAAATCTGTGCTTTGTTTTGAAGTGCTGTAAAAATATTTGAATTCTATCAATGGCTGAAAAGGAAAAAGTTGTACCTAGCATGTTATCTACTACTTATTTCGGTGACTTAAAGTTTCGATTCGGGGGCCAGAAATCGGCCTTATAAAAGAAGGTTCCCCTTAAGAACTTTTTGTTAACGTGACACATAAAATTAAATGGGTGACATAAAAATTAATAGGGATGGTGAAATCCGCCATAAATCCAACCTGATCTATGTGAGTGGAGAGCACGCACGCACGCACGCACGCACGCACGCACGCACGCACGCACATGTAAAGAGAGATGGAAATTGGCCGCACCAGCAACAACCCTCACATTGTCAGCCCTATTATTCTCGATTTAGTTTATTTTAGTCTTTAGCCACCTTACTTACAACTTTTAGAGATTTTGCGAATGCGAATATTCAAAAATATGCGAATATTCGCGAATGCGAATATTCGTTACATCACTAATAGGTACCAGATATGAGCGAGTTGCCCTCCGGGTCGAGCGGCCGGTACCAGTCCCACAGGTTGAGCCCCACGCGGAACGCCGCCGCGCGGATCTTGTTGCATGTCTTCCACACATCCGCCAAACGTACTATCTGGAATTTATAAGGAGTAGAGGATAAATAATACAGGGTAGAAACTAGTAAAGTATAAGGAATATTGTAATGCGGTGAGCGCGCCGCTTCGGCACCGCAGCGGGCCGTCACGAGGCGCATAAGTTGAAAGCGCCCTAAGATACGCAATACACGTATGGTTTATGTATCATAGTCTGGGCCAGGTGACCTGTTAGTACAGGTAGTTATTCGTAGTTGCCTTTTAGGCGTTTTGCAGACGACGGGGCGGGGCGGGCATTTTGTCCGCGAAGCAATAAAAACCGCGTCTGCCCGTCGATGTCTGCGGCTGCCCGCGCTGCGTACACAAAGCACACGACGGGCAGAGGCGGTCAGTTCAGGACGTTCGTTCTAGCGAATAGTCCATCACTAATAAGCGCGTGGCGCGGACTGAGCTGACCGCCCCGCGCCGCCGTCTGCGTTACTGCATATAAACTGGTTTGTATGATCCACGGCTGGCAGCCGCGGACATGCCGCGCCGCCAGTGCCCGCCGGGCACCCAAGGCGCGGTCTTTTTGCCCTCTGTGTGCGTTTGTAATATAGGATTCACTTTGTGCTATCGTTCGCGGCGAAATTGACCGGCCCGCCCCGCCCCGTCGTCTGCAAAGCGCCTTACGGGCACCAGTCTCCCACATAATAGGTTTATGTATTTGTATTGATTAAGTTAGTTACTGTTATATTTTTTGTGAGGAGAAAATAAATGGTATATTATTATTATTATTAATAGCGAGTGCTGAGGACTTTTGACGGCATGACTCACTATCGGAATGAATATATCAAGAGCACGCAGTCATCGTTTATTTGTGGTATTTCATTTCTTAAAGAAGCGATGTACATTTCGTATTCACAGCGTCACATCCCGTGGTTGTTATTACCTACATGTATGATTCCCTTTAGGTTCTGTCAGTGCAAGAACTGTATAAAGAAATATCTAGATTTGTAGCTTCAGGTCGGTGAAATGGTGTTGGCATGTCTCCGGAATCGATCCCCGTTGAAGTGAACGCAGCAAAACCAACTGTTCAACATTATCTCAGGCTTTTTCAGTGTTTGTAGTGCCTAGGTTGTTACTGTTTCCCATAACGTAACGCAACTATTTTTTGGGATCACGTTTTTTTTTAAAACGATGGTGTTTACTATTACTTAAATAAAGCAATAATAAAAGTAGTGTTTAACAGGTTAATGCACGAAACTTTATTTATTTATTGACGTTCCGCAGCCTTTTCAGGTCTGCATCGTCAGAATACTGATTTTTTATTTAATTTTGTCGAGCTACCTTCGAAAGACTTTTATTCAGCGTTCGGTTATTTCATTGGAAGATTTTCGAAGGTAGCTCGACAAAATTAAATAAAAAATCAGAATTCTGACGATGCAGACCTGAAAAGGCTGCGTTAGTAGAATATTTTATATAAAATTTCGTGCATTAACCCGTTAAAAACTAGTTTTATTTAATGAGTGATGTGCGTGAAAACCTAAGAAACAAATAAAGCAATAATATTTTGTAGTTTTATTATATCCTCACCCATTTATTTCAAAAAGAGATGGCTTCGACGACGGCGCCGGTAGCAGTGCAAATAGCTAATAATTATAACATTGTCCTTTAAAATTTAAAGCCCTGTGATTGTAGAGGTAAGCACTAAAAATAATTTATTATCTCTAGCACCAGTATTCGTTGGATAGCAAAGTGGCACTTACTGGGTGCTTCTCTTAGATTAAAACAAAAAGGGTAGATACGGTACGCTCATACTTGCATCAAACAAAAACTGATCCCACGGCAGCGCGAACGGGACGGCGAGATCCGCGTCACTGTATTACCGACCCGAACGAAACAGCACGTTAAGTTTCAACGGTAGCGCGAACGAGACGGCGAGATCCGCGTCACTGCACTACCGACCAATCACGCGACCAGTACTCGACGTCACTACCGAATAAGATTCAAAACAAACAGCAATTTTTATGAAAAAATATATTTTATAGTGCTTACGAATGAAAAGTGATGCCGTGGGTTTTATTTTTAGTTCTTGAGCAATTTGAGCACTTTTTAAAAACACACTTAGGCATTGTTTTATCATATAAACACAAAATATTAGCAATATTTCTTTTTGGCGTTCACATGTACGTCGTTTGCATGTCAAGTTGTGACTAAAGCGATTGTGGTCTTGGGCCACAATTCATGCGGATCACTTTTGTGAGGCTAGTGCCGGATCTTCCCTTTTTGTTTTAATCTAAGGTGCTTCTACAGTTTTTACGCTGGTCCATTATTAGATCTGTGAAGGTCTTACTACTTACCGTGTCATGCATAATGAAGTATTATTACTCGTTAAAAACAACTCCAGAAACTGTGCATTAAATTGAACAATTCTATTGTCGTCTTGACTTTAAATTTTGATATTTACAAACAAATATTTTGATTTGTTTACACTCGTTTAATCAGGGGATAAAATGTCAAAGTATTTTGAAAGTGTCAATGAATAAAATGGCGGTTGTAGGTTGGTTGTAGGAAGTTATTTTTATTTGATCAAAAAGTTTCGCTAAGTAAATGCGATTACTGATATAATAAATAATACAAAAAAATTGTGTGTGTCAGCTCCGACGCACGACCGGAGTTTACACTCTAACAACGATTGTCTTTGAACAGACACAAAACAAAATCAAGTCCGAAGAAGTCGGTTACAAGTAGAGATACACCAAAAGCTAATTAAAGCGTATAAAAAAAAATTACATCAAGGCGTGATAATTTTCAGAATTTTTATAAGAAATAAATTAGATAATATGAAAAAAGTATTTTTTTATTTAAATTAACATTCATAGCTTTTTAAAATTGCAACATGTAAATTTTAAGATAACTTTTTTTACTATAATTTATCAATTTGAGAGCTTTTGCTTATAAATAAGTGGAAATTTTCAACAAAAATCGCTTCGTGCGTCCGTAAATAATAGAATTATCTATCGACGTCCGAAGCGCTGTTTTTTGAATTTTTTTATTTATTTATGAGAAGTTTTGAAGTTCTCATTCATTGTGAAAAAACGATAGAGACACTTTCATTTGCTCAAAAGAGAACAAGAGAGAAAAAATCTAAACCGTTCTTAAGAAATATTGTTTTACGTCAAATGTCCGCTAATCATTTATTATAGAATTCGCGATTTTATTTTATCGATCGATTCTTTTTAATAGATATCAATTCAATTGATTCTATCGTTGAAATATAACTATACTTCTTTATTGTCGTGGTTGATTGACGCTGGCTACACACAAGTATACACACACACAACTTAAAAGTGAAAGGTGCGCAGATGAGGTTGCACACAAAAACGTAACGAGGTCATTTGTTCAGTAGATTTTACTCCTCATATTTTTTTCATACCGGGGGCCTTATATGAAAATCAATTCTTAAGGAGTAAACTCCAATATTCTTTAGAGTTTCAGAAAACTTTCTATTCAGTCGAATTATTGCCTATTCAACCTACTAACACTGCCCCTTTGTGTAGGCATTAATAAAAGTAATATCCAACTAAAACGTAGGAATTAACATTAACAGCTAACAATTACAAAATATAAGAAACAATCAGAAGACATTTAATAATTTGGTTAGCAATTGATGCTTTTTCTTACTAAGCACCTTGGTAAGTAAATTCGCGGCTAACTCAGCTGAAGGCACTACGTCAATGATACCTTTATTTACAGATTCACAAATAAAATGATACAGTACGTCTATGTGTTTCGTTTGTTTGAACTATTCATTGTTAACCATTTTGTGTGTGCTCAAATTGTCGTTAAAAAAAGTTATTGGTTCTTGTAAGTTGACACCAAACTTCAACTCGTTAAAAAAGATTCTTTATGAATTTGGCCTCCTTAACAGCAGAACCTAAACTATAAACTCGGCTTCGGTAGAAGACAAGGCAACAACATTTTGTTTCCTCGCGGCCCAATTTACTAAAGATTGTCCATACATTGTTAATGTGACGGAGTACGAACGCCTATCTATAATGTCTCCCGCCCAATCTGATATATAAATAAATATTCTTGAGAGTTTCAGAGAACTTTCAATTCAGTTTATTTCGACAGAATGACAAAGTCATAGAAAAAAGACGTAACAAATCAAAATCAAAGACATATTGCAAACTGCCTATACAACCTACTAACTTTAATAAATAATAAAATATTTTTTTAGAGTTTCAGAAAACCTTTAATTCAGTTTATTTCGACAGAAAGACAAAGTCATAGAAAATTACAAAACAAATCAAAATCAAAGACAAATTCCAAACAGCCTATACAAACTTGTAAGTAAACAATTATATTTTTGGTTAAATCCCGTTTCCCACCGCCAAAGAGGAATGAACTGTCTAGCGGAGCGGTCTTCGTGTACATAGAATAGGATTATTTTTCCACCGAAGTGTTCCGAAGTAACTAGCTCATTTTTACTCTTTTTACGTATTGCGAGGTAACCGGAGTCATTAATGGACTCGCTTCGCTCGCGGTGAAAAAACACATTAAGATTTGGATACAAAACGAGGTTTCTTAAAAAAATATTATGAACTTCTTATGATTGTGTGTGAAAAAAATCATTCATTGTAAAATTGTCAAGGACACTACTGGGGGTACAGCGAAGGCTGCATCCTCCCCCCCCGGTGAGATGTCGTGAGATTTTATTCAACCCTCTCGGCGACCGGCGTTGTTTTCTATATTTTGAAATCACTTAGTTTTTCGGATTTGTTTTCCTATGCTATTTTCGATACTCTGTAACAATCGGGTGTGACATATTTGTTGTTACCATAATCGAACTGAATTCATTTTGAAACGTAATTGATATTAGTTTTGTTATTAAAATTAAATTATGCATGTTTACTTAATAGATTTTTTTGTTAAGCTTGGACAATTTCTTACATTACAATGCCTCGCGCTCTTTTTTTTATTGGTAAAAACTTAAATGCTAAACGTTAATGTTGGTGGCGGATTTATGCCTGTACTTCAACTTTATAGCTTATATTATAAGCTCGGGATTTAATTGTATAAAGCAGTACAAACTCAGGATAGAGTAAACAGTTTAAATAGGTACAACATTTTCTTCTTCCAACGTTTTATACCATATTTTTACAATAGTCCAGAACACGACGATGTGTTGATCATGTAACTGTAGATTGGCTACCATCTTTTATAATCACAAAGTCCTCAAATAATTAATTAGTAATTACCCTACATTGTTCAAAACAAACGAGTATTTCTTGGGCTTGTTAGTAGTTCATGTTTTTAGTGGCACAGGTATTCAGTACTTAGGTATCTGCTAACCCAAATTAACATGGGTATGCGCTGGTAAATAATCTGATCAATCATTTATTACACAAACTCCACTCATCGATCAATTTGTCAATGGAAACTTGACTCCTTACCGCTCCGGTGTAGCCAATGGCTGCCGACGGTAACAATACTTCTCAACCACACCGTTTTTGCTTACATTACTCTTAACCTACGAATTTTAGTGTAAACTGCACACTTATAGCAGTCAATGTATATGGAAATCTACTTATCCGTTATTCACGAAAGGCGGTCTGGTACAATCGACTGTATAAAACTGTTGAATTCAACGATTGGTTTTTAGAGTCAATGCTTTTGTATAAAGCACGAGTTTTGATGTGTTTAAGACTATGTAGTATTGTGAATCGTGGTGTCGTTAGTACGTGGACGGGACGCATGCGCCGGGAAGCGGGCGAATGACGTCAGGGGATCGATCGAGTCGGGCCGTGGTCGCGGCGAGCTGTCACCGAGCAGCACGTGAACGCGGGGCAGATGAGCTAGCTCGGTTCAGGCGTTACGTAACGGGCTGATGCTGCCGGAGCCGAGTGGCCGGCGCCCATGTGCGGCCTAAGTTTCAGGACCAGAAACAGTCCGTCGCAGAAAACCTCCCTCCGATGGGGAGACTGCTGTCACACCAATCCGCGCGCGGCACCTCACTGACATATCACTAAAATTGTGCAATATAATAACTGTAGTTGTTCTGTTTGTTTTTGAATCACATTTATATTGTCTAAAATTATACGTATGAAGCGTTGGTTATCATGATGGACGAGATTATGGTGTCGTGTGAGTGTTAACGCCAGAGCTTACATTCACCTTTCGGCGCGAAAGCGGGATCTTTTTGCATTACAAGTGAGTATGGAACATTTTAATTTGAGATACAAAACATAGCAATATTAGACCACTTTCTGCTGCGGAAAACACAATACATGATTGTCTGATGTTCCAGCACAATAAAATATAGGTGTAGCCTATATTTAGGACTGTATTATTTATGTAACAAATACACCACGACAATTTTTCTCTGTCGATTTTATGGGTAGGTCATGTGTAACATCTGCTGTACATACCTATGGGGTTGACTTCACAAAACTGTTTTTTAACTCTAGTTCTTTAGCGGGCAACAGAAACATTTAACCAATGGTTGAGATATTAGAGACATAAGTACGTAGAAATAAATGAAAAATATACAACCTAAAGTATTACTTCTAGCCTTTCAAATGGATGAATGAAGTTAGTTGAATAAGGCTAAATTTAGTTTTGTACACGATAAGTAACTAAATTGACTATATGCATAATTAATATTTTTTTACCACGTACGACAAAACTGTGGAATATGTTGTCGCCAGCAGTGTTTCCGGACCAATACGACCCAAAAACCTTCAAAAAAGAGCGTACTCCTTCCTTAAAGGCCGGCATCGCATTTGTGATACTCCTGATGTTGCAAGTGTCCATGGGCGACGGTGAAAACTTGCCATCAGATGAGCCGTCTGCTCGTATGCCACCTATAACATAAAAAAAAATGCTGTTGATAAGCCATGCATCCACTGAAAATGAAGGCTATCCATAATCTACTCAAACAATTACTCAGAGCGAAAACGTAAGCTTTTATTCGGTTCGGTTAATTGTATAATTGACGACGGTTTTCCATTACGGCTTGTATGTTAAAAGTAATGGCGGCAGTGGAATGCATTTAGAATTGTGTCTAAAAATAGAATTTGTCATAAAAGTTAAAATAGAAATAGAGCCGTTATGACGTTGGGTAATCAATAACTTTATAGAACTGTTTATCGTTAATCAATACGTTCGGTATTGGTTACATTGATTTTTAAGCAAGTTTATTTTATAAAGGTTAAAATGTACATTTCTCGTGCTGGATGGCGCAGGTGGTTAGCGCGTTCGGCAGCGATCGTTAAGGTTAACCAACTTTCGTAGTGGTCGGTCATTGGATGGGTGACCGAAAATGTACTATTTCGAGCTCCTTCGTCTTTCGAAAGGCATGACATACTGTTGGTTTTGACTGCATCTGCAATCGTTAGCACCGATCAATCCGCACTGGGCCCGCATGGTGGGTCATGGCCCAATCTCCCTATTCCATCCACAGGGAAGATCTGTGCCCAGCAATGGGGATTACAATAGACTGATGATGATGATATATATATATAGTTACATAGATTCACGTCATAGTTATATCCCTTAGCTGCATAGGTATTCTGTAAGATACAATGCGATTTCCGACAAATATCTAATACTGGCTGCTTCTGTCGAAATAGCGACATTTTGCCATGTAATGGCGTAACGCATATCAAACTATTGTCCAGACCCCTCTTTCCCAGTGGGCACTTTGGGCAAGTGCCCAGGGCCCCGCGATCGATAGGGGCCCACTTCAGATCAAATGCAAAGTCCCTAGTTCCTGTTAGATCACCAAACGGTGGCCCCATTATCCTCATATGCCCAGGGCCTCCAATAGGACAAAGACGTCACTGCTAATGTCTAAAATGGCAGCTACCGAAATCGGAAGTGAGATTTAATTTTACAGGGTCACCGTACTGGTGGACCATCCAAAGAGCTTCTCTTTTAGTAAGGCTCTCCTAATCTACGTCATTGGTTAAGTGTAACGTGTTGGAAGGAAACTACAGTGTCTGGTCTAGGGTTGCTAGATTCTGGCTTATCAATTCCGGGTCATTTTTCAGAGGAAGGGGGGGGGGGGGAGGGAGGTTGAAAAAATAAAGCATCAAATCAAACTCCCATCCCCCCAGAATTAAAACAGGCAGAAGGCCAGCGGTGTCATTCGTTATTAATTTATTTTGTTACGAAACTAGCACATTATCGGAATCCGGGACAATAATAACTGGACAAGACGCAAAATTCCGGGAAAACCCCGGATTTCCTGGCCATTTGGCAAGCCTGGCCTGGTCCCTAGTTTAAAGATTTCAGTATTACTCGAAAGCACCTGTAATCTACTATATAAAAATAAGTCGGGTTTTCCTTCCTGACGCTATAATTCCAGAACGCACGAACCGATTTCCACGGTTTTGCATTCGTTGGAAAGGTCTCGGGCTCCGTGAGGTTTATAGCAAAGAAAATTCAGGAAAAATTAAAAAAAAAACTTATTTTAATCACCAAACGAAATGTTACATAAAACGAAGCCATCTGGTGGCGAAACGGAGTTCGCGGGGTTTGCTAGTAACTTATGAAAGTCGAAATCTGCGCCATTGATCGGTTAACACCTGTAGGCGACCTTGTACTGAGATGAACCGCCAACCTCAGATTTATCCCTCATCCTTCTGTTTCATTTAAACAGAGATGTCAAGATTAATGCTATCATATCAAGGCTTAGTTGAGAGTAAATGTTTAGATCTGTTAAGGATAAAATTACTTAGGTCAATCCCTATCGGGAGGGGTGACCTTATAATATTGTTTCATATTTGTTTCTTGGGTTTTCGCGCATGAACTTTTTATTGAGCGTTCGGATATTTCATTGAAATTTTTCTCAATAAAAGTCTTCCGATTTCTCTTAAAAAGTCTTTCGAAGGTAGCTCGACAACTTTGTCAACCTTTGACTTTATTTACTTAAATAAAGTCATAATTCAGACGACGCAGCCTGAAAAGGATGCGAAACGTAAATCTATATCTATATATATAAAACTCAAAGGTGACTGACTGACTGACATAGTGATCTATCAACGCACAGCCCAAACCACTGGACGGATCGGGCTGAAATTTGGCATACAGGTAGATGTTATGACTCAGGCATCCGCTAAGAATGGATTTTGATCAATTCTACCTCCAAGGGGATAAAATAGGGAATGAAAGTTTGTATGAAACTTTATTTAAAATTTTAAACCGTTCGGGCTGAGATTTTGCATGCAGGTATAAGAAGAAACAGATGAATGTCATTGTGTATAATACAAGCATGAGAACAAAAACTGTAGTCTACACTTCAGCTCTACACCGAAGCGAAGCGAGGGCGGGCCGCTAGTAAATAAATAAATCAGTGCATCTATACCGTTGATACTTGTTTTATTTAATATTATTTCACTAGTTTTTCTGCTCCATTACTTTTGCTCTTGTAATTTGCATGCAGTGTTTTAAAGATAAATGACTTTAATTTTAAGTAAACATGTTGTAGTTAAGTACAGGCAGCTGGTTATAGATAGTCATGCTTTCTAGAAAATCGCTTTGGTGGTGTAATGTGAGGCGGGTCGTTACGTCATGCTCGTGAACGGGTGCTGCCAGCGGCGATAAGTTTGCTGTAACTACTGTGGTATTCAATATTTGTATTTATACACGAGACAGTATTAAAAATGACAGGTGACCAATTTTATTAATGTATATTTCACATTATGTAATGAAAAGGTGACTTCATGAATCATCTCTGAAGTTATTTTTCAATTTGACGACTGTAATTAATAATATAGGTAGAAAAAACAGCGTTAGATTTTGTTTTTTGCCGGTTATTCTTAGTACAAGGTCTCACGCCGTAAATTTGCGAATCGATGATGAGCGCTTGTATATGCAAAATAAATTATTTTGATTCTTAAGTTTTCACCCACATCACTCATTCTCACGAGCTACCTTCGAAAGATGGTAGCTCGACAAAATTAAATAAAAAATCATTATTCTGACGATGCAGACCTGAACAGGCTGCGAAACGTCAATAATTAAATAAAGTTTCGTGCATTAACCAGTTAAAACTAGTTTTATTTAAATTATTTTGAGTTTGTCTCTCGTATCTCCTTATTGCATCCACAGGGAAGGTATGTGCCCCAGCAGTGGGGACATTTATATGGTGATGATGATAATTTTCGTTTGTCACAGAAGAAAGGAGAAAATGTTGGAACAAATTTATACGGCGTGAAAGTGGATTTAAAAACCAGAGGTAGATTTTAAATCTAACAGTATATATACCAAAACAAATGTAATGTCAGAATATTTTTAAATGATATTACTAGTTTACTGTTACTGGGCAACGACCGTTACCTAATAGGTACAGTATACTTTTTTTTTATCGTGTTTTTTGATTAGGCATTAAAGGAGTGGAATTTTTTCTAGTAATATTTTCTTTAGATTTAAACATAGAGCAGTTACAAACTTAAGAAAATAAAAATTATGTTTTTTTATGTGTAAACCAGCTAAGAGCATTCAATTCAGTCTGTAATAATATACTGAACTATGTACGTAGAGCGAAAAAGTACAAACGTCGAAAATATCAGGATTCCGAATATGGAAAAAAAGTTGTTTTTGGAAATTTAAATTTTCTTATTAATTATAACAATTAATTTATAGTTCATAAGATACAGCCCGCTGATAGACGGACTGTCAACAAAGGCCTAGTTTGTAGAGTTATGATCCACGTTTCGAAAGTCCACGCTAGAAAAGCTGTGAACTTTAATGCCAGCACTGGACGGGGCATTTGATAAAATTACAATTATAGCACATACGAATAGCCATGTGAAGTGCCAGCTTCAAACTTCATTACCATAAAATGCCCTTGTACAATTAATATCGATCTTATTGTGTACTTATAAGCCTGCAAGTTCATTACGTAAGTAATAAGTCTTAAATTACAATGGTTATTGAGTTGTGCGTTGAGTGGAGAGTGTTGGTGTCGGTTCTGGCATGATTCTCTAAACTTAAAACTAAATTAACATCAGTCTCTTTCATACGTTTGGTATCGAGAATGACAAGGATACACTGCTGTCAGATTGAATTATAGGTTTAGAGAAATAAGCAAGATTCGACACCAATAACTCAATAACCATTGTGATTTTAAACACTTATTATACGTATTTAAGTTTTAAACGCATTTTAGCAGGATATTCATAAATCGGCTATTTTTTTCATGCTATTTGGTAGCAATCGTTGGTCGCAAATCAGTTGCAAGTTAGGCAATACTAGCAAACCAGTGAACCAAATGTTCACCAAAACCTGATTAAAAAAAAAATGTATTTAATTAATTGAGAACTTCGGACATTTTGTGTGGTTTCGTTTGAAATTCGTGATTTCTCGAAAACCGGAAGTGTTACGTTACTCAAATCCGGTTTGTAGTCTTATCAGACTATTCTAAACTTATAACTTAAATATTCTCTTTATCTACCTCTTACGGTTTGGCCGGTGAAACAGCACCACAGACGGACGGACTTGTCTAATACATAAGAGATGCCTGACAATGTGAAATAGTATTGTGTACTAATGCAGTTTGTTAGGTGGTTGGCTAGTTTACCTCAGTTTTGCGATTATATAAGCTAACCTTCAGAATGGCGGTCATATTATGGAATTAGATGGTGCTTCCCTGTACAAGAGAGAAGTTTGGACATAGCGAATTTGCCGCTCGAATTGGAGCGTCTGTCTGCGGGAAGTTACCTCCAACTTACAGAACATCACAGTAAAATAACACTACCTACCAATCAGCCTTGCAGAAAAGCACTGTATGACTATACTGACACATATATAAGTATATTTTTATTTAGAAATACATACAAACATGCATGACTTTGGTACGAATGCTCGTGATCTGGACATTAACATTTACAAACATGCATGACTTTGGTACGAATGCTCGTGTTCAGGAAACTAACATTTACAAACATGCATGACTTTGGTACGAATGCTCGTGATCTGGACACTAACATTTACAAACATGCATGACTTTGGTACGAATGCTCGTGTTCAGGACACTAACATTTACAAACATGTATGACTTTGGTACGAATGCTCGTGATCTGGACACTAACATTTACAAACATGCATGACTTTGGTACAAATGCTCGTGTTCAGGACACTAACATTTACAAACATGCATGACTTTGGTACGAATGCTCGTGTTCAGGACACTAACATTTACTCCAATAAGAATCCAAGCAGGCGCTTCCTTGCAGTTAAAACAGTATCCAGGGAGTATATTATCAAAGGCTACACCTCACGAAACGTTGCTTGTCCACAGGTGAGCAGCACTCATCATCCAAGATGATCAACGTAGCGGGCGTAATCAGCATCATCCTGTTTTACGTGCTCATCCTGGCTGTGGGCATCTGGGCCGGACGCAAGAAGCCGGCCGGCAATGACTCCGAGGAGGAGGTCATGCTGGCTGGCCGGTCTATAGGGCTCTTCGTCGGCATATTCACCATGACTGGTCAGTGGACATTATATTTTTATATATATAAAATAAAATCGACTTCGTAAAGAAATAATACGAATTTTTAACTTACCTATATCTTAATTTTATTTAAAAAGAATGAACATTTGATATCGGTTCCATGCCATCCCAATGAGGGCTAGGGGAGTATGAATCAGCCGCTAGAGGCGCTAGTGTAGCGTGAGGTCTCCGAAATGTCAAATGTTATTGCTTGTTGGTTGACTACGCGGGTTTATTTCTAATTAAATTAATGTTGTGAATAATTGGTAACAATTCGGCTTAATTATGGCAAATATGAGTTGTGTGGCAATGAATGTCAGTTATTAAAAATTTGAGCTTAAAAAAATGATTATGTTCCCATTTTTTCCGAATAAAACGGAACTGTGCGTCACTGTGGCATGGCCTATTATGATTAGGATATGGTTCTTTTGTGTTAAAATAAGATCTAAATGTAACCTTTGATTTCATGTGCGTATTAATAAACTTTAAAAGTTACAATTTAGGACCTCACTCAACAGTGGCGCCATCTGGTGAGGCAGAAAACGGTAGCCCTCATTAGTTGCAGGTAACTCAGATCTAACAGCAGGCATGCGCAAACAACAATAAAAAAAGAAACAATTTTACTGATGAATTCAGAACCTCCTCCATTCTGAATATGGTTGAAAATGCTGTAACTTTTTGATGTGGCAGATGTCTATGGGCGACGGTGATCACTTCCCATCAAGTGTGCCGTCTTCTCGTATAAACGTAATATACTTATCTATAATATATATAATATATGATATTTAGCGAGGTACTTCATTAGGGTTCCGTAGTCCTGACAAGGAACTCTTATAGTTTCGTCGTGTCCGTCTGTCCGTTCCTGGTTTTGCTTGGAGACTATTAGCACTAGAGAGCTGTTATTTTATAAAGATATGTATATCAATCACGCCGACAAAATGGTAGAATAAAATTTTGAAAATATTTTTTTTGGGTAGCTACCCTACGCGTAAACTGGAGATGATTTTTTTTTCATCTTCTACCCCATCGTGTGGGATATCGTTGAATAAATCCTTTAAAAGTACTTCGAAGTTTCTAAGACTATTTTTTGATTTAGGGATCCGTTTGCGAAATATTGAACTTTAAAGTGCTAATTTTTGTTCGAGTAGGGCGTCCTTCACTCCCAAAGCTAAACTATTGGCTTGAAAAACCTGGAAAAATTCATGATAATAATGCTTTTCACAAAATTTTATGAAAAACTATAACAGTTAAGGAATATTTGTTAGTTTAAGAGTAATCGTTCAACTTTGGTTAAAGAAAATTTTTTACCTATTGAAAATTTTAGAAGAAAATATTAATAGTGATATAGATGAAGTTATTGTAGCGTAAAACCTTGCATTGCAAGAAAATTAAAAAAAAAGAAAAATATAAAACCACAATAAAATATCATTAGTTCCACAACGCTACGCGATGCGAGTACCAACGGCAACGGCTTCTGAGTCGCGTTAAAGTTACGTTATTATAAAAAGTATATAAGCACTTGAAAATATCGGCGGTTATACCGCATCATTCCTGTCTCAGGGGATCATCACTTCTGATGACGCTTTTGGTCATACAAAGTCTGACATAATCTTGCAGCCGGATAAGGATTTCACACTCGCATCCCCCCGCCTGGGATGAAACAAAAAAAAAACAGCGGTTCTCATTCGTATTTTTTGAATTATAATAATATTGAATTGATTTTTAGTTTGAGACGCAGTTTGCCTTTGATTTAGGTATTTTAGTTGAGACACATAGATTAATATTAATTGGTTTTTCTAATATCTGATATAGAAAAATATCTTGTGGTAACTACAGGCAACTACGAAACCCTACACTACGCGTGTCACGACACACACTTGGTCGATTTTTTTTGAACTGTGATAATGAGGGCTATCGCGTATGAATCCGCCGCTAGAGACGCTAGTGTAGCGTGAGGTCTCCGAAATGTCAAATGTTATTGCTTGTTGGTTGACTACGTGGGTTTATTTCTAATTAAAATAATGTTGTGAATAATTGGTAACAATTCGGCTTAATTATGGCAAATATGAGTTATGTGGCAATGAATGTCAGTTATTTAAGCTTAGAATTTAATGAATGTCAGTTATTTAAGCTTAAAATTTGAGCTTAGAAAAATGATTGTTCCCATTTTTTCCGAATAAAACGGAACTGCGCGTCACTGTGGCATGGCCTATTATGTTTAGGATATCGTTCTTTTGTGTTAAAATACGATCTAAATGTAACCTTTGATTTCATGTGCGTATTAATAAACTTTAAAAGTTACAATTTAGGACCTCACTCAACAGTGGCGCCATCTGGTGAGGCAGAAAACGGTAGCCCTCATTGCCTTAACACATAATGTTATTTAATTTAATCCATCTTGCACTCGAGATAGGGCGAAGTATGCTGGAGACATTTAACATGCCCAAACGGTGACAGTCAGATTAATTCCTTAGATAATAATCTTTCTAATGAGTCATAGCATAGCAATAATTAATTAAAAGATAAATTAATAAATGTACAAAATAAACGGCATGTGGTTGTGTGTGGTGGTGTGACAAAACTTTTCGCATAGGTGTAAGTATATTCTATGTTACGTACAAAATGTAATAATAATATTTTCACTTAGACTAAACTAGCATTTATTCTGTATAGAACTAAGGCAGTTATATTCATATATATGACCAAGTTAATCTCCAGTCCAATCTAAACCAGTGAACCAAATGTTCACCAAAACCTGATTAAAAAAAAATGTATTTAAGTAATAGAGAACTTCAGAGATTTTGTGTAGTTTCGTTTGAAATTCGTGATTTCTCGAAAACCGGAAGTGCTACGTTACTCAAATCCGGTTTGTAGTCTTATCAGACTATTCTTAACTTATAACTTAAACATTCTCTTTATCTATCTCTTACGGTTTGGCCGCTGAAACAGCACCACAGACGGACGGACGGACGGACTTGTCTAATAGATAAGAGATTATACTGTACATGTACAATCTATGAAAATCTAGTCTAGCTATTTAAAGCGGGAACGCTGCCAGTATCTTCGGAACCTTGCCTAAAGGGACTCCTTTTAGTAATATATTTTAGTTAATTTATTATATTTTTTAAGATTTTTAGTTTAGGGTTCATTGTTCATGTATATATTTTTAATAAGTTCGCCTTGTAATCTATTAAAACTTATAATCTATGAAAAAAATAGAAGAAGAAACTTCTTATATCATTGCAAATGTACTTAATACAATAAAAAAAGATTTACTTATCCTCATAAGAAGGTTTTGCTGGTCCGAAAAGAAGATAACAATGGATTTTATTCTATTAATCCGAGTATAGTGATGGATTACGACGAGTCGGCGACACACAAGACGATGTGATTGTATTAAAGAAATGAACAAACGATTGTAGGTACTATGTTGTAAGTCAAACGTGTAATGGTAGCCATACACACTACGAGAAATCGTTACGATCAGACTGTACAGTTCGAACGGAACAGTTTATCGTACGTGGCGTACGTATAGGAAACTGTGCAGTTTTATAACATACACGCTACGATTTATCGGTACCGTTCGGACTGTACAGTCTGATCGTAACGATTTCTCGTAGTGTGTTTGGCTAGCATAAGGTAGAGTACTTATAGATGAAAGCGGACGCGATAACATTGCTGACATTTTTGATGGAGTAGTTGGCTTTTCGGATGTGCAATTGACGACTTCCGTGGCCGAGTGGTTTGTACGCCGGGTTTCATGGTGTAGCCGACTCGAGAGGTCCCGGGTTCGAATCCCGGTGAGGGCAGATGTTTGTGTGATGAATACGAGCATTTGTACTCCAGTCATGAATGTTTAATATGTATTTCTATACAAATATACTTATATATGTAATGTATATGTATCCTATCCGTTACCCTAGTATGCCAGAACAACAAGCCTTACAGTGCTTACTTTGGGGCTAGGCTAATTAGGGTGTTAAAAAACAAAAAAAAATCTGTAACCAATACAAAATTTAGGGGCTTTTTAGTTAGTGCTAATAATTAATTCAATATTAGTGTTTGTTTTTTTTATTTAGGAAAATGAGAGAGGTAGGGCATAGCGAGGCGGGAATTAGGGCGTGCAAAATATTATTACATTAATTAATCTTAATATTTCACTTTAAAACATTTGCAAAGCATCTTTCTTCAAAAAAATGATTCTAATTTTCTGATCTATTTAATATATTATAAATATTTTCTTCTAGCCATAAATCCCTTAAAAAAAGATAAAAAAATCTGATCTATTTAATATTGCTACCAGTTATAAATATTTTCTCTTGAACCCATAAATCCTTTCAGCAGTTGTCGGAATATAGAAAGGTGAGAACGATAAAAAGTGTGAGTAAGATTCATGTTACTGATTTATAGAAACGGAAAGATACAGTACCATTTTCTGCGTTTCTTTTGTACGTTTTCCTTTATGCCTGTCTACGGTGAATTCGTGAATAGAAGCTGGTAGTTTATGTATTTCTGTGACGTAAGGTCTCGTGTGGGTGACGCAGGACATAAACCGCAACCATTATTGTTAGCCCGCTGCGTTTATATCCCGACCGTAGTACGGGCTACTGATGAAGTGCTACGAGTGCTACGACCCGTAGAATTCGTAGCGTACTTCCAATGTTTATAAAAGAAAGTTTATTTTTGATCTAGCTATGCCTGCGACTTCGTTCGCGTTTAAACTTCAATAAAATTCAAAATTCAATATCGTTTATTCAGTCTAGGCTGTTACAAGCACTTGTGAATGTCGAAGAGCTGCGCCATCGGTTCGCAAATCTACGGCGGGAGACCTTGTACTGAGAAGAACCGGCAAGAAACTCAGCAAGGGCTGTTTTTTTTCCCTGTATTGTATACAGAGTCGTCAAATTAAAAAATGACTTCAATATGAGGTAACTCATAAAATCACTTTCCATTACAAATGCTAATATAATAAAAATTATGACTATATAAAAAATTGG